GATGGGAGGGATTTATACTGAAGGAAATGACAAATAATTAATGACATATCATATCACGTAATCTGTAACGATTGCTGTTTGTCATTGATGCATGAATATCTCATGACGCATCGATCCAACGCTAGCAACTAACTATAAATAATCCTGCCAATGAATGAAAGAAAGCGTATTGAGTGTAAGGAAGCATTTGACTATAATAATTCGTGGGGGATATTTAAGAAGTTTATTAAAGTCTCTACCTCTATACACGGTGGACCAGACCTCCTTACCGTGCACCCCCCACATCCCTATAAATTGCATATCGTTATGTTCCTTGTAACTATTTATTAAAAAAAAGCCAATGTTCCCACAAAAGAAAGTGAACGCACTGCCCCAAAATGGCGTCCAAAGATGGCGGATTGACGACTTTGACTTAAGTTAGTTTTTTGGTCACTGAGAATCAGCATTTGGCTTAATTTCCTCATAGTTGGTCTTTTATTAAAGAAATTATACTCAAGAATCGTAGAAGCTGGAATAAGAAATATTGTCGACTGCCAGAGCGATATGGATTGAGAAACTCAAGTTGCACATTGGAAGAGAAGTTGAAAACTGAGACTGGCTTCACTTTAAGGCAGGTTATAGAGAAGTCTATATACAACGAAAAACATCTCTCTATCTGCTTAGTGCCTTACTCTTTGGATTGTGCTAATATCTAATTGTCTTTCAGAAAAGCAGGTTTTCCTTTTAGATTCCTTAAAAAATCTTTTTCAAATGCACTAAACAGAAGAAGAGCTATGAGCTATAACTCTCGATATACCTCTCTACATCCTGCTTCAAAGTGAAGATAGTCCCAATGTGCACCTTCAGCAATCGAAAATAAAGTGGTTTTTCACCATAATAAACCTACATCGTCCACTTAATATCATCCAAACTGCAATTGACCCCCTTTTAGCAGCATCTTGAAATATTCTCTTCATCTGTCTACTATACATTCGTTTAGCCATATAATGGATACTGGTACTTTTTATCTTTTCCGAGGTTTTGGCACTTCCTTTCTCGTTCGCTTAATGTATTTTTCCAGTTTTCGGGTTCAATTTCGCGTTTTTCCTCATTTCAAGACCAAATCCAAACAATCAGTTCTGGTTTATAGAAGAACTTATAGCGTCACCGTTTCTATCTTTCTTTGTGCAGAGAGAATAATTCATTCAATAATAAAATTTCCTATTTATTTATGATATAGTCCAACTTCCGCACAAAATAAAGGAAATAAAAATTAATTTTTTAATTAGTGATATATGAGTTTTACTATACAACCCAGCAGCTATTCATTATATATAGTTCAGATTAGGTATATATTATTTTAGTTTATAAAACAGGTATTAATACGACTCATTTCCTGGGAAGTATATATAAATTTTAATTACCTTTAAGAATCAGTAAATATACAAAACACAGTGTTAAATTGCAAACGTTAAATAATAAAAAAAATCAAGATATTTAGCAAAGTTTTTTAATTAAGTTTTATTATTATAATTATATCATTTTTACAATCAAGGTCTTCTTAAACGACCTACGTGTAGAATAAAGAAGGTTAAATTAAAAAAAATAATAATAAATTTTATAAAAAAATTTTAATTTTTTTTTTTACAATTAAATTATTGCATTAATATTTGTTCGTTAATAAAACCAATATAATGTACCAAAAATGTTATTATATCACTTTAACTAAGCCATTTATGTGTACTGAATGGTGTGGTAGAGGCCTGTAGGCACCCACGCCAGTACCGCTTTTCTGCCGCATAAGTGCATTTTCTACGGAACTGTTTAAAAGTTTTTAAAAATAATCAGCGTTTTGGAAAGAGAAATATATTCTCCAGATGGTTTATTTCAGCACGTTTTGCGTTATTGTAGGCCGTTTAATTACAAATGACGCTTGATTTTTAACTTGAAAATTTTTTTGTTAAAAAAATTGACTTTAGTAGTGTTTTTCATAGCCTAAGCCAATTATTTTTTAATATTTCTTCATGGTTTATTATTCTATGACTATTCAGCTTTAATAAAAGACCAACTATGAGGAAATTAAGCCAAATGCTGATTCTCAGTGACCAAAAAACTAACTAAAGTCAAAGTCGTCAATCCGCCATCTTTGGACGCCATTTTGGGGCAGTGCGTTCACTTTTTTTTGTGGGAACATTGGCTTTTTTTTAATAAATAGTTACAAGGAACACAACGATATGCAATTTATAGGGATGTGGGGGGGGGGGTGCACGGTAAGGGGGTCTGGCCCACAGACTACTAATCCTGCTGCTTCATTATGGTGGAGGGCTTTTGCTACTTCACTTACATCTCGAAAACGTTAAGTCGCACAGATAAACTTGATTAATTTAAAATTAAAGCTGACAAAAATTCGTATTGTTAGAACCTTTAAACACATCTTTTTTCATATTTCTTACAGTTTTTGGGGTATTTACAATTTTAAATCTATAATTTACAGAACGATTGATTTTCATTTAACGTTATTAATCAAACTAGGATTTCTAACTCCTCGCACTTTCTTTTATCACGAAAATTATCCGAATTAAATATTATTTTCATCAAAAGGATTCACACACACACACACACGCACGCACGCACGCACGCACGCACGCACGCACGCACGCACGCACGCACGCACGCACCCACGCACGCACACACACACCCACACACACACACACACACACACACACACACACACACACACACACACACACACACACACACACACACACACACACACACACACACACACACACACATATATATATTTAATTTTCTTATAAACAGAAAAAAAATCACGTGTATATTATCATATCTGTTAGCTTTTTTAATCTCGTAACACGTGAAAACGGGTGATATCGATGAAATATTTTTTTTCTATCATATGAGTATCTGCCATCCACAAACTAAAAGCAAAATGTTTGTTTATGTTTATGCCTTTTTATAGAAAAAAAAAAAAAACGACTCGATTTATACTATACTTCAAATTATTGTTATTTAGATCCGTGCAAAGATTTTTAATAATATTAGATACTGTCAATTTTGAAAAGGAAGAGGCGGTATAGCTAAAATTTAATTTAATTTTTATTTTATTTTAGCAATCATAATATCATACCTACAGATTCTTAGGGTAGGTACTTACCGTTAATATTATTTGATGGTTTGTATCTGCGAATAACGGACAATCAAAGTAGTTTTATATAGCCTTATAGTATTTAATTTATTTATTAATTTATTATTTATTAAAATGGAAAAAATAATATTCTACTCGATTTATACATACCATACTTAGACCAACCATACCATACTGATGTTAGAATAATTTAAAAAAAAATACTAATACTTTGACAGATTACCTTGCAATGTTATTTAACGAATTGCTAATCTTATTTAAAAATAAAAAAAAAGTATATTTTTATAAATATTTAATCTATATCTAATAAATAAGATTAATATATATAAATATATACAACTTTTCTTTAATCGAACTTTGAGTATTAAATTTTAACATAATTATATAATTGGGAATATGGTAACTTTTTTATTTTATTTTATTTTTTTATTCATAAATAACGATCTTTGAGTTGAGAGAAGAGGGGTTTTTAATGACTATTTTAATTTAAATAAGTGACGTTATCCCCAATTAAATAATCATTTTAAGATGTAAATATATATATATATATATATATATATATATATATATATATATATATATATATATATATATAATTATTACTCATCTCCTTAAGTTAAACAAATAATCTTTAATACTTTTATTGTATTTATTAAAGTTTTTTTTTCGTTTTCGAAATCGTGAATGTTTTGTTCTACTTTAACTACAATTTTCTGCCTTTATCTTGGTCTGTTATTTTAAAGCTAGTAGCCTGTGGTATCTTTGTTTATTTTTTCTATCCATCTGGCTTTTAATCTGTATTGGTATCTCGGTTTCGGTTGCATGGATGGGATGATGACAATTGAATATTACGTCATGTATTTGTGAATCAACAAATCAAACATAAACAACTTGTATTGTAGGATTTGTTAGCTCGTCGATAATATATAATTCATAATATATTGAACTAGTTGGCCCGTGCGAATAATTCGCAGAAAATTTTTGTTTAGTTAAGAAATAGCAAAACAATTAAGTAGATCCTACGTATTATGGAAGCAATTAATATTTTCTCCTTGGTCGATTACAATATTCCATTTTACATAATAGACCAAAATATTTGTACTAGTTGCTTTGCCAGGACCTATTTTTAAACGCTGACTGGAAAGATAATAAAATCAATATAATGCCCCGATCATGGGATTTTCTAAATTATTAAACAAATATAATGTAAGAACAAACAAATGTCTTTAAGAAATAATAAAGCTAATATATCTGCCAGGAAAAAAACTGTAGTCGACTATTCTACGCCTAAATGCAATATTTAGGTTGCAATATCTTCTAAGAGGAAGAAATTATTATGTATACCAAAACTTATGGACTATATGTTTGTTGATAATTGTCCGATTTTTACGATTATATTTTGTTTTGCAGGTATTTTAGTAATCTTTCTAATTATCATGGGTACAACAAGAAAAAAATGTATACTTTCTGAGTCATTCGCGAATAAAGTTTATTTTTCTTCATACCGTTTTTTTCCAGATATTTCGGGAGGATAGGACTATTTTTCGCATGTGAAGGAGAAGAATATCATCAAAATGAGTGGTCAATAATTGGATTTGATGAAGAGTTGACGAAGTTATGGCGTACCGACAAAAAAACACCTTTTAGAAATAATATATAGGATGTTATATTTTATTGCCAAAAACAGAGAGTTATATTTTTCGTGTATATCAGCGTTTTTTTAAATTCTTATTATATTTTTTAAGATTTTTAAATTATATTATGATGAAAATATTAATAATTCATAAAAATTAAATAAACTAAGAACGAGATCAAGCTGAATTTATAAACATATATTCTTTTCGACTTTCTTATTTTATTTAAAACTTAAGTTTCCAAAAATGAAAGATGAATCAACATATAAACACACAGATAGATTAGCTGTAGGATAATTATACAAATAAATAAATAGTTTATATATTTACTGTTGAAACATTCATTAAAAAATCTACTAGACTAATATCATTTATATTTGTGATATCCCTCGCCAGTCTTAAAGCCAAGTTTTCCTTCTTCAACAAGTTTCAGTTGAGATTTCAGTGGTGTGAAGACAGGATCGCCGGGATGCAGGTCTCTCCAAACTGTTAAAACAAATAAGTTTTTAAAGAAAATTCAAATAATGCATAAGTATATAAAATGTAATGTTATAAGCAAATGTCGTTGTGGGCTGGGTAGCCGAATGGGCTAACGCGTTGTGCACAGCACCACCGTTGCCCGGCAACCTGATGTATGAAAAATGTTATAAAAATAGTAACGAGTTAGCGTCCCGGTGCCAAGGCGTCTTTTAAATCCCCGCCCACACTCCCTGGCCCGGGAAAACCCCGTATAGCCTTAACGGCGAGGAAGGGAGGACCCCCCCCCCAAAAATAAAAATAAATAAATAAAAAAATCGTTTACTGGTCAACATTAATCAAACTTTGATAACTATTGTATATAATTCGCTTTTTATTATTATTTTTTAAAATAATTATTTCAATACACATTTAAAAGTGAAAACAAAGTAAGGAAATGAACAAAATATTACAGAGGATGAAATAGATCCATTCAAACCATCTAACTATCCATACTAAGTATGGGAGAGCCCCAATACTTAAAATATTCATAAAATCAGATATTTAGTACAATTTTATCATCAGGGTTCCCAAAATTGATGTTGCTTCTTACCACTTCCTCTTTAGAAATAACTGTGAATGCCACTACCTCACCTTATTAATATTGTTATAAAACGTTCCACTTCATAAAAAAAATTTACAAAAGTTGATTTAGCAAACAACAGTACAATATAAAATAAATGAGGAGTTTACTACCAAAAGTGGACTTATCCATTTTGACTAAAACTGAGATTTCGATTAGGTCCGGTTATTTACCAAAGCTCCGCTTAATAATTAAGCTCCATTCATATGAAAACTGTCCATAGAATAAAGAATGATAAGATTAATTTTTCAAGCAAACTGAAGATAAAAATCAGTTTTCCTATCAACAGATGCAGCTAATGCCACTATTGGATTTTAAATAATTCAGGTATATTAAAACCTCTTCCTTCAAAAACTGTTCTATTTCTCATTCCCATGTACAATGCTGAACTCCGCAAAAAAAAATGCCTGACCCCTGGAAATTACCTATGGTCAAAATGATACCCAAACTTTGATAAAAAGAGGACAGATATTCTGTTGGTTTTTTTTTTTTTTAGTTTAAAAATCGCTAAAATGTATTTTATTTTTTATTATAAACATCCACTCCACTATTCAGCAATGTCATTATGTGGTGGATGTTGTCTCCTTTGTATTAGAGCGTCGGATGCACTACACGGGAGCCTTTCTCGACATAGGACAGGCTTTCGATCAAGCCTGACGGTTCCGGGACTGCCCAAAAAATTTCTTAAATTCCTACTCCCAGCATCTAATTCAAACTAAATCGCGATAGAGCCTATTAATCCTCAGGCAGTATCGATACAATCCTCAACACAATTCTTCAGCTGACATCCGAACTCTGTCGTCATCACATATGTCATGGCACATGTGCCTCTTCAGTGAATAATAATCCATTAGTTTCATTCTAAACACTTCAATCACACATCGAGGAAGAATGGTATTATAACTGAAGCATTCAGAAGCGACATGAATCTAGTAGTTGGCACATTAAATTTCAAATAAAAGTAAATAAAATTTAAAAAAATCAATTTTGAAAAGTGAAAAAACAAAAAAACTGAAAATCAAAAATATTTATATATTGTTAGTACATTACATCATTGTTTTCTATGTGAAATCCGAATTTTTTTTAAAATATAAGAACTAAATAAAATAGATCAGAAATATATCGTGTATATTTAGTATGACATAGCATTATTACCAGCATTGCAAGAGACAATTGTGTCATGACCAATCCAGTCAGCTAGTTCAATAGGTCCCATCGGGTGCTTGAGCCCTAGTTTCATAGCGAGGTCGATGTCCTTCAGTTCGGCGTCTCCTTTTTGTTTAAATTAAAATATATAAATAGGTTTTAAAAAGAAATATATTTATTTACATAAGTTAATAAACACAATTTTAATTGAGAAAAGAACAAAACTTTTTTTTTTCTTCAAAAAAGTAAAGTTTATATATGCAAAGACGGCAGACTTTTAAGTTATGTCACATATCTCTGGTACCTGTGAATAATGTATTGAGGGAAATTTTGTTATTTTTTATTGATATCAGCAGAAAGCTAATTTTCTCTCTTTCTTTGTGTCTAATAGGTTAAGTAATGTGGCTAGTTCAGAGATAGATATTCGTTTTTGAATTATGGGTTGAAATTTGAAATTGCACCAGTGAAAGTTAAAAACTTTCAATTTATTATTTCCAAAAATATAATTTTTGCACTTAATACGCTATTCACAGATGCCTATCATATATATATATATATATATATATATATTAGATATCAATATCTGCAAAACAATCATATAAACAATTGCCCAATTTCCAGTAGCAAAGTAGAAAATTGGAGATCTATGTATCTTTAAGTGATTCACGTTTTTTTGTTGAATAGCAAACTATAACATAAAAATATTTGTTTTAAGTAATTAAATATTGCTACATATTAAAATAGACAAAATCTTTAGACTTTTTGTAATTTTAATGGTCGTAATGATTTGTTATCTGTAAGCTTTAGGGTTTAGCTCCGCTTAAAATGTACTTCAAACATTTTATAATAGCCCAACATTGCCAGAAAATGATTTCATTTCAAAGTAGGGCAGTAATTGAAAGTTGTGTGCTGCGCGCATCAGATTTTTTAATGATTGGTCATTTTATTTTATATTATTAATTTAATTTCGCAGTATGTTTGCATTAAATTGGAAAATATTAAATTGAGTATATAGTAACACAGGCGGATCTACGGGGGGAGGGAGAGAGGGGGGCTTTCGGGCTGAAGCCCCTCCCCCCCCCCCCAAAATGGTAAAATATTATCATATTTTACACAAAAAAATATTAAAAACTATCTCTTAAAGTATTCTTGTTCGTTTAATTACATTTAATAAGACTTCAGGAACCACTTAAAAACCAGTTCATACAGGTAGTTAATTTATTTCTTCTTTTTTTAAAAATTATTTTTATGAATATTTATGAAAAAAAAATCTTTCGGGCTGAAGCCTCCCCAAAATTAAATCCTGGATCCGCTAGTGTATAGTAATAATGTAATTATTATATGTACCAGCAGGTTAGAAGTAAAATACTTTGCCACAATAAGAAAATTTCTCAGAAGAGCCACTTAAAATCACTTAACCTGTTATTTTTATTTTTAAAGTTAGTTTTCTTATCTTTATTTTCTTTCATTTTAGAAATCATGCAATTGGAGATTCGAAAAGAGGTTTTTGATTTTTGAAATATTTTGTAACGTGGTCAAAATTATGATGAACCTGACCAGGCCATCATTTAAATTGTTAGTTGTTCATAAACTTTGTTAATAATGATTATATTGTCATTTTAAATATTATAATTAAGATAATTATAAATAAACTACAATAATTTCGCTATTATGTTGTTTACTTCTATTTTTTTTTTTTATTATTGGTTATTTTATTTTTTATTTATGAATTTAATTTCTCATTAAGCTTGCATTTACCTATTTTATCGTTTTAAATATTAAATTGAGTACATAATAATAATTAAATTATTATGTATACCAGTTAGACCTTGGTACAGACACCTTTTATCAAATTATTAACATCCGTCTGAAACTTCGTAAATAGTTTCATCTCATCGTAACCTACAACTATTTTATTTACGAAAACTTTTGGAAATAGGGCGTTTACAATCTGGATATCGTCAGACTTTATCTATTTAATTAGGTACTTAGAACTCGTAAATACGCATTTACTTTTCACTTGGATCGTAAGATAATTTTATCACAAAATAGAGAAAAAAGGTAGCCTACAAAAATATTTGGCCCGTTTGCCCTATATAACCTCGTTATTTTGAAAATTTGGGGGTGTAGGTCACGCCATATTTTTGAAGGCTGCATTTTTTCTCGATTTTGTGATCAAATTTTTCTACCATGCAAGTGAAAAGTAAATGCGTATTTACGAGTTTTTAGTACCTAATTAAATAGACAAAGTCTGACGATATCCAAATTGTAAACGCTCCATTTCCAAGAGTTTTCGTAAATAAAATAGTTGCAGGTTACGATGAGATGAAGCTATTCTCGAAGTTTCAAGCGGATGTTAATAATTTTTATAAAAAGGGGTGTGTACCACGGAATAAGTACCTTAGAAGTAAAATACTCTGCTGCAACAAGCTGATCTCTTAGGAGAATCACTTAATGGAATTTTAATGCATTTTGTTTTTCAAGTTATTTTTTCTATCTTCATTTTCTTCTATTTCGCTATAAAATAAAGACCTGTAGTAACATAAAATATTGTTTATTTTAATAGTGAAAAGAGTTGAGAGAAAAGGCGAAAAAAATAAAATTGCCTTTAGGTAAAAATTCCATCAAGTCTTACTACCAATAAAATTTTTATCTCCTTATTAAATGTATGACGAATAGGATTTTAGTTGAAGGAAATATTTCTTTTATGCTTTGTTTGTCATTTGTATCAGATAGATCTGTTATTTCAGCATTAAACGATTCTCAAGGAATGTATTTCCATAAAGGATTGCATGTTATCATTTCGAGTTGGTTTTTAAGATTTTGTACAAGAATTGAGAAAAAGATAAAGAGTTTTTATTGTTAAGGTTGGGACCTTAGAAAACCTTTCTCTTCATATTTCTCACGAAAATTCTTCCAAGATAAGGCAAACCGTTCTCAGTCCATTGAAGTTTGTGGACTTGCCTTTTAGCTGAACATTCTCCATTTTTTTAAATGAATACTCCTATTGAAAAACTTAAATACCCTCACCTCTTCGTTGATATCCTGTTTTAGACGGTTTATTTATGAAAGAATTATTGAAATTTTCTAATTAATATAATAATGTTATCTCATAAAAGTTTATAGTATTGTTACAAAACATTTCTATTTTTTTTTTTACGTAATTTATGCCTTTTAATGACATAGCATTCAAGCAAGAATTTTGGGAATCTGGTGGCCTTATAAATTAAATTAAATAATCGCCCAATTTCCAGCAGAAAAGTAAGAAATTTAAGATTTGTGTTTTTTAATGCACGTCACGTTTTTCGATGAATAGGAAGCGATAACTTAAAAAGTTTTTAATTTATAAAATAGCCATACTTTTTCTTACTATATATATCATATATAGCTAAGTGAACGTAAAAGCGAGGTAAACAACATAATAACGAAATTATATATATATATATATATATATATATATATATATATATATATATATATATAAAGTATTAGGCCAAAGGTCACCAATAATAAAAGTTTTCACTTTATTTATTTATTATTCAACGTTTCGGCGTCTCGAGCCATTTTCAAGATTCTGCAAACTATTTTAATTTCGTTGTTCTTCTTTAAAATACATCGTTATAAAATTATAATAAATTAAAAATCTGTCTGTTACATATGTTGTCTTTATTCTTTCTTTGTATTCTATTTTAGAAAACAATTATTAAATAACATAACTATTTTTTAACATTTTGGTTTAAGAAATCATAAAAAATGGCACCGAATCTAAAATATATAATGAGAAAATGAAATAGTTTATATAGTTTATTTACAATTATCTTAATTACAATATTTTAAATAAAAATATAGCCATTTGATACAATTTATCAACAAAGTTTATAAATAACTAAAAATGTTGAATGATGTTTAAGTGCATTGGTCAGATTCATCCTAATGCCGATCATGTTAAAATATATTTCGAAAAAGAAAAACATTTTTTTCGAATTTTCAATTGCAAAATTTCACAGAGCAAACGGAAGTATGACAAATAAACTAAATAAAATGGAATGAAAAATAAGCAAGAAATATTACATACACAATCAGCAATTGAATATTCAATTTTCGTCAACGATCATTGAGACATAGAATTTATAACTTCATGAATCATTATTCGATGACTAAGTAAGCTAAATAGACATTTAACGTAAGCCAAGTTTTTACTACTTTTTTACTTCGAGAAACCTTCGAAATTCCTTGCAGACACTTAATCTACAATCTGGTGTTATAGAAATGAAACATTATATCACTGCTACAGAATATCGGGTCATTGATTGCAATCAGTGTCACCTCATTACAAAAATATCTTGGAGTAGATTTGACCTTCCTTAACTACTATGAGAATTCTGTTAAGGGACATTGGAGGATTCATGTGAGGGGCGGGATTTGGTCCCAAAAAATTATATATTTCTGTTTTTTTCTTTCACTCTTTATTGTTTTTTCTGTCTGTCACTCAATCATTTCTGAGTAAAAAATATTATTTTTAAATGTATTTTATTATTTTTTATAAATAATTAAAATAATCTAGACCTAAAAATATAGAAGCGGTACACAATTGTTCCTATTTATTTACTTATCTCGTTGTCTTTTAAAGCTAAAACAACTTAAAATATTAATTCGATAGATCTAATTTAATAAAGTAAAAGTCACATTTTTACCGAAAAATAAAACTAAATCTACATAGATACATAGATTTTATTAAAATAAAAAATTCACTATCTTGCGTAGATTCAAAATAATAAATGATCAAAATAAAACTACCTAGGAACTTTTTAACCCCACTAGGAGGCTTTTGTAATTAAGTTTACAAAAGACTGCTTACAGGTAATGATTTTTCTGGCGAATGATTTTTACGTTAAACACTCGATTGAAAGAGAGATCCAGTGAGATATTTGAAACATTTGGACTCAAAACATTGACTTATTGTTGTATGATATGTGTTGAATCTTAGCGTTAAAAGGTACATTCATCTGCTGATTGTAGATAGTATTAATTAACATGTACAGAATTATAAATGAAAGCTAAAAAAAAAAAAAAATAAAAAAAAAAAAAAAAAAAAAAAAAAAAAAAAAAAAAAAAAAAAAAAAAAAACAATGATATTTTACTCGAAAAACGGACAGTTTGAAAGCTCAAATAGTTGATATGTACGTACTAATTATTTGTATTTTTACTTACAATTAATTGCAAAATGATTCTACAATTTTTCTAATATTACCATACTATGAAGAGCAACTGATAAACCTCAAAAGAACTATAAAATAATTGGCAGTCAGAAAATCGAAAAAGCGGCATAAAACAAATATCATATAAAAAGTTTCATCTCATCGTAACCTATAACTATTTTATTTACGAAAACTCTTGGAATTGGGGCGTTTTCAATCTGGAGAGCGGCAAACTTTGTCTATTTAATTAGGTACTTAAAATTCGTAAATACCCATTTTATACCACTGGTATCGTAAGATAATTTGTTCACGAAATCGAGAAAAAAGGCGGCCTTCAAAAAAATTGTTCCGTTTCACGTGACCTAGACCTCCAAATTTTTAAAATAACGAGGTTATATAGGACAAACGGCCAAATATTTTTGTAGGCCACCTTTTTTATCGATTATGTGTTCAAATTATCTTGCGATCCAAATAGAATACAAATGGGCATTTACGGGTTTTTTAGTACCTAATTAAATGGACAAAATTGGCTCTCCTCCAGAATGAAAACGTCCCAATTCCAAGAGTTTTCGTAAATAAATGATTGTAGGTTACGATGAGATGAAACTATATACGAAGTTTCAAGCGGATGTTAATAATTCGATAAAAAGGGGTGTCTACCACGGACTACTACATCGACCTGATACAATAAAAACAATCATTTTCGGAAAAACTGCCTCCTACTGTCTTATGTTTCAGTTTTGAGGAATATTGGTTTTCTCAACCTTTCACCGTATTCAGAGAACTATCCACTTATTTTTAAAATGATCATTTCTGTAGGGGCGTCAGGTGGTCAAGCTACATAACCAACACAAATCCGGGATCCAAGATCTGTCTCCATCTCAATGTTTTTTTGTTTTGCAATTATAAAGGAATAATTATCTGGAAACTTTACGAAAACAGCAAAATAAGTAAAAATATAATACGGTGAATTACCTCTTTCGTACATCTTAATGGCTTCGGACAAGAAAGGGAAGAGAAGCCTGTTGACGATAAAACCAGGAGTGTCCTTGCAACTGATTGGTTTTCGATCGATGGACTTCAGCCATTCAAACAGGGTGTTGTAAGTTGCATCCGAAACTGTGTCTGCCCTCACCAACTGTGGAATGTATACTTTTAGTTATTATACAGCAGAGAACAATGAATCTGATCTGAGATTTGAGTAATCATAAATTGAGCTTTGGAATCATTATACTAATGAAGACTCAATCATCATAAGTTTCAACTAATGCCATCGCTCGGGCGCTACAAGGACAAAGTTCTAAAAATTATATACAAAATACTTAAAAATAGTGCTATTTCTATCATTAGTCATAATGTTTATATCATATTCATTCCTTTTCATATTTATTAAGATCTTCATTCACGACAATTTTCTTAATCACTTTTTCCTGTCGCGTACACCATGGATCTCCAAACTACCTACGCCGTAAACACCTCCAATTCCGAAAGTTTTATTTATTTATTATATTATAAAAATAAAAAAAAATATTTTTAAAATTATGAAATTAAGTAAATCACTCAAACACGAAGTTACTACAACATTTATTGGACGAGTTGTTCCTCTTAGAAAGCTCATTTCACAACTGAAGGGTCTTTAACGAAACAAGATTGTGTTTTTTCTTTCGTCACAAGCCATGGCCCGCCAGACTTTGTGGAGTTCTCAAAGCGGTCCCCGAGACTTATTGTATATATCAATGTAGCCCATTGATAACGTGCCAAAAGTTTGGAGATCCTTGGCCTAAACTAATACAAATCTCTTTATGATTTTAGGAAAGAATACATATTTCTTTTTTTTTTTTTTTTGAGAGAGAGAGAGAGAGGTTAAAGAAAATTTTGAGCTCAGAATCGAAAATTTTTCAGCCGCGTTTTACGTTTCAGACATCAAGGATCAAATTTGGTTCGGTGTCTGTCTGTCTGTAGTCAAATCGATGTAACGAGCTTATCATCTATGTTTATCCGATTTTCATGAAATTTTCAGGAATTCTGCGGGTTGGTGTCTAGATGGTCCCATATCAATTTTATTAAATTTTAACCAGCACTTCCGGTTACGCGGTTACAAACGCAATTTTTGTATATAAGCCAATATTTCAGAAACTGCTGCTTCGATTTGGCTCAAAGTTAAAAAGGTAGGTATTTGTGAAAAAATAATGTAGGGTCAATTTGATTGAATTCTGTCCACTGCTTTCTCTTATGTATGCTCAAACGTGTTTTCCTATATCTCTAATACCGCACGTTCGATTTAATATTAGCTGATAAACGAAATCCGTGGATATTAAACCCGCGAATGTTGAAGGATCACTGTATTTTGCGAATTCGCTTCTCTTAGAAATTTTTTTCCCATATGAAAAATTATTACAAGGTATACAACTACAAATATGCTTTTAATATTTTAGCCAATGAAAACAGTGAGGAAGCTATATTGACCTTACTTGGCAGACGTTTTTTATAACATATTCAACATATAAAGAAAAACAAGATTCTATGAAATAGTTCAAAAATTTAATTAGTATAATAATAACTGTTATATATCGTCGGTTTATTGCAACAAGTCATAAAGTGACATTTGATAAAATGTAACCACTAAGTACTTTAATGAATGTTCCTTCTTACAATCAGAACGCTATGCACTCAATGAAACTACACTTGATATACAAAAGGATCTGTGTTATTTTGATGAAATTATTTACTCTTGTACCCATAAATAATATCGAAAGACACCAGAGTTAAGATCAACCAAAAATGTACTTACTGACTTTTTACTATAAACCGACGATACATTATACGGAAATTAAAGAAATGGGATCGATAAATCCTAATATAATTTATCTGATACTCAATGCAACCCCGAGCTGAACCTTCATTGGAAACCTGCCAGGACGTCGGTTCATCAGTCCACTTTACTCCAGGATGTTTATGAGAACTCAGATACTAACTGGAGAATTTAGGAAACCCAAACTGAACTGCGCAACTTCAGGAAAGCTCGACAAAATTTTATTCAAAATTTAGGATATTGAACCACATATCACTCAATAAATTTTTCCTTTTGATATATTTAGATTAACAACTGACATTTCGTAAATAGTTTCATCTCATCGTTACCTACAACTATTTTATTAACGAAAACTCTGTCTACTGGTTGGTAAACTTTGTCTATTTAGTTAGGAACTAAAAACTCGTATAAACCAATTTCCTTTCCACTTGGATCGTAAGATAATTTGATCACAAAATCGAAAAAACTATTGTGCTGTTTGGCGTGACCTAAACTCCAAAAATGTCAAAATAACGAGGTTGTATAGGCCAAACAGCCAAATATTTTTATGGCCACCCTTTTTTATCGATTTTGTGATTAAATTAACTTACGATCCAAGTGGAAACGAAATAGGTAAATACTTGTGTTTTCTGTTATTTATTATTTATTTATTGAATAGATTAATTTTGCCGACCTCCAAATCGAAAACGCCCGAATTCCAACAGTTTTCGCAAATAAAATAGTTGAAGCTTCCGATGAGATAAAGCTGTTTACGAAGTTTCAGGCGGATGTTAATAATTCGATTAAAAGGAGTCTGTACTACGGACTATCATCTATTAACCGTTCTTGGTATATCTGATATAGATTCCAATGGTCCGACCTAACATTCTCTTTTTAGTGTATTGTCTATTGATTGATGGGTGTGCTGTGTTATTTAGCAAATCAACACAGTTGAGCACGCGTACAATGTTGTTGTATTTCTCTCCTTAAATAACTAAAAGGCTAATATAATTCAAATGTATTAAATGCACCTCGACTAACTGCATAACCGGAACTGGATTGAAGAAGTGGACACCGGTGAAGCGGTCTTTCCTTTCGACCGCGACACTCAAGTCCCTCACCGGTATCGAGGAGGTGTTGGTTCCGAAAATTGTCCTCTCAGGTGCCACCTAAGGTAAAATAAATTTTTTATTTTTTTATTTATTGTTATTGAGGTATAATACATTTTATCACACTTATGTGTGCTGAATATTAGAGCTGTAAGGCACATTCGTACAATATTTACAATACAATAAAATAAAAATTAAAAAATGTTAAATAAACAAATATATATATATATATATATAATGAAGTATATATGACAAAAGTAAAAACTGTAATAAAAACAAAGAAATATAACTTGAAGCGAAATAAAATAATACAGAGATTCTCAGGAAAAAACATATACATTATTAATATAAATATATTAAATAGGGATTATATTTCATCAATTTAGTATCATTAATGTTCTGCTCACTAACTTAAAATAGTAGAGCAGTTTTCATATTACAACGAAAATTCATCCATATAAAAAAATTGGAAAAATCTGCATGTTTAAATTAGTTAAAATGATTAAATTTTAATGGCGAATGGATTATATTCAAGCAGAAAGTAATTTCATTATCTTAACCGTTGATGCTTTTTTTCTCCGAGATATATATTCTATACTTTCTAATCTACTGTTCCAACTGACACCTGAGTGACCCGGGAAGGTAGATGAAAGGACATAATATAATCTCATAGAGATAAAAGCTAAGACAAAAAATAACCCAGGGAGTAAGCTTGAAAATTTTATTCAATATTCACATATGTACTTACTTAAATAATTTCAGTAACAAGTCTAAATACGTTTAGTTCAAATAAAAAATCAGTCAGTACAAATAAATTCCGCTACAATAATCGAATCATTTGTTTTAAATGACGAGCAGGAAATAACTACAAAATTTAAATAAACACCACTAGCTATTATATTAAGTTATCCACAGCGCTGATGATTTTCAGTACATGCTTGAGAAACACGACACGGGACATTTATTATTTTAATTCATCTTCTTCTCTGTATAAAATTAATAAATTAAAGGCTTAGCGAACCCGAAGGTTCGATGCTGACACTACCAACCGTTTTATTATACACACCTCTCCCCTCCACCGTTCGCCGTCCAAACCCAGTCCCTTCAGATCGACTTTAATGTAATCTTCCCACCTTCGCTTCGGTCTACCCCTCGGACGTTTACCATTCGGTACAGCAAATATTAACCTTTTAGGAATTCTCTCGTTACTAAGCCCAACAACTTTACAAGCCCATTTGATTCGCCGCGATGAAATTACCTCAATTATATTATTCGGATACAGTTCACGCAATTCGGCATTGTGTAATCGTCTGAGCTCTCCGGTTAACTCATCCTTCTTCGGTCCGAATATTCTACGCAATACTTTATTTTCAAAAACCTTAAGAAGCTGCTCATCACTTAATGTAAGCGGCCAAGTTTCGCATCCATAAACAACTGTAGGTAAGATAGTAAGATAATGGTTTTATAGATTCTAATTTTCAAGTTCCGGGACAAGAGGACTGAGCTAAGTAGTTTTGTCACAGAAAAATAACAAGCATTTCCCGCCTTCAGTCTAACCTTAATCTCTTCTTCAATTTCGTTTTTTCTAGTTATCGTAGAACCTAGATACCTAAATTTCTCTACCTGTTCAAACATATTACCATCTATAACGATATCACCAGTAGTATCGCCATTCTTGCAGCTAACCATATATTTTGTTTTATAAGCCTCAATTTCGAGCCCTAGTTCTTTACCGGTTTTCATTAACGTTGTCGTATTTAGTTTTATAGTTTCCACATCTTCGCTTAAGAGTACCAGATCATCAACATAGCCCAGCACGGTTATTGTCCCACCAAGATCCAACCCCTTTTCGGTACGCATTACCTCCCTAATGGCATGTTCTAATGCGAAATTGAACAGGACAGGCGAAAGAGAATCCCCCTGTTTTAAACCCAAACGAACCTCAAACTTTTCGGACAGATTATTACCGATTCTAATTTTATTGAGTGTTTCCGTCAAACACATCCTGACTAGATTTACTAGTTTTTTACAATCAGCCACTGTTGGAGGGCTATAAGTATTAAGGCTAAAAGTTCTCATTCATACAGTATATACAAGTAATACAGAAGTAACTATAAATATAAAAAGTAAATAAATAATACTTATAAAAAAATGTAAATCAATAGAAAAAAAAAAAATAAAAAAAAATAAAAAAAATAAATAAATAAACAAAATAAAATAAAAACTTCTAAACACATTCATACCTATATACAATATATACATTCGCCCAGGAATCTCCGAGCCAGGCTTTTCTCCCCACATGTGGAAAGCAAAGCAGGACTCCAGAGATCCCAGTGCCATTTTTCCAGCCGCATCACTAGTATTAAAAGCCAGTGGAGGCTGAAGGAGGGCACTAGAGCCACAGATGCTCAGGACTTGAGTGGAGAAGCTGGCCATTGCCAGGACTCCAGAAGCATATTTACAATAGATCTCGCGGCCACTGCCGTTTTAACCTTCGAGGGGGATTGTAGGGATGGTGGGAGCTGGATAGGGATTGAGCTAGAGGATTTGGATGATGGATAAGGTTCTGGTGAAAGTTTGAGAATCTGGATGGGATGATGTCGAGGACAAAAGGGATGTTAAGGTCATGGTGTAGGGTCTTATTTGTGACATAATATGGGGCATTGGCTATTGTTCTAAGTACTTTGGACTGGAAGGATTGGATGCGTTTGATATTCGAATGTTTAGCAGTTCCCCACAGTTCAAGTCCGTAGGTCCAGATAGGTTTCAGTATTGTCTTGTAGATTAAAAGTTTATTTTCAATCGAAAGATGAGATGTCCTGCTTAGTAGTCTATATAGCTGGCCATATCGTTGGTTAAGTTCTTGTCTTTTAAGTCTCGTATGTGGGTTCCAAGTTAGTCTTTTGTCTAGAAGGAAGCCAAGGTAACGGACTGTATCTGAGTAGGGAAGTGGTATTGAATTGAAAAGGATTGTGGGACAGGATCTGCGTCGCATAGTGAAAGTAATATGTTTACATTTTGCTTCATTGATTTTAATGCGCCAGTCGTTGCACCACTGCTCAATCAAGGAGAGGTGAGATTGTAGGTTTTGAGATGCTATTTGAGGATCTGAGTGGGAGGATAGAATGGCAGTATCATCGGCAAATGTAGCTAGGAAGGTATCGGGATTTGGAGGGATATCGGCAGTGAAAAGGATGTAGAGAACTGGACCCAAAACACTGCCTTGTGGAACACCAGCCTCAACTGGATAGTAAGTGGAGAATTCGGTGCCGCAACGGACTTGGAAGGAACGATTTGAGAGATTGGATTTGAGGACTAGGTATAAGGATTGGGGTAAATGGGTTTTGAGCTTGAAAAGCAAGCCATCGTGCCACACCCGGTCGAAAGCTTGCGCTACGTCCAGAAAGGCACCAGTGCAATATCCTGCTCGATTAGAATATTATATAGTTTCTGGCGGTCAATAGAATCGTAAGCCTAGTATATAATCGTAAGTCTTCTTTGTTTAGTACTGTTTTATGCAAAATGCCTGGGGTGGAATATATTAATTACAAAAATATAGATTAATTACAAAACATTTTAAAAACAGGTTCTGAAAATGAAATGAACAGTTTCAGCATTCACAGGTCTAGAAATCGAATTATTTAATGAATTTTACATAGCTAAAAATATATACGTTAAATGCAATATTAAATTAAAAGTGATTATATTAAATATGAACATGAGACATACTTTGTCGATAGAAGCAAAAACTTTCCTTTTAAGCTCGGGGTCTTCGGCGATGGCTTCCAAGACCAGGTCCGATTCGCTGGCTGCTCCTGATAAATCCGTGGAGAACTGTATCTGCCGCAAAGAATTCTCTACGAACTTCTCTCCTTCTTCCGGGTTTTCCTTCAAATAAAATTGATCATAAACTATGAATTATGATTAATGTAATACAATTTTTTATTATCTTATCACACTTGTGTTATATAAATAAAATAATCCAGGAAGGAAGCTGATTATTGTAGTATTGTAGCTGAGTACTATAGTTCAATTCCTGAAATCTATTCATTTATTCATTTGAAAATCTATTCCATATTTTTCAATTTTAATAAAAATAAAAAAAACTGCAAATTATTTCACAATGATTTATTATTTCCAAACAATTATACATCTAAAGGAACATTACCTTCCTAGTGACAAAGAAAAATAAATAAAAAGGGATTCCAATTATTGAACTAAACTTTTTTTTTTTAACCATTAGTAGTATGCTAAAAAAATTAGCATTACTTCAGTAGCACATTCAAAAATCAAAAACCAAAACAAAGGATATAACCTTTGCAGTATAACATATTAAAAATATCTAGAGACATTATCTTTGCTACTAACTGTCCGATTTTAACGATTGTTTTTTTTCAGGAAATTTCGTAAACTTTTAAATAACCGTATACAATATCGACAAAAAATTGTATAATTTTTGAGTTATTCGGGATCTAATTTTACTATCCCTCGTAATTTTTTTTCCAGCTTCTTTTCGTTGAAATATGTTATATAGATAAATTTAAAGGGCATCGAGAAGAAGACTTTAGCGAAGTTTCATTGAAATCGGTACATTCGATTAACCGCTACAGGCTGTAGCAACGCAGGTTTTTCGGTCGTCATCTTGAAAGGAAAAGGCGAATAGAAATGTCAATGAAGGAGGATCATCCTCGGGTGACCTCTAATTTTAAATCCAAATAGGAAAAAAAGCGGTGCAGTAGTTTCGGAGAAAATGCGCGGTCGGCGGACGGACGAAAAAAATTGTATTCGTTTTTCGAATTCTATCCTGAAACGTGAAACCTCAAATTTTGAGGGAGAGGAGGGGGTTAAGTTTTTGAATTTGTTGTTTGATCATAATGGTTCATTATTGAAAATAATAAACCAAAATATGACGTTTAAATCTTTTGAAAAATATTAATATTCATTTTAATGCAATAATATCATAGGATAATATTTGAATAGGAATGGAATTAGTAAACTTTATAAAAGTTTAAACTAATAAATGGTAATGTCATAGCCAACATACATGAAAAATATTTAAAAAACCATTATTTTAATTTTTTTTATTAAAATGAATCCCAGATCATGGAAAAACAAATAATAAAAACTTCACAATAGTTGATAGTAGTGATTTTTGCTGAAAATACGGGTACTTTTATGAGAGTGGATAGAAAATCATATAATTTCTTTATTCAAGTTGACGCGAATCTCAACTTTTTACCTAATAAACTTCAACTTAATGAATATGGACTTATTAATCAAGGTAGTTTTCTTAAAAGTGGGGTGTCTGTAGTATAGTTGGATAATGATAAAAAAAATTGCAAATAATTTATGATTTATTTAAAAACTTAGCTTAGTTTAATCGCTCAGATGTCCTCTTTAAATAATTATAATAATACAAACTCTTTTTTTATTTTAAGTAAATTTTGTCTGGTTTACAGTGAAGCGATTGTTAATTACTTAAATTAAACGTTTCTTTAATTATCGCTTTCTATTCAACAAAAAAACATGAATTACTTAAAAAAAACATAAAACTTTCCTACTTTTCTAATGAAAACTGGCCCATTGCTTATTTGAAATTTTTTGTAGGCATTAAGGTTTTTTATCATTCCAATAAAAATTTTCATCCACTTTCAGGACAACCTTCCTTTATCAATATATACTAAGATTTGAATATTATATATACTAAGATTTTATATATACTAATTATATATACTAATATTTTATGATTCAATCACCCCTCAATTTTAAAGTGATATTTTTAGCACATTTTCCGCAGCAAACTAGTCGCATTGTGAAAAAGTTTTATATTTATTTGAGGTTGTACAGGTTATTTGAGGCACACTAAAAACTTAAAGATATAAGTACGTGCAGCAATAATTATAGCACAGTCTAGAATTTTATGTTTCATTCATCTGGACCCTTTCATTTTCACTTGAATATATCGTTACATTTTCCGCGGCAAATTTGAAGCATCGGATAATTGAGAGTTCACCTCAATGCCTGGAACCTTTAAATAAAAATAAAAATATTCAATTGCTTCGTTAAGATATTTTAAAATATACCCACACGCAAAAAAATCAAAAACAAATATAAATATTAGTTATATAACTAATATACAAACGTTCATTTTATGTATAGTATTATATTGTTGGTTTTACAATATATTGATTATGTTAACTATCACTCGTAATTTTTAAACATAATATAAACTCTCGAGACTTTTTTTTGTGGGACCCATCGCCCCTTCTACCCCAACCAGAATGGAAAGTCTGCGCCTATGCTATTCACTCAAACACTCTATTTGAGCTATCTGATTCTTCGGTAGGACATGTAACAATGACGTAACTTGAAATTATAAAATTTTATAGCAGGAGAAAAATAACTTTTTGTATAAGTAATATATTGTTTTTAAAATTGATTGTACCAGTCAAAAATTCTTATAAAATTCTTCCATTTAAATTTTACTTATATTATACTATGACGTCGATTCGATTACACATGCCTTTCTGACAATCAAACGAGATAAAACATTGTATGCAGTATGCACTGATACTTTACATAGGCGCAATGATTAATAAGTATAAATTAATAAGGTCGATATATTCTTGGACGTCATCCTGATGTGTCTATATTTCAATAATGATTGTTACAAGTTCTGAGAAATATTTAAGTGACCTCAAAGTGACCCATAATTCTAATCTTTACTACCTATACTAACTGCCACAGTTGTATATTATTATTTTATGATATATTTAATTTTTATTTACGTTAACATACAATTTGAAATTCTTCAAATCTAAGTCAAATGAAGAAAAAATATTTTAAAAATACTGTAAAGGTTTGAGCAATAATTAACAATATAATAACAAATTCGAATGTTTAAATTCATTTTGAAGTTGTTCCACGAGCGGATATACGGGGGAGGGGGGCTTTGGGGCTGAAGCCTCCCCCCTAAATGGTAAAATATAACCATGTTTTATGAAAAAAAAAATATTAAAAAATTATTTCTTAAAGTATTATTGTTCGAGTAATTACATTTAGAAGGACTTTAGGAATCACTTAAACAGCATTTCATATAGGTAGTTAGTTTCTTTCTTTTTTTCCAAAGTAATTATCGTTATTTTTGTGAAAAAAAAAGTTTTCGAGCTGAAGCCTCTCGAAAATAGAATACTGGATCCGCTAGTGAGTTGTTGATTCTATTATCTGAAGTAAATAATGAGTACTTCATTTACTCTAATTATAGATTATTTTTCATCTCATATTATTCGATCTTTACTTGGATTCTATTAATGTCTTGACGACTTGAGACTCTCAAGTGACCTCCTTCAAGTGAAACTCTCAAATCATTGCTTCATATCAATTCATAAATCTAATTATACAGAGTGGTCCATAAGTAGATGAAAATATTTAAAAGATTTATAGATAGTATATTAGAATTATTTTATTAAATTAACATTTTTTTTTATTTGTTTATTTAGAAATATAATACTCTGCCACGTAGACAATAATTATAGTGATATATGAACACATTCCCACCATAAATTAACAGCAATTTTGTTTCTTTCTTTTATAAATAGAAGTTATGTGAAAAATATACTGACTTACTCGGCAGTCTTTTATTTTTTTCTTATCAGTTACTAACAAAAAATAATTATGCCCAGACAGCCTACTTACCATACAAGGTCTAGATATCACAGAACAAACCTTAACTTTTTTAGAGGTCAGTGTCTAATCTATAAACTAGATAGGAAAATAGGAGAAAAAAAGTTACTGAAATGACTAAACGAAAAAAAAAAAGAAAACTATATTTATTTTAACATGAAAATGTTTTTCACTTACCTTGTACAGTGTTTTGGCTACTTTTTTCAAGCCTTTTGTGATAGTTTGTTTCGATTTTTTTAATGCTTCTTCGCTCACATCGATAAGTGAGACGTTCTGGCCTTTCTGAGCGATCACCTAAAAACAATTCTTTATAAAAAAAATTATCTTGGCCATTAATAAGAATCATTATAATAATTTAGAATATTTTTTCTAAGAGTTAAAATAGTAGCATAAACTCACGATTCTCCAAAGTATACAAGTATACAAAGTACGTATTCAAAGTATTAAGGATGCATATCGAATAAAAGTGTCGATAACTATGGTATCAATTTTTGAGAAATTGATAAAAATCGATCAGAATAATAGAATAATAGTGGTTGTTGATCCTCCGATATTCGTGAACTCCAAATTTTCAAAATTACGACGTTGTAAGGAAAAACAGCCCAATATTTTTGTAGGTCACCCTTTTTATCGATTTTGTGATCAAATTATCTTACGATCAAAGTAGAAAGGAAATGGGTATTTACGAGTTTTTAGTACCTAATTAAATAGACAAAGTTTGCCCCCCCTCCAGATTGAAAACTCTCCAATTGCAAGAGTTTTCGTAAATAAAATAGTTGTAGGTTACGATGAGATGAAACTATAAACTGAAGTTTCAGGCGGATGTTAATAATTCGATAAATAGGGGTCTGAACCACGGACTATTATTTCTGATCAACTCAGATTGCAGTTAAAGGTACAGAAAATGTCTGAACCCGTAATAACAAAAACTATGCCATAAATTAGCCAGGCAGAAAAAAAATATTGAAAGTGCATATACCAAAAGAGTCAATTATGATCTGATAAATAATCATGATCTGATTATTTAAAGTATTAAGGATGCATATCGAATAAAAGTGTCGATAACTATGGTATCAATTTTTGTGAAATTGATAAAAATCGATCGGAATAATAGAATAATAGTGGTTGTCGATACTCCGATATTCGTGAACTCCGAAATTCATGCATGTTAAAGATTGACTTTAAGCCCAACCCTTATTTTATTTTAGGATTCTTTCCCTTCTCACAAAAAACCACCCCACAGATGGTGTATTTAAAAAAAACATTACTGTTTTAAAAACGTTTACCATTAAGTATCAGCCGGTGTGTCCAGAAGAGAATTACATCGTTCAGAATGCACCATAAATTTTTTTGAGAGGAACAAGCTTTTACGGGATTATATATAATTGAGCGGTAAGCACATTCAGAGGCGATGAATTTTTTAATGTAACTATAATTTTGCGAGGTTCCAATTAAAAAGAACTTTCAAACAAAGGAAAAAACTTCACTGCAATTTTTATAACTTTATTTTCATCTTCACCATTTTTAAGAATAGGAAGCAATAAATGTTCATAAAGAGGGCATGCGCCATCAGCCTTGTATAGGTAGTTCCATTGTGTATCAGCTACTTTTTCAATTATATATGAAATAGCTCAAAATACATTTTTTTTATCACTCTCTAAGTATACTCGTTCTAGATTGGAGATTTTTAAACTTATATACTCCGCGTACAACCGTTGAATAACATGCGTTATGTTATTATTTGTACGTTTTGTCTTTGAGATTCCAATGGACACCTCCATCTCTCGTCTTTATGAAGTCCTCCTACTCCTACCCCATGGATTCGCCAGTGGAGGAATCTATCATTGATCACTGATTTTGTGAGAAATATTACCCTGTCTGTGGAAGACATTTGTATTTATAAAGATTATATAATTATTCTATACCTCCAACAATTTAAAATCGGTTCTAATAGGCATAGACAAGGTAAGTAATTGATTTCATAGATGTACTGCAATCGAATTCTATCAAAGTGATTAATTTTCTTAATTTTAGACAAACTATTCCTTTAACCGTACCTTAAGAAGGATAATTTACTCTTAATAGCAGGAATTTAAGTAGCCATATTTATTTTTTCAAGGGTCATTTTCTCTTTTTCAATTACCGTAAATCCACCACTGGTTCAGAAAGATTAATTGGTATTACCTTTTGGACAATTAATATTTATGGCTGTCTACAGATGTACTTGAAGAGGATAAGGTTTCACGACCAATTATAGACTACAAATACAGGATATCGAATGTAAAGTAAACAATAAAATTTATTTAGCCCTTTTAACTTTTAGTAAATCTTTTTTAATTATTCAATGTAGATTGATTCTATTTTCTTTAAATAATTATATTTTAACATTTTTGATATTCTTTATCAAATATTTAGTCATAAGTTACTTAATAGTTTAGCACAAAATGATTCAAAATTTTGTAATCCATGGTCAGGAACATATTCATGGTAGGAAGGTGGAAGAGAGAGTTAAGAAATTTGAGAGCCTATTTGAAATTGTGAAGATCATGGCGAAACAATTTACTTCAAGAATAACAAAATTTGTCTAGCGATATGAAGATAAATCAAGTATACTTTGTTATGGAAAATTGAGTAATGTACCTTTTTTACATAGTAAATGTTGACTTTTAACAATGATTAATGTTTCATTTTATATATTCAGTTAATTTTTTTGTTAACAAACAATTACAAATTATTTTACTCATAATAAGTTATAAACACTACTTAGAGTTCAATTTTTTAAAAACATTAGAGGAAGCCTCCAGGGTTCTCTTTTCCGCTGAAGGATGTTCTATATACCTCTTCCATCTACCCTCACTCCTATCTCTTCACCCACCACCAGAAATTTGAAAATCAGTTAAAAGTCATGGGAAATTTTGTATTTTCCACTCAAATAAATTATGGAACTAGCCTCCATAACCATCCTCTTCGGTACTTAAATGTATTAAAAAGGGTACATTTTTTTAAAAATAAAAAAACGATCTCGTTAAATTCATTTTTATAAAGTTCAAACCACAATTAAAATTCAGATTCACATGAAAACGGTACCTAAGACATTTTATTGCCAATCGAAACATGGACATCCGATAACCTCAGGATCAAGGGAAGGTAATCATATTCGCCAAGGTTATAAAATGATAAACTATAGGATTGTTCTAGTTAATCGAAATAACATACAATCCAATTAAAATATTTCGCTTAAAAATCTTTTTTATTTTAAGTCACAATTTATTTGACTCCGAACTGTTAGAGGGGTTCATAACGTTTAGTAATTATCAACACTTCACCCTAATCGAACAATGCACAAATATCAAAAGGGTTATATAATTCGATAAAATTGGTAAGATGACTGTACTCTATTCTTAGACTCTTGAATCGATTTATAATATTGAACTAGTAACGCGTTCAATCGATAGTGAGACATTTCGAAGTATGAAAATAAACCATAAAAAACCTGTATCGCTACAACCCATGAAGGGTCATGGATTCAGTAATATTTAAGGAAAGTAATTTTACAAGGCCAAAGGTTGTGTAGGGAGGGGATCGGGCCAAGATCACGTGTTTTCCCCTTAATCAATTATTTAATTAAGGGTACCCAGTTTGTAGAGGCTGGGTATGCCCCAGGAGGGTCTTCTTACCCCAGAGTCGCCCCACGACCAATGAAACAGAATAAATAATTTTTCTACCATGAGTCGGGATTAGAACCTGGGATCTTGGTGCCCTACCAACGAGCTACCCCGCATCCAATGAAAATTAGCTATCCACTGAAAATTAACCATAATGAACATATTTCATTAAAATTATCTAAATCGATCGTGTCCCTCATGTAAGTTAGTAATATGGACTAAATCTTCCCCAAGCTGTCTTAACTACTGTATTTGTTCCGTTCGAATGCTCCGCACAATCTTAACATCGGTACCAAGTTTTAATACGTTAATGGCTCAGTATAACTTCTATTCTATAATGTCTGATACTCAATGATTTAATAAATATATTTAAAAAACATGGAAAAAACAAAACAAAAGGTGATTCCAATTATTGGACTAAACTCTTTAATCATTAGTAATATGCTAAAAAAAAATAGCATTAGCTCAGTAACACATTTAAAATTTAAAAACCAAACCAAGGATATAAAATTTGGAGTAGAACACATAAAAAAAAACCGGAGACCATATCTTTGCTCCTGATTGTCCGATTTTAACGATTTTTTTTTTTTTAGGAAATTTCGTAAACTTTTAAAAAACTATTTACAATATCAATAAAAAAGCAAAAACTTTTCGAGTTATTCGGAATTTAATTTTACCATCCCATGTAACTTTTTTCCAGCTTCTTTTCGTTGAAGTATGTTATATAGATAAATTTAAAGGGCGTCGAGAAAATGACTTTAGAGAAGTTTCATTGAAATATGTACATTCGTTTAGGAGCTACAGTCTGTAGCAACGCAGGATTTTCGGCCGCCATTTTGAAAGTCAAAGGCGGAGAGTAATGTCGATGAAAGAGGATCATCCTCGGGTGACCTCTGATTTTATATCAAAATTTATTTTATTTTTTTATTATTTATTTTAAATGATATTTACAACTGTATACAAAAAATACATCTGGTAAATTCGCACATTGGTATAAAGACATGGAACACATGTTGAGAAACTACCCATTGGTAGCACTCTAATAATATGTCTATATTAGAAGATCACGTGGCCATCTTCTTTTCAGACGCCTCGGAGGGTTATCAGGAATCGAATAGGAAGCAAGGTTAGAGACAAGAGGGTTGGATGGTTATGAAGATATCGAAATTTAAAAAAAAAATCGGTCCAGTAGTATCGGAGAAAATGCGCGGACGGCGGACGGACAAAAAATTTTTTATTCGTTTTTCGAATTCTACGCGTCTTGAAACGTGAAACCTCAAATTTTGAGAGGGGGTTATGTTTTTGAATTTTTTGGTCGATCACAATGTTTCATTATTGAAAATAATAAACCAAAATCGAAAGATCAAGTGAATTTTCAAAATCATAAACTTCAATAATAAACAAAGCAACTGTATTAGAGAAATATTTAATGAAATCAAAATCAAAATATAACCTAATATAAAACTGCATGAGAAATAAATTTAATTGTTTAGGGGAGCGGGGGAAGATGACACCGTTGCAGAGGGCGCTAAATGTCGAGGACCGGCACTGTCTAACTTTTTATTTGCGAAAATTCAGAGAAATAGGGCGCTGATTACATTCTCGACGTGCTCATATGACTTTAACAGTTATAGTCCGTGGTACAGACCCCTATTTACCGAATTATTAACATCCTCCTGAAACTTCGTAAATAGTTTCATCTCATCGTAAACCTACAACGATTTTATTTACGAAAACTCTTGGAATAGGGGCGTTTTCAATCTTGAGTGGGGCAACTTTGTCTATTGAATTAGGTACTAAAAACTCGTATATGCCCATTTGCCTTCTATTTGGATCTTCAGATAATTTGACCAAAAAATCGATAAAAAAGGTGGCTTACAAAAATATTGGCCCGTTTGCCCTATATAACCTCGTTATTTTGAAAATTTGGAGTCACGCCAAACGGCTCAATATTTTTGAAGGACGCCTTTTTTCTCGATTTTCTGATCAAATTAGTCTTACGATACCAGTAGAAAGGAAATGGGTATTTACGAGTTTTTAGTGCCTAATTAAATAGACAAAGGTTGCCCCCCTCCCCCTCCAGATTGAAAACGCCCCAATTGCAAGAGTTTCCGTAAATCAAATAGTTGTAGATTACGATGAGATGAAACTATAAACTGAAGTTTCAGGCGGATGTTAATAATTCGATAAATAGGGGTCTGTACCACGAACTATTATTTCTGATCGCCTCAGATTGCAGTTAAAGGTACAGAAAATGTCTGAACCCGTAATGAATAGAAATCTGACAAAAACTATGCCATAAATTAGTCAGGGAGAAAAAAAATATTGAAAGTGCATATACCAGTCAATTATGATCTGATTAGATGATTTTTATTTCGTTTGACTTTTAATAGCTGCGTTTATAATTCCTTTAAAGAAATCCTTGTCCACAAAACTCAGCCGTTTCATTAACCTGTACCATGCACATAATGTTTCATCAAAACAGACAGGGATGCCCATCACCCCAAGTTCGATGGCGCATGAATCATCATCCCCTCTCTAAACCTTTTATTACACTCCTCTTCTTAAAAGCAGAGCAAAAGTAGAATTTAAAAAATTGTAGTTCATATACAATTACACTTGCTGTGGTCCGTCCCATGTTTTTTCCCTTGTTCTCTATTTTGAAAGTTTTCACTCCCAAAATTTATAACTCTGTCAAAATGTACTCCCCTCAAAATTTTCAAAATACCGCCAAATTTTCCCACAGGAATAATAGTTTAAAACGAACAGTATTTAAAAATAAGTCTGATTGAAAACAAGATAACAGCACTTTTTAAAATTGTTTTCTTTTGTATTTCAAGAGCGAACTACTTAAAAATTGTTTTTAACACTCACAGTTACACAAATGGGGTTTGTATTTCAAAATATTTTATAAAACCAATATGCTTTTATTTTTATGACACTTTTTGAAATTCACCATCACGAGCACCGATCGTGAAGTGTTTCATACATTAAATTTTATTAGTATTATTATTATATTTATTAGGTTGTTAGTTTTATAAATTGTTAAAATAATCTCCTACCTGAGCAATGCCCGACCCCATTTGGCCACCTCCGATGACGGTAACATTCTTGATGCCAGAAAATGCCGCGGAAGAGAACCTCGCCGTGTGAAGCATGTTGAACTGTGGTTCAGCCAGCTATGTCGAGAAACTTCCCCTACCCTGGCATTGGCGAATATGCTAAGTACGGCCTTAGCCACCGATAAGATTTTTTTTAATACAGCACGAAACTTTCCTGTATATAATAAGAACAGCTCGGTAAGAGGTTTAGGAACTTTCTTTCCTCGAAATATATAAATGGATTTGATGTGGAAAATAGATGGCTATTTTTTACATTTATTGTATGTAAGCACATTTCACACACTCAGAAATAGTCTTTCTCCCCCGCATCTTGATAGTAAATGAATATATAAACCATAATATAATTGTAGACTCACCTCCGGCAAGTCTTAGCAAAACTAGCTAAACTAACGAAGATTGCAATTAACCTTGCTCTAAAATCTTCCATCACAAATTTGAAAGCAAGAGATAGATTCCATATTGATTATGAGCGTACTGGTGGACACCAATACCGACATTAAATCACGTTAAATATTAATAAAATCTTGATGATCAAGATAATTTTTTTTATATTCAGCTTTATTTTTTATATATTGATAGACTTAATTTTGATTAATTGGCGTATAAACTGGCTTATTCATTCAGAAATACGTCAGTGCTGGGATTTGACCGTATTCAGATCCACGGCAAATGAAGCAGTGATCTATGTCACTATTTTTTATTTCATAATCCATTATTTGTTCAATTTTGCATTAACCGTTTGTGCTGAATTTTTTCAATATTATAGACCAGGGGTCTCCAAACTGTTGCCGCAATACTAGCCTGCCGCAAAATTTTATCTTTTTAAGAGCGACTTAAGAGTAATAGTTGAAAAATCAAAATATGTCTAGAGAAAAAACAAAAAAAAAAAAAAGGTTATTGGCTACCATAACTTCCCCTGTAGGCCGTTCTAGCATTTAAATAACTGAAAACTTCTTTTTCCACCACAATTTTCGCAATATTGTCCACTACCAACCTTTCGATCCTAAACTGTCTATCCTTATATTTTTGAAATAAGTGGTTTTGGAATATTAGACAAAGTTCATTTTAATTAAAATAATATACACTTTCATAATTCACTTTCAAACTTTCTCCTGCTAAAAGTACCCTTTTCAAGTCCTGCCTCCCGGTTTTATCTGTTTTTAGAAAGTTTTAAATAAGTGTCATAGTATGTAGTGTAATATAACATTGGAAATTGTTGGATTAAAAAAAAAAGATCACTTTTCACAACGAGAAGACTGAAATTAAAATTTAAAAAAATATTTAACCTTAATTTAAATCAAGTGCATACCAAAATATTAAATGAAGTGAATAACATTTCCGAAACTTGAAGATGTTGAGCTAATTTCATGTTTATGTCTTCAATAACCTTTCTTATAAGAAGTAGTGAAGTAAACATTTATTTAAATTATCATTTTGAAGGAGTAGGAGACATGGTTGTAGGAATGGCTATAAATAATTTTTAAAAAATCTGTAAAACTACAACCCATGAAGGGTCTTGGATGCAGTACTATGTGAGGAAGTACTGTTAGAAGGCCAACGGTTGTGCAGGGAGGTGTTGGGGCCGATATCACGCTCAATCCCCAAGGTTTTTCCCCTTAATTATTTTTTAACTAAGGATACCCACTTCGTGGAGGCTGGGTGTGCCCAAGGAAGGTCTCCTGACCCCAGGGTCGATCCACGGCTAATGAAAGATTACTAGTCATTAGCCGGATTCGAACCTAGAACATTGAGCTCTGGAAGTCAGTGCTCACCCACTGAGCTACCCCGCTCCCTCTATAAATAATAAGAGATATAAATAATTGATAAAATAAGTGAGCTAGAATGATCTAAGTCATTTATTGCGTTCGATCTTTTTCGAAGACACCTACGTCAGTACCGATTTTCCGTCAATTGAGTGCATTTTCGAAAGAACTGTTTCAAATATATATTAAAAATGAATCAGTGATTTAGAAAGATAAATGTATTAGACGTTTTATTTCAACTTTAGTTTGAACGACTTGAAAAAGTTGATTTTACTGGTATTCTTTATTGCTAAGGCCAATTATTTTTACAATTTCTTTGGTGCTTTATTATGCCTTGACTATCCAGCATTAATAAAATACCAATTATGACGAAATTAAGCCAACACCTAAATCTCAGTGACCGAAAAACTAACTCAAGTCATGTTGGGAAGCCATTTTGGGACAGTGCGACCACTTTTTTTGTGAGAACATTGACTTTTTCTTATTATATAGTTACAAGGAGCACAACGATATGCAATTTATAGTGATGTGAAGGGAGGGTGCACAGAAGGGGAGTCTGGCCCACGAACTACCCTCTTCTACCAAATCTTTCCCCCCTCATTCAAAATATTAAAATGAATAAATATATACTTCGAAGACTCATATCAGACAGGTTATTGAAAATAAAAGACAATTGCTCAAACATGAAAAATAATTTAAATGGATAATGAATTTTTCTAAAATTTTAAAATCTCGTAAACTATTTGATTTAGTGAGCCTGTTGTGGACTTAAATGGTTGCATATTTAATCTAGTTTAAAAATGTATAGAATGCTTTAGGTCCAAAACGTGCTCCTTAGTGGATAAAATGGGGACAACCGAAAAAATTGCGAAAATATGAAAATTTTTGGGATAGTCAGAAGTGATCTTGGGTGGGAGGAGGAGGGGGCGCCGAGGTCTAGAACTTGGATTTCGCATCTCAGTCATATCCCGCACAAAAAAAGTAAAAGGAAACCTACTCCCATTTAATGCAACTTACGATGTACAAGGTTACTGGGCTATCAAACGCGAGTAGAAATTTTCGATTTTCAAAACAAATGTTTTCTAACCTCTTGCACGAATACAATGCGTCTCTACGTTCGGTAGCGAGGAAGCAAAAATTAAATTTATTTCTGAAGCTGTTTTATATTATGTAATGCAGTTGTTTTTGTGATAGGCCAATATTAATTATTTTAATTCGTTTTGTATTTTTGTTTTTTATTTCTAACAAGTGGCAATAGCCCCTGAAGATCGGCAGGCGCACTGGTGCAATTGCATCGGTTGCCCCACATTAAGGCCGGCACTGCATCAATGTATAAGTATTTTTCCTTTCACTTACGTATATATGTAATATATAGTAAGGGTAAGTATTGTGATCGTGAAACTTTTCATAGAAAAAATAGTGTACTTAGAATAGAAATTATTTCTAGCAATGCTGGGCTATTATAAAAGTTTTTGAAGTGCATTTTAAACGGAGCTAAAGCTTAAAGCTTTCAGATAACAAGTCATTAAGACCATTATAATTACAAAATGTCTATTTAATATATCGACGGTAGGCAATAAAAATCTAGTCACTCCATCTGCTTTTATAAACCACACAACTTTCTTTGCTTTTATAAACCACAGAATGACTAGCTCCAATTATAACATTTTTGAGTAATGTCATTTTAGTGATATTTTTATTTGAAAAAGTTATCTATGCAGACAGTGAGTAAGTTGATTCCGGAGGTGGTGATTGCAGTGTTGAAATATAGAACTGAGAATAAAGGTATAAATTTAGGTAATTATTTCTTATGAAAGATGTTGTTAGGAAAGATACTTTATTAAATATCTGTAGAAAAAAGGTTTTTTTAGTCTCAACAATTAAAAAAGTGTATTTTTAATGTATCCAAATTTTCGTCTCTTCGGGGAAAAAAACTAGAGACCATATCTTTCCTCCTAATTGCCCCATTTTAACGATTTTTTTTTTTTTTTTTTTTTTAGGAAATTCCATAAACTTATAGAAAACCATGTACAATATCAACAAAAAAGTGTATACTTTTTGAGTTATTCGGAATTTAATTTTACCATCCCTCGTAACTTTTTTTGAGCTTCTTTTCGCTGATGAATGTTATATAGATAAATTTGAAGGGTGTCGAGAAAATGACTTTAGCGAAGTTTCAATGAAATCGGTACATTCGTTTAGGCGCTACAGTCTATAGCAACGCAGGTTTTTCTGCATTTTTATTTTTTTTTCCTCCTTTATTAACTTATCAAATTCTTTCAAAAGTTATATGTAGCATTTTTTCGTAAATCTGAATAATGCGAAATGATTAACTTTTTAAAATAAACCATATTAAAGATACTTTAGAGAAAGACATATATGAACATTGGGCATTTACAGTCAAGCCCTGTAAGGTGACATCAACGGGGATAAGACCTAAATGATATTAAAGACCACTTAATTATACAGTGATACACTGTAAATCATTAGAGCCGTTTTTGACGGTTGGATACCACCTTAAAAAACACTTGATTCACAAATAGAAAACAAGCTGGTTTTCGTTAAAATTATAGCTTGCTTTGTGTTAAGATGTTTATAGGTTACTATTTACATCATGAAGTTTTACGGAATATTAAACGATATCTAAAACGTATTGAATTGTTCGATTTTCCCATTGCAGTGTTTTTAAAGAAAACTGCTGAAATATTTTTAAATACACGTATCTCTTTGGAACTTGGATGAGGTTCTGTTTATATACTATCAACAGATAAGGTTATTACGTTATGGGAAGTTGCCTGTTCTTAAGCCATAAAATGTTATTTCCCGCACTTGTCCTTTAACTCAAGGATACTTTAAATAGTATGACCAGATAGCTTATTTCTAGTGTGGTTTACTGGCTTCAGTTAAAATGTTCATTTTTCGGAACACAATATCAGTCTCTAAATTAAAATCACTTTCCAAAACCTTTGGATGCAGTTTTTCCTCACTGAGATACACTCTAACATCTAAGTTGAGGGAAACAAATTCAAAGAATGTTTTTAGGAATAATTTAGGTTGTAACACATTCTCTCCTTGTATTAATAGATTTTTATCTGCAGAAGCATCCTTGAAGGAACCTTCCTATGAAATTGATATGCAGTCTATCACTGATGGTAATGAGAATTTGCTTAAAAAGTTAAAAGTTCTTATGTTAGAAGTTGAAGTTATGAGGCAAGAAGGCCAAAGAGTTCCATCAGAGCTGACAAATGAAAAATGGAAAGAGTTGCTTGCATTGCCTTCCAGATCTCAAAGAATTAAACAACTGGTTTTTTGGTGTACGATTGAGAAGAAGAAAATGAGCAGAATGAAAAAAAAAGAACAGCAGCGAAGTGAACGTGAAGCTGATATGGATGCTACTTCTGAAGATAGAAAGAAGACCGATCATATATATTATGGATTTGGAGGATCAACAATTTTTTTAAGGATATATGATTCCACTATTGATTATTATATGAACCAAAAACTAATTCGAGCAATGATGTTCGGTCAAAAGCTAGTTATTGATTGTAGTTATGATGAACATATGACTCCCAAAGAGGCAGCCCTTTGTGCTAAGCAACTGACTTATTTGTTTGCTGAAAACCGCCTGTCTGACGATCCATTTGATTTGTACTTTTGTAATGCTGATAAAAATTCTAAGTTGATACAAAGACTGACTAAGTACATACCAACAGTGCATGATGAGACTTTTCCTCTAAATATAACTAAAAATAGTTACATGGATTTGTTCCCCAAAGAACAATTGGTCTACCTTACGCCACATTGTAGGGAGAATTTGAAGACATTTAGTCATGATGATATATACATAATAGGTAATTCTCCTTATAAATTAATAAGGTTTATATTTACTGGTTTGTGCTAATGTAATAAATTTCCAAGTGATTTTTATGTTCTGTTTATATGTAATTAATTCAATAGTTTTCTTAATATTGTTAAAATAGTATTTTCAGTAAACCATGTCTAAATGAGTTCAGATATCCAGATAAATATTATTAACATATTAGATTTTTTTTCTTATTTATTTGCAAACTTTTGGATTAATTAAGTTTTTAAATTCAAATTTTTATGGATTTATCTATCATTTGGGAGCTTTAAGTCTCAGGTTTTAATCCAGCTGATGACAGATAAAAAGTATTCTGTTTTATCAGTCGCGATTGTGAGACCCTCCTAGCATATATAAATTGGACTTTGAAATTATTTAATTAAGGTGGAAAAAACCTGGTGGTTGAGCATGATCTCGTTCAAATCACTTCCTTACACAACCGTTAACATAGAAACAGTTCTTCCCAACATAGAACTGAATCCAAGACCCTTCCTGGGTTGTAGTGGTACAGGCTTTTTATCTATCATTAGCAGGGTTACCCAGAAGGGAATTTAATGGCTTGAAAGTTACACCATCAAAATTTTTGAGCGAATGGTGACATTTTAATTTGGTTATGAATTATTGAAAGGAACTATATTTTTATGGGGTTCAATTTGCAGAAACTTTCAAAGCAGGGAACAACATACATGAAAAACATGTAACAGACAGGGCAAAGCAAGTGTTATTGTATATCACCTTTTTGCAATTCTATTTTCACAATTTTTTTATGCCACTTTGTTTGTACTGTTTTTGAGAAGACATGAAGAACAAAATATCTTGGGAAGAGTAGCATGGGTTGCCTACCTTGGGAGGATTGGTCACCTCTGATCATTATTGATTTATTTTTAATGTGTATTTTCATTTACATGTAAATAAAATTCTTGAAGGTTAGATGGAATTAATGTTTTATAAATTTTACCAGGTGCAATGGTTGATAAAGTGAATAATGATCCACTGTCACTTGGGAAAGCAAAAGCTCTTGGATTGCGGATGGCAAGACTACCATTGGATGTGCATTTAGATTGGGGAATCGGAACTAAATCACTCACCTTGAACCAAGTGCAAGCAATTCTATTAGATATAAAGAAATATGGTGACTGGAACAAAGCTTTACAACATGTTCCAAAGAGAAAGTTAAAGAAAAATGAAGAAGAAAACAAGTCAAAAAAGAATTTTCATTATCTGAAAAAGAGGAATCTTATTCATTAAGTAAATTTTTTGAGCATAATTAAATGAGGATCATTTTACATATTGAATTTGCATTATTTTATCTAATTCCTCTGTCTTATCTTGGTCTGAATTGTTGAATTAAATAATGTATACAATAATAATTGCAAACTAACTTAAATATCGTGAACATTTAATTTTTTTAATTCACTTAACTTATTGTATAGTTATACATATACATATAAGGTTTTTTACTATGTTGTATATATAGTATCTTATATAGATCATGAAAAATTAAAAATCCAAGTTTTCCACAAACAAACATATTTCGAGTCTCACAAAAAATTCTCTGTGAACAATTAGCTCAAAAACAAAAATTCGTAAAACTGAAATTATTTTTTTAAGATAGTTGTATTACAGGAACATTGTCGTCAAAATCAATAAATCAGAAATGGTATATTATATAATAGATTTTATACAATTTTGATATACCGTTGGAAAACCAAGGATTTAAGAAAAATTAATTTCTAAAATATAAGGTTGTAGAAGGTAATGGAGAGTGATGATAAGCTAATGAATTTTAACTATTGTAGTTAATAATATCTAATTTTATATTATTGAGTAGGAAAAAGATATATTTACAAAGAAACTTATTAGAATTTCCATAGAAAATATATGGAAAATACTTATTTTTTTTCCAGCTAGGTAAACCAAAAATATATAGTGCATTTAATTTTCATACTTTACTTTAATTAAGTTTTTTTTATAATTAATATACTTAAGTTTTATTAACTTTAAAAAAAATCTGGTGTTCTCATCATCCAATAATTTACCATTCAATTAAAATAGAAATTATTTCCTACCGAAATTGGGTTATTGCAAAGAGTTTTTATAGATGGCCTGGAGAAGGATCTGGCAAGGATTGGGATACATGGAATCGAATTGTATGGGAGCCCTAAGTCCATCTTGGCCTGTAGTGTCTGCGAAGTAAACAAAAAGTTTTTGAAGTGCATTTTTAATGGAGCTAAGGTTTGTGAATGTTGGTCATATCTATCAATTCGAAAATTAATTAAGACCATCAAAATAACAGCTTTATTATACTAACGGTAGGCCATGAAAATTTAAAACTCCATCAGTTTATTTAAACCTAACTCTAGTTTTCAAGCCCAGTATATAAATGGAGGTTTTTAAGTATACACATATAATTAATCTGTAAAAAAATAAGGATTGTACTATATAGTAAAAATTATAGAAACTAAATCTGCATCATTTGGTATGTTTTAAAAGTTATATTTCCTTTAAACAATTTCTGTGCCTAGATTCGGGAAACTATAAATAAATATATTTCATTTTATAGGTTTCTATTTAGTTTCTCAGGAAATTCCATTCAGTTTTCCATTTATTAATATACGAGCAAAGATTGTTGACTACAACAATTGATCATTAGTTTTAAATCATCCTACATCAACTTCTATAAATTTATAAGTTGAATACTGATGTTTCTAAAATCTTAAGCTGTTCAACAATGTATTATACATGTTATTGCAATGTCATGTGTAGACCTGTTTCAACTGCCTTCAACACGCCACACCCTGATGAAGACCTGCAGAGTGGGTCAAAACGTCGGCGTAATAATTAAAAATACTAATTTTTAAAATTTAGTATTTATTTTACCGCATCCCCCGACCAACTCCTTCTCATATTATACATGCATATTAGTAATTTTATTTCCACAAATTAGGAAGGCTACAGTTGCTTAGGAAGAAGATAGTCACAACTCAAAATTTCTATGATTTTCAAAAAGCATTTGACAAGGTCTTCTGAATGAACTTAACCAAGTTAATACTCCATAATAATGATATATTCTTTATTTCTTTTTCAATGTCCGAACTTTCAATTTCAAAATAAATAATATAACCAACCATAAGACAAATTCAGACCATAACTCCACAAGGTTTAATTCTTTCGCCCATTCTCTTCAACTTTTATCTGTATGACCTACAAACCCCAATTACAATGACACGGCAGTCTTTTTTTCAGCACGAAGACATAATAATAGCGAGAAACATCCTTTAAACACACCTCAGCGATTTAGAGCCGTACTTCAGTAAATGGAAGATCGGCCTCAATGTATTTACTCTTAGATCACCAAGAGATCCATCAGAACTGGTCTTCAACGGTAACAACTTGAAGTGGAATCCACCAAATGAAGCAGTAAAATTCGTCTATGTTGATCAAGATCATCACCTTACATGGAACCAAGACTAAACTAACTCAAATCTTAACTAGGCTGGCAATGCTATATCCCATCATGAATAGAAAATTGAGTCTCAAACCAGAAATAGCCAACCTAATTTACAAAACAATTTTAAGACCACTAATGACGTACGTTTGAGAAGTATGGGGTGCAAACTATCAATATAGCTGCTTTTAAGGTAGCAAATCTAGCAACCAATTAAATGTGATTTTTTAAATTGTGCTGATTTTCTTCCACAGTAGTGTTTAAATAATGACAATGTAGTATTAAAGTGAGAAAAATAGTTAAAAATATAACATTATTCACAATAAAATAGAAACAGACTTCATATAGAAATAGCAGGGAAAAATTATGTGCATTCAAATTAAAAAAATCTTTATTAAGTATTATAAAAATATTTTACACTAATATTTTTTGTAAGACACAATTACCCAAACTTTTAGGTTCTAAAAAGTCTGTTATTTGTAATTGTGGATTTATGGTTGATTGTAGTGAATAATCGAAGAGAATGATGGTTGGGGTGATCAGTCAAATTGAAATGGTAAAAAATAAATAATAATTTTATTTATACCATAAATAAGACTAAGTATTACTATTTTAGTCTGACATAGTATTACCATTTTCTGAAAACAAGGAAGGACATTTAGGACTGAACATGTTACAAAAAAAAAAAAAAAAAAAATAGCTGTATAAGAATTAGAAAATACAATCATCAAGTTTTTTATGCAAATCTAGAAAGTTTTAAAATGGTAGTTTAAAAACAACAATCATTTATATAACTAAAAAGAAATTTATTTTAATTAAATAATTTATTCAGAATCTTTAAATGCTAATCCATTTTTAAGGTTTATTTAACAAAAATCAATTATAGTTGTCAAAATGTAAATAATTTGTTATAAGTCCCACATGTTTAACATTTGTTATACAAGTTGAATTACTAAAACATGAACCCTTTAGTTGCTTATAAAAATTTTGAAAATACAAAATTATAAGCTTATCTCAAAATCAGGGTTTAATTTATGCACATTCTTAATTCAAAATGATGTATTGTAGATTCTAAAACACAATGTTGGACTTAAACATTGCTTTAGGGATTTTAGCAATCTTATGTTTCACATCTGGATGTCTTGCATTCGTAAATTTTTGTGGAGCTCTTTCTAATGACCTCAGGAATAACAAATCTAAGTGACGAATGCACAGAGAAAAGAAGTCAATAGATCAATGAGTATACTAAGATTTTGATTTAACGAAGTAAATAATCAAATATGCTTTAACCGTACAAGTTGAATATGAATTTTGAGAATATATTCTATTATTTGTGAAATTTGATGAGAGCATAATTCACTATGCACAGTCTTGTGCATATTTTTGCCAATTGATTTTTGAATGATGAAAAAAGAAAATTATTTCAAAATTTTACTAGTACAGGATGTAGTAATCCTTTTGGTTGTGAGTTGATGGTTTCTCATGATTTTGAGACCAAAGCATTATAGAAGAGTATTGTTTACCAATCAATTTTCAGATCTGAAGAGGAGCTCTTGTTGGTAAACATTCCCATTTGAACTGAAGTAAAAGCTCAATTCTGTCAAGTTTTGTGTGATCGATGATTCACAGAATAATATAATGCATCATCTTAATGAAAAATTGCTCTACTCTCATGTTGTGAAAAATTAATTATGGGAAGTGTCCGAAAAATTGCGGTCCACTATTTAACAAAGTGAAAGTCAATCTGCATTTGAACCAGTTTCTTTCTTTCAGCATAAAAAGTTAGCATATAGATTAATTTACCAGGCTATGAGTGTATACGTCACTGTGAAAGACCAAAATGTCAACATTCTCCAGTGATTATCAACAAACACCATAAACATCAGTGAAAGACCTAAGTTTTGCTATTATAAAATTGTAATTTGAACATTCACTTGTTAATGTCAACTTAAATAAATTTCTTGTTGTTATAGTTGAAAACATTAGGTTTTTATTATTTATTATATATTTGTATTGCCACTTGGCACAGTTTTTGTAGCTTGGTTTTTGTTGTTTTTATTGTTGTTAAGCATAGGTCTTGTATAACTGTAAACAGTCATCAAAATTATCACCATTTTAATTGAATCACAAATGTCAGGTTTCCATTCACTCAAGATGTAAACAAATGCCTGGTGGGAACTTTTCAATTGAGGTTGGAGTCTTACCAAGCAGAGTTCCACTTTCATCAACTAAATAAAAGGACCGATCAATCTTCATTGGCCTAACAATGACCAGAGAATATTGACATTCGCCTTCTTTTAGTCTTTCAAATTAGCAGTTTTATATAATAGACTTAGTCATTTATTCTTGTAAGTCCTCAGCAATGCTGGCCTTTAAGACCAGGCAACCCAGACAATTGTCTGAGGGTGCCGTTTTCTTGTTAGGAATAAAAAAAAGTTATTTAGCATACGAGAATAATTAATTTTAGCCTATTAATAAAGCAACTGAATTAGAGACATATTGAATGAAATAAAATTCAAATAATACTTATATAAAACAGTTTAAGAAATTATTTTTTTCTTTTTGTGAAGAGGAGATGGCGTTATTGTCCGAGGACACCAAATGTCTAAGGTAGGTACTGGCTCCCAGTAGATCTTAAGGTCTCATTCAACAGCAACTTTGGCAAATTTCCCTCCCCCCCCCCCCAAAAACATGCTTTTCCTAAATGCTTGTGCTCTTCCTGGTAATATTTGACCTTTCTCTTCAATGACTCCAAAGGAAATTTTGGTTGAAATTACCATTTCTTTATGGCAGGGCTAGAACTTTGGAGGGGAAATTGCTCCAGGCGGCAGAATTTAGAATGCAGCAAATTTGAGTAATTTTTTTCTATCTGAAGGCAAAAATGATTTATTTCTACTTTTGTTTTTCAGTGAATAACACAAGTTAATATTATATGATGGTGGTATTTATTTTTAAAACCATTAACTAAAATATTGAATTTTAAAAGGGAAGGCAGGAGGTGAAAGGAGGGGTGGAAAAATTAACTATGAACTATAGAAGGTAATGGTAGTAATAGGTAGCAACACTATCTTTGATAGTGATTTGGGAATATTTCTCTAATGACTCAAAGGTACTTTAATATCTTCCAAAGTCAGCTGCGATCTATATTATTGATGTTTTTAACCTGGCAAAGGTATCACTATTGTCACATATTTTAAGGGTATCGCTTAGTGAAATCGACAAGATCTCTTCTTAGAGATTCATTGGTATTTTTTTCTTTCTTCCTGATAATATAATTCTTATAAAACTTTTTATTAACCTTTTTATCATATATTTATTATTAACCTTTTTATTGATATAATCGAAGCAACTATAACCGTAACAACATAATTATAAAATTATAATATTTTTTAAGAGTATTATTTTTTCGACGGCCTTATATGTTTTTAGTGCCTTTCTCTGTCTCTATTATATTATCTAAAATTGTTTGTTCAACTATGTCGTTTTCATCTAGAACAAAGTCTGCATCATTATCTAAGTCAAATTCAGACTGGTAGTTGTCGTCTGAATTACTCTCACTGTTGTCCATAAATAAAGTTTGAAACTTATTTATCTGCAACACATTTAACAGGTAAAATAGCAGAAACCATAATTTATTTTATCTCACAAGATACTGGTAGCTTTTCTTATATCTAGGAACTAAGTCTGAAACAGTACATAAGCAAAAAGCTCCGTTTGTCTGTAAAACAAATAAAAGAATTACTTTCAACCGTAGAGTTCGTTGTTACAACCAAGAAAAATTAACGCCGAAGTGTATCACTTCCTGATTTAGTCAATATTATCTCTACTAAATAATAAAAATTGCCTGTTGTGGGACCTTTCCACCGTCTAGGATCATTAGTGAAATAGTTGGGACTAGCACTGCTGAGGGGAGACTGCCAGAAGAAAGGAATACTGAGAAACTAATTGGATGAAGCAAAAACTAAGCCATTTTGACGAAAGGTACCTTTCCCGTGATAAGAAGTCTACATAAACTATCTGTGCTAGAACCTTTAATAATCAATTAATGATATGATAATATAGGTAGGCAGTTATTGCACTCAAATCTTTGTATTGTTTTTGTAACTTTCTATGGTGCTTTTTTATTTTTTCTACAATACATTAATGTATTTATAAATAAAAATGAATAAAGTTAAAGATAGTAAAGCCATTCTGTTCCGGTAACCTTAAAATGTATTCATAACTTTTTCTAAAGCTTCTTATGTCCCAGAATAGTAAAGATTTTTTTATTTCATTATCGCTTTGGATACTCTTATATCTTCCAAAGCCAGCTATAACCTATTTTATTGATGCTTTTATGAAATCTGTAGAAAATGAGTAAACTGGGCTAGAATCTTCAATAATATGACAATATATACAGTTATTGCAGTCAAATCTTTATGCCTTAATGTAATTGGAATCAACAAATAATATTTTTAAATCCAAATATTACATTAGTGTAATACTCTATAAAAAAAAGAAATAGAAATAGGCATTAAAAAAAAACAAAAAAAAAAACAGCGAAATGCAAAAAAAGATTTTTTTTATTTTTCTAGAAAATATAAGCTCATGGATAGCACAGTATAATGTCAAAAATTATTCTGATTCTTTGTCAAAAGTATCACATCTTCTACTCTTAATTACTGCTCTGGGTTTCTCATAATGTTGTTCTTCTGGGACATTAGATAATTTATTTTCAATGAGAATCCCTGCATACACTAAGCGTTCCAGATCTTCATCTGCAATTTTCGTTTTTGCATCTTTTCTTCGCACTAGTGAGCTTTTTGGAACACTATCTTCAATATACTTAATATCAGCACATAAACGAGGATCACCTTTGAAGATGTAATCTGCAGAAACGGCTATAACGAAAAGAAGAAAAAAATGGAAACAATAAAAAGTCCTTATGTTCATATATAATGTAGTATTATTAAATAGTTCATGTAAAATATAATAATCGAACATATATTTTAGAATGACTGTTAAAATAACATGAATTTATTTTAAATATTTTAGATTTGGTAATAAGATCAACGAACTGGTAATTCAATTATCAAATGCAAATGTAATGTTAACCGATTGGTGGTGTCGGCATCGAACCTTCGGGTTCGCTAAGCCTTATTATTATTATAAATGTAATGTTAACAAATGTAAGAGGCAATGTTAGTTGATAACATATGACATATTTTGAACATCATTAAATTATCCTTGCAAACAAAGCCTCGAGTGTGTCATCATTAACCTGTTAACAGGGGAATAAAATTTTGTTCAACTTGTTTCACAATGGGGACTTTTTTCTTCAGTTATAATTAATATCATCACACCTAAAGTAATAAAAGGAAATAATTTTTAACTTATTGATTTTATTTATTTTGACAAATTATTTTATTTTATAACATATTATAACAGAAAGAAATATTTCATCATACCCAGTTAACAGGTTAATATGGCAATCGGTACAATGAACTACCCATATTTTTTGTACGGACAAAGACAAATTTCAGAACAGTAGGTTCCACAAAAACTAGGATCCTTACCTTTTTCAATCATAGGCAGATCTTTAGAGTATGGTATGATTGTGAGATGAAGTTAATAAAACATTATAATACACAAAGTATATAATTGTGAATATGATTACAGATGATTTTGTAGAACGCTTACACATTTTTAATAAACAACTTGAGATGACTACTAAATAATCTCATTTTGAAGAAGAATACATAAAAGATTAAACAGGTTTCTTTAATATAATGTAAATATTAAAATGTAGAATGTAGAATAGATTATATTAATATTTTAACATGTTTAACAAACATGTTAGACAAGAGATTTCCAGCAAGGTGAAGGAAGAAATTATTCTATTCTATTAGTTTATGAACTAAATTTTCCGTCTTGAAGCCAGAATAATTTTCTATTTTTGTCACCTAACCTCTTAAATAACTAACTAATAACACCCATGCACTCCATTAACCTTGGTACCTCATACTTAGGTATGCATATGTTTTTTGCTTAGTTTTAATTTTCGTATTTTTATATTATTTTATTTTATTTATTGTATATATAATTTTTGATTATTATTTATTGTTATTTTGCTTCTATTTATTTTATATTTTTTGTACATATAATGTGATTGTTATCCTACCTCACTATAACTAATGTCAAAGTGGCAAATTGTTTTATTACTCAATAAATAAAAAAATAAATGTTCCTCATACCCACTGTTTCTTCCTATTACCCGGCAATATCTTGCTAATCTTTAGTTTGATTGGTCTCAAATTTCAAATATTACACTCAATGTCACTCACAATCCACTTGAGGAACTTTAAAAAAATTTATGTGACTCAGAACTGTTGGAGAGGTTCATAATGTTCAGTAATTATCAACAGAGTTTCATCCTAATCGAACAATGCACACAGATCAAAAGGGTTACTTAACTCAATAAAAATGGTAAGATGCCTGTACTCTATTCTTAGACTCTTGAATCTATTTACAATATTGAACTAGTAACGCGTTCAATCGATAGTGAGACATTTCGAAGTATGAAAATTAACCATAAAAAATCTTTACTACAACCCATGAAGGGTCTTGGGTTCAGTACTATTTATAGAAAGTACTTTTTCAAGGCCAACGATTGGGCAGGGAGGTGATCATGCTCAACCGCCAGGTTTTCTCTCTTAATTAATTATTTAATTAAGGATACCCACTTTGTAGAGGCTGGGTGTGCACCAGGAAGGTCTCCCTACCCAGGGTCGCTCCACAGCAAATGAAACAGAATAAATAATTTTTCTGCCATGAGCCGGGATTCGAACCTGGGCCTTGGGGATTGGAAGCTTAGTACCCTTACCACTGAGCTACCCCGCTCCTCTGTTGAGGAACTAGATCCCTATTATTAACTTAGGTGAAATGGACAGTAGTCTCATATGTTCTACCTGAAATAAAAAGGCCAAGGAAAAAATCTGTATGAATGGTTTGTAGTAACCTCTACACTAGGAGTCACCGACTTTTTCTATTTGAGGGTACATCTATAGGTTAATAGTCAAACAATTGGCATGCATTTTGTCCATGGGCACATGTGACATAAAATAGCACTTAATAATCCCATGAGGGATTGATTATATTCATGAGGTATAACATAAATATTAATGAAATAAAACCTAGAATTGCTGCTCAAAGATCATCTCAAAGATATCTTCTCATCTAACTAAACATTTTTTGATAGTGAGATCACTTAATGTATAAAATACAATATTAATTTTTTTTTTTATAATTACATGTAACAATAATTATTTGTGCTGCAATGAGTGATGTTTACAGAGATAAAAATAAATAACATGAGGTAAAAATATAAATGCCTTACCTTCTGGGATCAATGGAAGCCTTTCCATACTAGGACCAGTACCGTCTATTATATCTTCCTTATGCTGATCTATCTCAACTTTTTTATCTTCTTTAAATTCAGCTGTAACTGATTCCTTTCCTTTGTGTAGTGTTTCAAACAGATCGAATACACTGTAATGAGGAAAAATAATTTATATGCTACATGCTTCTCCATGTCATTTTCATTTTATCAGGGTCGATTTTTCTTTTTTCACATGGAATATAAATAACTAGAAGTTGCCTACACTGTATTGTAATATGATCTAATAGGCCCTTTCCTCTATTATAGTTTAAAGAATTGTTAAAGATTATAGACACAAAAATATATATTATAAACCGACTAATAAGACATTACGGGCGGAGCTATAAAAGGTGAGTCTAATAATGCTCTCATTAGAAACACGTGTACTTAACTCTCTAATCACAAGGCGAGAGAACAATGCTAGCACCCTCTGGCTTATCATTAGCAAACTATTAAAGTAATTTAATATACCAATTTATTACTATTATTTGTTATAATTTATTTATTTGAGAAAAACTAATGTATGCTATAATTTTAAGTAAACATGGATGTATAACACCCCTCGAGACATAATACAATTGCCACAGCTGCTCACTTGAGTAGTCACTAAGTTTTTCCAACTGGTACATTTTTAAAGTGCTGCTTGTCTAGACCTTTTTCTTGATGAAGAGCAGTAAACCAACATCAAATTGATTTACTGAAACTTAATAGGAACCATCACAAAATCCATTTCATAGTTGTAGGTAATGGAAACAAGTTGGGGAACTAAGGACAAAAAAGTCAAGACAATGCTGAACATTTTTTGTTTTATTTTTCAATGAGTATTAATGAAAACATTTATGTTGACCTTCATAAGCACTTCAAAGCTGTTGTTTGACCAAATTTTTCCAGAGGGGGTGAGAGTGCTAAATCCTCCATCATAAAAATTTCCACATTGCTAGTTTTTGGGCTGAAATGGTATTATTATGATGGGACACCTCATTTAGCACCATGTGCCTTTTTCTTCTTTTCCAAACTCAAAATGGTCCTTGGGAAGGGGTTGAGGCCAGAATTGATTAATTGTAATTTTTTTTTACTTTTATGTCAAATTTCCAGACCAACTTCATATATTAGATTAAAAAAATATTCTCAGAGCACTAACAATAAAAAAAAAAACTATGTTGGACTGAAATTATTTGGTGATAGGGACTAATAAAAAAAATAAAAAAAATCATTAGATCTATACTCTACTGAGTAGTTAGGAATGGTTAGTTATATGCCATTGATTAAGATGACAATACAAATCTTTCCAAGAAACTATCAATAATTATTTTAAGTATAGTTGCAGAGATGAATACTTAAAAATTGCCTTGGCTACTCTGGAAAATTGATAAAACTATGTAATTGAATTGGCATTACTTCTGACTATAATGCTGAAGCGGGTAACGCCTTAACACATTTGGCCATCATGATCTCCTTTTATGTGAATATTACATGATTAAAAACAATTCCTCTCATGTCTAGTACCCTAATCACCTGTCATGTTAACTCTCAATCCCTCCCTGCCCACTATGATGAGTTCCTGCAATATTTCACTCAAAACTTTTATCATATTATCGCAATCTCGGAAACTTGGCTTAAACCTTACAACCTTACATCCCATCCTCTTCTGTTTCCTTGCCTAACCTAATCACACCTTCCTCCGTCATGACAGGGTAAGCCGGAATGGCGGAGGAGTAGCCATGTTTGTCCATAATAGCCTGAAGACTCGAATCCTCGATTCCTCACCACCCTCCGATCATCCTCAAGTTGAATAGCTTCTAGTAGAAATCCATTTTAAGGATCTTCCTCTCCTTTACACTGTGGTATATCGTCCTCCCCATGTTCCATTTGATCAGTCCTTCGAATCAACCCTATTCAACTTCGTTCTTCTATATCCCAGAATAACCATTTCCGGTGACCTCAATACCAATTTCCTCTCAAACTCCGATGACAAATCCTATCTAGAAAACCTAATTTTCTCTCTGCACCTCTTCATAGTTCCATTTTCCCCCACCCACCACACCAACAGGTTAGACGCTTGGCTAGACTTCTACACTATAGACTGCACAAAATCTCCTCTCCTCTTCTCAATTGCCAGTATCATTCCTATCATCTCACGATCTTATACAAATAACATAAAATATCCAAACTCCTTCAATCCAGCCTCGAACTATCACCTTCCGTCACCTAGATTCCCTTACTCGAGAAAAAATATTACCTGACCTAGAAACCCTAGATTGGAATGGAATATATTCTTGCTCTTCCATCGACTCCATGGTTGACATTCTTACCACCAATCTTCTCAATATTCTCAATACCCATGCTCCCCTCAAAACCTCTACCTTTCGTCACCGGCCTGCTCCTTGGATGTGTAAGGAAATCAAAGATCTGCAGAAGAGGCGCGATGCTGCCCGAAGACGTTTTAGACGTACTAGGCTTGCAGATGACTACCAAGCGTTCAGGGTGCTTCGCAACTTGGCACAGACAAGGATCCGGCGTGCGAAAGCTTCCTACTTCCATGAAACCCTTTCCTCAGCTCCTGATATCAAATCAAAATGGCTACTGCTTCGTAAACTTTCCATTGGTAATCCTTCCAGATCCCCTACCGCAGCCTTTCCTGTATCCTCTGATGATTACACTCTTATTTTATATCTGTCGCTAATACCTCTTCTCTACCTTCCTCTTCCGGCTTTGCTCCAGAGATATCCTTTAACAACAATAATTTTTATTTTTCCGACATTTCTCCCGCAGACCTGTTAACCGCGGTAATGAAATCCCACACCGATTCCATAGGGCCAGACGGCATTCCTGTCAAATTAATAAAAATATGTCTACCTGAAATCTTCCCAGCCCTCCTTTTTATCTACAATTTCTCCCTTCAGAATTCAGTATTCCCTACCTCTTGGAAAAAAGTCATTGTTCTTCCTTTAAATAAAAAGCCTTATCCATCCTCACCCGAAGATTTCCGTCAAATTTCAATTCTTTCTAACCTCTCAAAGCCTCTTGAAAGACTGGTGCAATCCCAAGTCTCCAAGTTCCTCGAAAAGTCCAACCAATTTGATTCTCTCCAATCTGGTTTCCGTCCCGGCTATTCCACACAATCTGCCTTAATTAAAATTACCAACGACATTCAATCTGCAATAGATGATAGAAAATTAACTGTCCTTATACTTCTAGACTTCTCTAAAGCCTTCGATTCCATCAACCATTCCATCCTCTTCAACAAACTAAAATCATTATCTTTCTCCAATAGTTCCATCTCTTGGTTCCAATCTTTCCTCTCTCAATGCACCCAAGCAGTCTCCATACCTAATCAACCACTATCTGCCTACCTTCCTTTATCCTCCGGAGTTGCTCAGGGTTCAAGCATATCTCCTCTCCTTTTCAGCTCCTACATTAACGACCTTCATAATTCAATTCTCCATTGTTCCCACCACCTTTATGCAGATGATTCCCAGATCTACCTATCCTTTTCTCCCTCTGAGTTATTGGTAGCATTTGCCAAGATTCAAGAAGATCTTGATCGAATCAGTGCCTGGGCAAATGTAAATGGATTAAAGTTAAATGCTGCCAAAACTGAGGCCATTGTCATTGGTTCCAAGCCCCTTATTAGATCCCATACTGACTTTCCCATATTACACCTTAATGACCGGCCAATTTCCTTCTACTCCTCTGTTAAAAATTTAGGATTTTTCATAGATCAAACCCTCTCCTGGACCTACCATATTTTTCACATTTCCCGTCGGACAATTTATACCCTTAAACTATTTCATCGCTTCCGCCATCTCCTACCTCAACATACCCGTAGACTCCTAATTTTCTCTCTCATCTTCCCCCACTTTGACTACAGCTGTGTGGTGTATGATGGCCTCTCGGTGGAGCTCCGTGATAGACTGAAAAGATTAATGAATAGCTGCGTAAGATTTGTTATTGGTGCCCCGAGGTACTCCCATGTCTCTCACCACTACACTGAGTTAAGGTGGCTCTTCCCCTCCTGTAGAAGACAATATTTTCTTGGTACGTTCCTCTATCAAATCATCAACAACCATTGTCCTTCTTACACCTACAACCTTCTCCAATTCAAGTCCTCAGTCCATTCCCTTTCAACAAGATCTCGACCTTCTGACCTCTACATCCCTTCTCACAGATCTGCCTCATTTCAGAATTCCTTTATAGCTCGCGCTGTCAATTTCTGGAATTCTCTACCTATCAAAATTCGACATTCCCCCTCCATATCCACATTCAAATCCCTCCTATTCCAATTCCTATCACAAAAACAGTCAGATACATGCTAAGCTTTCGATATTATACATTTCTAGTCATCATCAAACGATAGTACTATTCTATACTGTGAACTTCACTAGGGATATTACAATATCTTAATGCCACTGACCGCATCTATTGTTTGTTTTTTTTTATTGTTTTTTATTCATATATAATTAAATCTGTACCTATAGCTAGCATTTGACAATGATGAGTCTACATATTAATCATTATTTAAATACACTGATATTTTATACTGTCAGATTTTTCTGTACTTTGTTAGCAGAAACACACCTCATTTTAAAGAAGAACTCAATGTATTTTTTATTATTTTATTTTTCAAAAGAGTATAATTATAATTTTTCCTACTGTACATAGTCTTAAGTGTTTTATATATAGATTTTTTTTTGTATATAGCTTGTTTGACTAATATTTTCTTTACTTTCTCTTTTTTATTATTGTTTTATTTTGGCCAGATGTAGTATTTTAATTATTTTCTATTTTGTTATTCTAAAGGGACTTTGTCCCAGAATAAAGTTATTTTCTATTTCTATTTCTATTCCTAAAAATATTGCATTAACTAGTTTATTAAATTTAATGAAAAATGATAATTTATAAAACTTATTTTAATAATTTGCTAAATTTAAGGAATTATAATTTTGAGTAATAATGTTATATAGCATAACAAAATAATGGTAAATTCTTCCATTACTACAAGCAACAATCATGAAAATACATTCAATGGCTTAACAGAATGGGTTTGGCATTCAACTACAATAACAAAGAGGACAATAACGAAATCTGATTTTTACTCACCTCAACCTATACACAATATCATAAAAGAAAACTCAGATTATAAGAACTAGAGTTCTATGGCAAAGAACCAGACACCAGGTACTTAACACACTAACCCAAATATTTCACCATGAATTTTCAACAATCAAAAACAACAGCTACAGGGGTTGCCTAGATGAGATAAACAATAGAAATGTATCAATATGTACAACAAGTAGTAAATATACTGAAGTCAAATGATGTTCAATACTGTCTCCAAAGTATAGAGAGGATACCTGAGTCATAAAAGCATTTGCTTTGGATTTTTTGTATTATTAAATTGATTAAAAGAAAAATTGTCTGTTGTAATTGAACTTGTTAAAGACTGTGATACATGTGACAATGGTGATATGATCATCCTTTTGTACTTCGTTTTTAAATTTAAAAAATTATATTTCCTTATTAATTAATTGCCCTTATTTCTTGTATCAGTTCATATCTCAAGGACGAAAAGTAATTTATAAAACATTTGTAATTTATACAGCGTTAATTGCAACAATGAAAAAATATATATATATATATATATATATATATATATATATATATATATATATATCAGACATTCAATCCAAAAAATTGAATAACCAGATGTAATGTCTGGCTTATTTACACCCAATTATTCGTATTTTACTATTTATATCTCTTTTTTTACATCTGTCTTCTCAGAAAGTAATACACAATTGTACTTTATTAAGGGTCATTGTAAGAGGGTGTGCATTTTATTTTGTTTTTAATATCCCGAAAATCAGAACACAGTTTTGGAGTTTCGCAGATGTCTGATATATATATATATATATATATATATATATATATATATATTATTGTTGCAATTAATGCTTTTTTTTTTTTTTTTTTTTTTTTTTTTTTTTTTTTTTTTGTCCTCCCTTCCTCGCCTTTAAGGCTATACGGGGTTTTCCCGGGCCAGGGAGTGTGGGCGGGGATTTAAAAACTCCTCCGGGCACCGGGACGCGAACTCGTGACTATTTTTTTATCCAAGTCATGTATCAGGTTGCCGGGCAACGATGGTGCAGTGCACACGCGTTAGCCCATTCGGCTACCCCGCCCACATTGCAATTAATGCTGTATAAATTATAATATATAAGGCATAACAATTAAAAATACTATTTTTTTTAAATTTAATATTTATTTGACCGCACCTCCCCCCCCCCCCCGATCAACTCCTTCTCATAATTTAATTATATGGAGTTCATTCCCAAAGGGATTTGCTGTTAGAGCTGTATGAGGTACTTATTTAATAGCAGGTAGGGTCCGACTGCTATCTGCCAATGTTTATAACCTTAACACTGATAAGCTCTTGGTATTCATATTTATTGTATTATTATATCTTCGTATTCATATTTATTATATTGTATTGATATTATTGAAATTGTAAACAAAAACAAAAGTAATAATAAAAAAATAATTTTATTTTACAACATATATATTAAAATAGACTCTCCCTACATGATTTTTTCTTTTCGAAAAAAGACTCGTCTACTTCGACACCTTTGCCAGGCGCTCCAATTTTTTTATTTGACCTTTATAACATTTCATGGTCACAAACTTCCCTTAAAAATTTGTTCCATGTTACGATAGTTGCGTTGGATAGTTTGAGCTGCTATTTCCCCCACTGTATTGTTGTTAAATTATGGGACCATCCACAAATGAATTTTAAAGCCGTTAAAAAAGAAATCCTCGAACCTTTTAACCACGTTCCTTTCCTTATAGAAACGGTTTTGTTACAACTACGAAAGAATCTCCATTTAATCCTCCCATCGAACTTCATTTGATGACCTTCATCACAATATTTGACCTTTGCAAATATCCCTGCGTATTGAAAATATTTTAGAGCCTCTTCTTCTGAAGACGGCAATTCCCACAATGTGACAACATCCATAATTAAATATCACTAACTCACAGCTAACACAAGAAACAAAAAATAAACAAGGGAATAACTTAGGTTAGATGAGATAAGGGAGGTTATGTGAAATGAGATTAGATAAGAAGAGAGGTTTTGAAGCTACTCGCTATTAAATAAGTACCCTGTATGATTTGAGTCTATTCTCCTAGGTGTTTGAGCATTCTCCTAATATGTACAAGAATTCAAATAATTAGTGAAAACCCTAATAGAAGAATACAAATATATTTATTTGTTTGATATAAGTGGTTGGTAGAGAAGAGATAATGATTGGGTATAGCAGCACACTATTTAAAAAAAAAAATAGTTCAGAAAATTTTTTTTCAACTTTTGTCCTTAAATACAAATGTACAATTTACTAATAGATGAAATGTTTTTATAATTTTTTAATGGAGATTTAAAACTTTTGTTAAATTATTTTTTTACCACACAACTTATCGGTGGCTACTAAAAAAAGAGCAATAAAAGTCATCCGGAAATTTTGGTTACTTACTGTGTGTAAGCAGTAGTTCAAAAATAAATAAGAGAGAAACTCTATATCCTAACATGTAATTAAACAATAAATTAAAGTAAATAAATAGAATCTGAATTTTTAGAATAATGAAATTCCATTGATTATTCTCAGTTTTCTATGAATATAGACACCCCAAAGATAAATTATAAAAACTTGAATAGTGGTAAGAGCAACAATTTTTGGTGTTCCTCCTTTACAAAAAAAAAAAAAAGTCTGCCAAGTTAGGTCAGTATTGCTTCCTCACCGTTTTCATTTGCTACAAAATATCTATATTAAAAGGTCTAAAAATTTTCTTGTTCTAAAATTTATAAGAATAGAATTACTGGAAGAAGCCATTTTCGGAAATTCAATAATCCCTCAACATATACGGGCTTAATATCCATGAGTTTTGTTTATCAGCAAATGCTAAAATGCGAAAAAGTTCCGCATTTGCAGATTTCATATTTGATAGTTCGTAATTGAAAAAAAGGTATGTGGCAAAGAAAGTCTCATTAAAGAAATGTAAATTGCTATCTTAAATTAACAAAAAACTAAATAATTTTACAAATAAAATATTAAGTTGAAAGAGGGATTCAAATAGTAACCTTTTTTCAGCTTCACTAAGAATTGTATCTAACCATGGTACTAATTTCTTTTTTAAGCCATCTTCTGATATTTCATCTCTAAAATTCAGTAGTGCTTTTGAAACTATTCTATATGCTTGCATCAAAGTTGCAGCACATGCTTCATTTATTGACATTTCTGCTGTATCCTATGTGAATAAAGAATACATTTAATACTTTGTATGTAATTAACATACAAACATACAAATAATTATTAAAATAAGTATAAGTAATAAAAGATATGTATTAAAATAATTGCTATTAAAAAATATCAATCTTCAAGTCAATAAAAGTGACGCCAATAAGCAAGGTTAATCACAGTTTAAGAATTTACTAAATAGGGTTCTTAGATATTGTTTTGAATTTTTGCCCACCTTGAAAGTAATAACTGAAAATACTTCTAATAAATTATTATCCATCAATAGTATTTATATGTCAACAACTTAAAGAAGATGAAATATAGTTCAGGTATTAGATTAATCAAAAGGGAGGAATGGTAAATCCAACAAATGAAAATGTATCTTTCATTCCTCAAAGGGGACAGAAAAAGTGACTTAACTAGGAGGGCAGAGGGGATGGACCATCCCTAAGCTACACTTGGTAACAGTGATTTGTTTTGTTTATTTTGCTAGAAAATGATCATAATGATAATGATATTGTAAAAAAATAACATTTTTTTAAAGTTAATGGTAACTTTATTGAAAATTGTAGATTTAATTTTTATTTGGGCTTAAGAAAGCCTCCAAAATAAATTGTCTCTGGGCCCTAAAGTCTAAGTACACCACAGGAAGGAACCAAGATAACCCATGGAAATTCTAATCTATACTTTGTTGTCGATTGTGTTCATTATTAATAATTGCACAAGCTTTTAGCAGCTTAATAATAGTTCACACCCTTCTGATTCCACCAAACAGAGCATTGTCTTATTTCAATGGAAACTTAGCCTTGCAATCTATGTTATTGGTTCACCAAGAGTAACTCATGATCTTTGACGCTTCTTCTCAGAATATATTTCCTTTTCATCACCTGTCACAATTTGATGGAGAATTTACTTTCTTTTGTACCTGCGAGCAGCATTTCGGAGGTGTTTTTCTGGTTTTCTTTGCTGTCTTTCATTCAGTTCAAGTGAAGCCCATTTTCACATCTTCTGGACCTTTCCCATAGCTTTCAAACATATGGAGACAATTTTTCATATTACATTCGATTGATCCTTCTTCAACCAACAATGCTATTACTACTATACCATTCACTATCTTCCAACTTTTTTGGTGAATTTCGTGTTCTCCATTTTTTTTGTTTTTAACTTATTCAAACCTCTGCGTAGGGAGGTGGTGGCCCCATCTCCCCGTAAATATACCGAACATAGCCACTGGCCCCCCAGGTTGGGAGAAAAGTACACTGGCATTCACTCAGTACATAATTACAGTACACTAAGCTCACACCCACACTACAGACCGAGGCACTACAGTACACACCCTAGGGTTTCTGTCCCCAGGTAGTCCGGAGGGAGAGCAAGTTACGATGCTCAAAGAAGACAGCCCCTCCACCTGACTCGGAGGCGGCAGGCTGATAACCTGCACCCCTTAAACTTCAAATATCTCGAAACTTGCACAAGGCTCAGCCAGACAGAACACTGGTAACGGACATAATGCTCGTTTTAAGGACTTGAAACTAGCCTCCTGGAACATTTTATCGCTTTATAGACCAGGAGCTCTACAACAGCTACTCACATAATTAGACAACTATAAAGTGGACATTGCTGCCATCCAGGAGATCAGATGGACAGGGCAAGGCATGTTTGATAAAAACAACTACACGATCTACTATAGCTGCGATGAACGCTAACACAACTTTGGGATGGGTTTTATAATGAAGACTAATAAATCCCAACTTGTGTTAGATTTCAAGCCTGTCAGCCGTAGGATTTCTTGCATACAACTAAAAAGGAAATTCCGAAACTACATCATTATTAACATACATGCCTCTACTGGAGTTTCTGAAGAAGAGGATAAAGAGCAATTCTATAATGCTCTAGATCATTCTTTTGACTAGCTTCCGGGATCTGTTAAAATTGTAATAAGAGATTTTAATGTTCAAGTCGGAAAGGAGTCCACGTTATAGCCAACAATTGGTAAGCATAGCATTCATGACGTGTCGTATGAAAATGGGTTGAGAATGATTAACTTCGCTGCATCAAGAGGTCTGGTTGTAGGAAGCACATTGTTCCCTCAGAAGAGGATAAAAATGGCTACTTGGAGATCAAATGATGATTTTATCACCAACCAAATAGACCACATTCTAATGAGTGCAAGATTCATTTCTAGCTTAATGAATATTAGGGTCCACAGAGGGGCTAATATAAACTCAGACCATCACCTCTTGATATTGAGAATAAAGGCAAGGATCTCTATTGCCCGTATCCAGCAAAATAAGCCACAAGTAAAGTATGCAGTCCAAAAACTAACAGAATCTGAAATTAGAGACCAGCTTTCTAATCACATGAATGAAAAAATGCAATACACTGCTCCGACGGGAGATATTAACTAGGCTTGGATGACATCTAAAGAAACACTTGGACTCTAAAAAAGGAGAAGAAGTTAATAAGTATTGGTATGACCAAGAATGTCAAGTGGAAACAGATTTAAAAAATGCAGCATACCAACAAAATGCTTCAGAGACGTGCCCACAACTCAATGGAACAGTATAGGAGTAAAAGAAGATTTGAAAAGAACCTTCTTAGGACAAAAAAAAGATTGTGGCATAGGAATCAACTGGAAAACATAGAAGAATTTAAGCAACAAAAGGGTAATAGAAAATTCTACCAACTCATAAACACTGGAAGAAAACATTTCCATCCTCGGACCAGTGCTTGTAGAGGCTTAGATTGTAATTTAATATTAGATGTTCCAGGAATCCTAAGTAGATAGAAGGAACATTTTTGCTCTTTGCTGGACGGAAATGATATTAAACAAGACATAAATACAGAATTACCATAGGAAGACATTGATGTTCCAGATGAGGACTAAGTCCGAAATGCTATTCAGATGCTCAGGAAAAGCTAATCAGCAGAAAGAGATGGATTGTCTGGGGAGCTATTTAAGTATGGTGGTGAGGAAGTTGTAAAATATAGTCACAATCTATTGATGGATATCTGGCAACAGGAGAAAATGCCCAATGAATGGAGTGAAACTATAATAATCCTGGTTCATGAAAAGGGAGATGTCCTGGATTGCACTAATTATCAAGGCATTTCACTACTATCTAGTGCATATAAGATGTTTTCTTGCATTCTCTTCAAGAGACTCCAAGACATCATTGGCAGATACCAGGTAGGCTTTATGAAAGGAAAACACACAATAGATCAGGTCTTCACACTGAGAGTAGCACTGGAAAAATGTAGGGAGTATAGAAAAAATACCCATCACCTCTTCATTGATTTCATTGCGTACGACAGTGTAATTAGAGAACTCTACAAAGGACTCTTGGAACTGGGACTTCCTGTGAAGCTCATTTGCCTAATACCCATGACCATAATGCGGGTAAAGTGTATGGTCCGTATCCAGGGTATGACCTCAGAGTGTTTCTGCATCCATAAAGCACTTCAACAAGGAGATTGTCTCATGTGCCTACTTTTTAATTTGGCCCTGGAATGTGCAGTAAGAAGATCTGCAATCCAAGTTGGAGATTCAATTTTTAACAGAACTGCAATGATCCTTGGGTACGTAGATTACATAGATATAATGGCACAAACTATGAAGCCATGAAAGATGTATTATTGGAGCTTCAACAGGAAGCTGAAAGAATCTCTCATTATTAATGAGACAAAAAAAAAAAAATACATGACCACAGCCCCCCATGGAGAACTATACATACATATTGGATCATATTCCTTCGAGTGAGTGGAAGAATTTATGTATTTATGTAGGATCACAAGTGAATTCCCTTAATGACATTGCACTGGAAATTCAGCATCGGATTGCATCCATAAACAGATGCTATCTTGGATTAGCTGGGTATTTCAAGAGCTGAGTAGTATCCCGAGTAACCAAGATCCGTCTGTATAAGACATTGGTAAGGCCAGTACTAACTTGCGCTGCGGAATGACTGCCAGAAACCAAGAACAGGCCTTGTTAAGGTTTGAGAGACGGATCCTAAGAAGAATCATGGTTGCAAGACATGTAACCAGAGTTTTGAGACAGCAGACTAATGCTGAATTAAGGCAGCTATATGTGGATGCTGATGTGTTGATCTTTATTAAAGTAAGTCGTCTCAGATGGGCTGGACACGTTATAAGAATGTCTGAAGATCAGGTCCCAAAAAACATCCTCTTAGAACAAATCTTTGGCAAAAGAAGAAGAGGAAGACCAAGGTTGCGGTGGATAGATGTCATATCTGCAGATGCATGATCCATGCTTGGGTTACAGAACTGGAATACGGCAGAGCAGAATAGGAATGAGTGGAGGTCAAAGTTGTAAGAGGTCTTGTCTCCACGCCGGACCTAGAAGAAGAAGAAGAAAGCACTATAATTTACCAAAAGTATCCTCACTGTAAGCCTTAACAAGATTTGATGCGATTCTGCTGCAATTTACTTTAGGTTGTAACAGATAACTAATGCTGTCCGCAAATCATAGTTTGTAGCCACAGAACTCAATGTTCAAAAATATTAAAATAATACTGTTATATGAAACTTGTATTTTGTGAGTTGAAAATTGTTGCTAGCTGTTGAAGAAACAAAATGGTGCCAATAATGTGGTTTGATGGTAAATAGAGATAAACAACTAAAGCCATATATGGAGGAATTCCAGTTTTATATTTATGAGTATACATCTGCTAAATCTGGTACCAATTATTCAATCATTAATATTATAAAGATTAATTTCATAAACTTTAATTATTGTTTTCACTCTCAGTTAAAACATTTTTTTTTTTAATGTATAATTATTTCTAATAGATTCATAAAAGAAAGAACAGGCTGATATAAATTAGTTACATTATACTTTTTGAAACTGATATTTAAAAACAATTTAGGGCCATTAGTACTGGAGTAAACATTTGACCTGGGTTAAGTTGCCATATAGACTTGCTGCTATGAAACTCTTCTAACATTTTTATGAGTCTCCAGGATAGCTGGTGGATTATGAGAAGCCAGTAACCTAAGTAATGGTTAAAATGCTACTAAAAAAAAAAAAAAAAATATTATGTAAACCTTAGTAATTTCTTTAATTTTTTTCGCGATAATATTGGCTCTAGTCATAATTTGTTCCAAGAGCTTTTGGGCCATTGTTACCAGAAACCTTTTTTTCTCTCCTTCTTCCTAGAAAGAAATAAAAGAGAGCGCTGTCAAAATCAGTAAAATATTTTACAAATAACTGGAAACTTACATATATGTGAACCAAAAACTTGATTAAAAATTACAGTGACCAGCATTCAAATATAAATTTGTTCAATCTACTAAAATGGTTTCGATTGATCAACTTCTTTGTGTTAAGTAACATAATTATAAATAATGATATAATAAAATAATAATAAAGGCAGTTTTGATTAATAATAAACAAAAAAAATGTTTAAATATTAATTTATAATACATACATAAATTTTCCTTCTTTTTTTAGCCAATTCCAAATCTGAAAAATGGTACAAGAAAATCTTTATAAATAGTTATTTAGAATAGCAATAATATGAACAAGTCTGAAGGATTATAAAAATCTTGACAAAGTTCAATTAAGTTGGTATTACTGTCTTTCTATAACCCCTCTCTTCCTCCCTTTATTTACAAAAGAATTTTTCATTATTAGAAACTATGAAAGTATATATTGATAAATGATATTTTACCTTTTGAAGTAATTTTCTTTTCTGATGACTCATATGTTTCATCAGATGATACAATTTCTTCCGATGAAACTGGACACTTTATAAATTTATTAATGAATTCAACATCCTCTTGGTCAATTCTCTTATAAAAATTGGCTCGCTTCCTAGATTCTTCATTCAGCTGTGAATCAATTTTCTTGGATGAACTAAAACTAGATTGTGAATCGTCAAAATATTTTTTTCCTCTTGATTCTTGATCAGAATCACTTTCTTTCAACTCTTCTTTTTCTTCTTCAGGTTTCATTGATTCTTCAGATTCCCTTTCTAATGATTCTTTTTCTTTATTTTCAGTATCAATTTTAGCTAAATCTACCTTTTTTTGTTCCTCTTCAGTGCCAAATAATGTTTTAACGAGTGAAGGATTTTCATAAAGAGGAATATTTTCTATATTATCCGTTAGTATCTGCCTAACTTCACGTGTTGTATCTAATACTTCATCATAAAAGTCTTCCCATTCTTTTCCTTCTTTTTCAACTGGGCACAGTTTTCTCATAATACTATTTGTAGTATAATCAGATGAACTTTCCACTTCAACTAATTCATTTTCATTGTCATAAATTACAGTTTCTGCATACTTTCGTAGCATAGCTGTTTTAGCTTTTAACTCATCTCGAATTTGATTTTTTTCTAATTGATCAAGTAAAAACTGGTTTGTCTGAAACAATGAAATATGGATACATTTTAATCAAAAGTAATTTTGATAAATATGTACACGTTATAATAATATTTATTTATACTTAGCACCAATTAAACAACCCAGTGGTAAAACAATGGAACAAGATAATTTGATTTCATGTGTAATATGAGGTAATGCAAGTTTACCACCTAAATTTCATCAAATGAAATATAAATTTAAATTTTTAAAAAGATCATCTATTTTCAAAAGAAATCTTGAAGACTGAATTAACAAAAAAAAACAGAAGAAGAATGGAAGACGAATAAAAGAAAGAAATAAATTATGACATTTTTACTAATTAAATCAACTATATTAGCAATAATATTTACCAGTTTAGTGATATGTTCCATTTTTTCAAATTCTTCAAGCTGAGACAAATCTAAAATTTTATCCACTTCCTTAGCATGTTTTTCAGCCCAATGTATTGCCAAAGCTTTTGAAGTATCTTTAACTTGCTCTTCTACAGTTTGTTCCAATAAAACATCAGAAGTGATCTCATGCATTTTAAGAATCTGAAAAGAAAAAAGGATAAACAATGAGGAATCAGCGAAACTGGACCTTTACTTTTACACATTGAAGACGGGGTGAATGAAATGATGATTTAAAAAATCTGGTGTGTCCACTCACACGACTTTCCTACCTATTTCAGTAAATTTTTTATATCTTTAAATGTGTCCATTAAGTAACAAAAAAAAAATTGAATTTGATTTGTTTTCCTGAAAATTGATCAAAGAAAAGATTTGAGTTTGATAAACAAAAGCAACCTAAACTGGCAAGTGGAAGATCAGTATAAAAAATTCAATACACTCTAATATTTTTAACGAAAACTTTTTGCCATACCCCAAATTTGTCAGACAATAACTTCTGTTAAAAAAAGAGGAAATAGTGAGACTTGTATGATGCGGACACCATATTTCTTTACTTTCACTTACTTATGTTTTTTCTCCAACCCTTTCAGGCACCGGGATTTGAATTCATAATCTTACATACGAAATTTAATTGTTTTTTGGACTCAGAGGGCTCTGAAACGTATAGATCCGTCAAAAACTGCACATCGGAAATTTGACCAGATCACAATACTTTTCTTGCCTAGTATAGGTAGAAAAGTAATAAATTAAAACATGTGTAGAAAATAGAATACACTGTACCATTGCTAATACTGCTTCAATTCCAATGTTATTTTGTTTTTTCGTTTTGTAGGTAATTTAATTTAATTAAAAAGTTATTATATAAATTTTACCATATAATATATACTGAACAAGTTACGTCCCAAAACATTTTTCTTTTTTTCCTGAATTTTCTCAGGAATTTAGTACATGTACAAAAATTGAAAGGGAATTAATAAAAAAATTATAGGAAAGTTTCATAAAAATCGTTAGAGCCATTTTTGTGCTACAGTCTATAGGGCAGGGAGCATTCGATTTGTGTCACAGGCATCAGTAGTCGAAACCCTTCAAAATAAAAAAAGAAGCAACAAAATCGGTCTACTAATTCCCGAGATAATCTTGGCATAGACAGACAGACCAATGCCTGAAAATGTGTTTTTCGGAATCAGGGAGCTCTGAAACGTATAGATCCATCGAAAACCACATCAGAAATTTGACCTGATCACATTACTTTCTTTACCTATTATAGGTAGAAAAGTAAAATTTAATTTTCTTATGTTCAGAGAATTGCAATAAATATGAAGGAATGGATGAAGACATAAAAAGCAGAATGTACAAAACCAACAGCTTTTTATCGAGGTCTTGAATTTTTAATACCAATGCTATGTCACTATTGTAATACACCTTTAAAACATAACATGTCATTTATTTTAAATACAGATCATGTTCATGTAAGTTTTCCTATCACAAAAAAATTGTATATGGTATCCTCTGCTGGTCCATCACAGAGATCTCATTATCGCGCATGAGAGCATTCCGTGGTTGGCAGATGTGGGGATGGTCGGTGAAAATTCCTTGGAAGTTCCACCCAGCTAAGTCCAATGGACTCGCTGACCTACAGTGGGAGCGGTGGAAGGTATAACATAGGATTGAATGCTCTCCTCCCATATCTTCAGTTCACCAAATATTCCAGTCATGGATCTCCCTAAGATAAAACACTCATTACTTAGAGTTAAACTAGTCCCCGTTCGATAGATATAAATATTAAAAAACAAAACAAATTATGTTCCATTAATCGTTAACTTGAATTTCTGAACTAGCTTTAATAGATGATCTGGATATGATAATAAAAATGAAAACATAAAAATTCAATATGAAAAAATATAGAAAATAATATACATTTTTATTAAATTAGAAGAAGAAGAAGAAAAAAAAAAAGGAAATTGATAGTTACTTGTTTATAAATTTCTTCATGTTGCCGTTGTCTTATTTCTTCTTGTTGCCTCCTACCAGCTTCAGCTGATTCCCGAGCCCATCTGTTAAAAATGGCAAATTAATATAAATTTGTTTAGATAAACTTAACAAATAGTTAAATATAACACAAATTCAATTTAAGCATTCAAGAAGAAAAATGAAAGATTATTAGTCTTTGTTATATATTCTTTGAAAACCAGGTAAATTGAGAGATTGCCATAAGAAAAAAATCCCGACTTTCAATTAAAGATAATAGAAAAATATTAACTAAGATTAGAGTCAAACAGTATACAAAACATATTTCTTCTCCCTTTTTTTACGTGTTATTTTTAGATTGCTTTTAGATGAATTAATAATGAATAAATTTTATAATTACTTTACATAACAACAATATGTTATGGTGATATATGTCTTTCTACAAATTAAATTTTAATTCATAGTTATATTATTGTTTCAGCTGGGCTGTACTGTTCTGTAGTTATTGGTTCCAGGAAATAGCTATTATCAATAATATATACACAATTTGTTTCACCTTAACCACTTCAGTTAACCTCTAACATCAGTAAGTTTCCATAACTATACAATAGCATTTTAATAAATGAGGCAATGTAAGTTAAATTGTAGTTACAGTTGACTGCTTCAAGCAGCATCAGTGTTACAATAGGAGTGTTTTTGGACAACTGAATAAATAACAATGATTGAGTAAGAGTAACATCTAGGCACAGCTACTCCAAGGACAGTGACCTATATTGGCACTGCTTAGAAGCATTTATTATATATATCAAACTTATAAAAAGAAAAATACCGGGATCGAAACATCAATAAACACAGAGGAAATGAACATTTAGTAGTTTATTAAATAATTAATAAGTGACCTTATTCCCAATTAAATGGTTATGTTTATATATATATATATATATATATATATATATATATATATATATATATATATATATATATATATATATATATATATATAAAGATAATCCCTTTCCAGTTGCCTATAAGATAATAGACGACCATCAAGCTGGATATAGAAAAGGGAACATCCTAAACCAAATCTTCATCCTGAAACAAGTACTCGAAAAACAATGGGAAGTAGCTCAGGATATGCACGCCCTATTTGTCGATTTCAAAGCAGCCTATGATTCTGTGGACAGGAGCTGTCTTTGGAAAATCGTGACTGAACTGGGGATCCCCATTAAGATGGTGAGATTGACAAAGGGGTGTACAAATGACCCCGATTGTAGAGTCCGAATACATGGGGAATTATCTGAAGCCTTCAAAGTTCAAAAGGACTTATGGCAGGGAGATGGACTATCACCGATGTTGTTCAACTTAGCTCTGGAGAAGGTGATAAGAGTAATTTGGGGGTGGGGATAGCCAAGTGGGCTAATGCTTATGCATAGGACCACACATTGTCTGGCAACCGGGAGAGAAGATTATGTGACAAAATAATACCGAGTTCACTCTTGGTGCCAAGGAGGTCTCTTAACTCTGGCATTAACTCCCCCTCTCACCTCCTGGCCCGGGAAAACCCCCATATAGCATAAAGGGCAAGGAAGGGAAGGACAAAATAAAAAATAAAAAAAGGTTATTAGAACAATATCAAAGGAAAATGGAGGGGACCACATCGGAATGAATCATAAAATCCTTGGATACGTAGATAATATAGCTGTCCTTCGAAGTAATCAAGAAGATATTGAGAAACTCGCTACAACACTGATAAGAGATGCAGAGCAGATCGGCCTACAAGTAAATGAAGACAAAACAAAATATATGATAATAAGCCGAAAATTGCACCCCAATAACAGGATCTGCATAGAAGAAAAATCATTCTCGAGAGTAGAAATATCAAATATCTCGGCTCCACAATAAGCTGAATGAATGACAAACGGGTGGAAAAAGACTAGTGCAAACAGAGCTTTCTTCTCCCTCTCAAAGATATTGCAATCCTGAAAAATCTCACAAACTATGGGTGTAAAATGCTATGATAAAGTCAGTTCTAATATATGGCTGTGAGACCTGGATACTAACCAGCATCCTAGAAAAAAGTGTTGAAAGATTTGAGAGGGAAATGCTTCGCACAATAAACGGAGCGATCAGGGATCAGAGTACTAACACATAGAGAAGAAAAAACAATAAAGAACTGCTTACAGAAACTGGTCAATCAATATCCCATGATGTGAAGGTAGGATGGGGGAGGGGGCATGTAGCTCGTACCAATCCATCTGGAAGCCTCTACGTAACAATGAATATCTCAATAGAAGGCAAAAAGACCACGTGGAAGGCCAAAAAGCAGATGGATAGATAGAACCAACAAAGATCATTGTTAAGTGGTCTTTAATATCATTTAGGTCTTATCCCCGCTGATGGCACCTTACAGGGCTTAAATGCCCAATATTCACATGCGTTTTCCTCTAAATTACCTTTAATATGGTTTCTTTTAACTAATTAACTATCTCTCATTATTAAGAGTTGCGAAAAAATTCTAAATATAACTTTTGAAAGAGTTTGATAATTGAATAAAGGAGAAAAAAATAAAAACCATTATCCAGGTCGAAAATGAATCTCCGGAAATACTAGTCAAAAGGATAATATATATCGTTGGAAAGTGGAGAATTTCAGAAAAATCAATATCTAATATAGAGACTTGTAGAAGGTAATGGAGAGTGGCAAAAAAATTAAAAATAATAATTTTTGAAAACTAATAATATTTAACGTAAATCACATGTTTTCAAGAAAATTAAATGAAATTTACTAAATAAATATAAGCTTTTAAAATATTTTTAAGTAAAAAGTATTTAAAATCCACCTATTTAACACAATGACATTGTTAAAAAAACGATTTCATTATACTTGTGTGAAAGAAGAAGTAAAATATAAAATCATTTCATGGATGTATAAAGCATATGTTTATAACCTTAAATACATTTACAGTAGTTTAATAATTCTAGATCTGATATTTTATTTAAATAATGTATCAACATCCATTTATTCCGAAATATTGTCTTGTAACTTTTTAGAAAATTAAATTAGTGAATAATATGATGAATCTTCCCTTTGTGATATTCCAACCACTTAGAATCAGTGTAACAACTTTTGATCTGTCTAGGACAGACAATGCAAATCTCTTAATTCCATTTTAGTCAACATTGCAATGGAAAATAACAGTTTAATAACTAATAGTCGTACAATCCATAATCACGGATCGTGCAATCCATAATCAACCGGTGATATAATAAATAGGACTTTTGTTATTTTAATGTTAATTATGATTTGTCAGCTGTTATTTTTTAGCTTTAACTCGGTTAAAAATGTTTATAATAGCCCAACATGGCCAGAAAATAATTTCTATTCCAAGTTGAGAGGTAAGTGAAAGTTGTGTGTTGCGCTCACCAGATTTTTCACTTAAGTTCTGTGGATTTGTTTTTAAAATTTTGATATAAACTTTTATGTAGTTAAAACAGATGTTTTGAGATATTTAAATCATGTAAAAATGTTCAAGATTTTATTTCATACATGAAGTAATAAAATCCAACAGTAAAAATAATTTAAAATGGTACGACTACCTTTCTTTTTCAGCAGCTAGGGCAAACAAATGAGCCCTTCTTTGATCTTCTAAACGAACCAGAGCAGCAGATGTATAGTCAAGCATTGCACATATTGCATGGCCCTCAAGCTTCTCAATAACTCCAATAATTTTACCTTTCTATGCAAAATACAAATAAAATATTTAGAAATTACAAAATTTTGATGACAAAAAAATATCAATTAAAATAACTGTAGATTCCAGATTGGCTAAAACTATGTTTTATTGAAAGAAAAAGTCATTAATTTATTTACCTTTTGCATAGCAATATTGAAATTGCGTATTCCCTTTAAAATATCTTTTCTCCTATCCAATTTTTGTTGTTTATCTCTAGGATTTAATCCAACAGTAGATTTTAATTCTCGAACTAAATCTCTATGAGATTTCATGTGACGCAGCACCTATTTATATAATTGAAAATTGGCATGAATAATCATTAAAGTAATAAAGCTAGAAGTACCAACAGAATAACAACTTCATCCACACCATACTCTGAATAGCTCGTCCCTTTATGATACTTTGAAGTAGGACAACATTTTTTAAAGTTTCTTCTTCTTCTTCATCCATTTCACCCAATGAACAAGCAAGAGGACCAGTCATCACTTTTTCAATGTTCTTATGCAATCTTTGAAAATGGTTTATTTGGCCGACTGGAACAATGAAGGAGATTAAATAACATGAACAAATGTAAACTTATAGATATTAGAAATTATTTATGAGAAGGAGTTGATCGGGGGGGCGCGGTCAAATAAATTTATTTGACCCCCTCTTCTCCCGATGAACTCCTTCTCATATTATATCACAGTCAACCATCTCTACATCATTAGAAATTATTTATTTTAAAAATGTATAATTTCCTCCCAAGAGACTTCTGTTCAAAATATTTTTTTTTCTTTTATAGCAGTAAAGTTACAATAAAAATCTTATGACAGTTGAGTATCAATGAGATGGATTGACTGAGACTCAGAAACTTAATTTAGTTAATAACTATCCATAACCATAATTAAAGAATCAGCATAACGGATCATACAAATTAATTTCCAATCCTGTAATCTAATGAACTACATGCCTATAAAGTGCAGAAGAGAGACTAAGAAAGATGTATAATAATATATATACACTGACAGGCAAAAAATTCCACCCACTTGTAAAAAAAGTTGTATTTGTATATTATACACGGTATTTGTAGATAATACTTAGTATTTATGGAATTTTATAATCTTTTTTACCTTTAATAATCAAAATGTGATTGGGTAAGAAAGATTAGAGAAAAAAAATTGAAAAACGAACCATTACTACTATTCTAAAAGAAATTAATTACATCATCGTTTAGTAGCGCGTGTTTCCTCCTCTTGCCTTCACTACTTCTTGAAGACGCCTCGGCATACTTTCCACCAGTCGGGAAATGTCCCTTTGCTGGAGGATAGCCCATTCCTCCCGAAGAGCCCTTTCAAGGTCCTGCAGTATATCAGAAAGTGTTGCACGCGCTCTTATTCGTCTTCCGAGGTTATCCCATAAATGCTCAATGGGGTTCAAATCTGGAGAACGTGCTGGCCAGGCTAAAACCTCAATATTGTTCTGATGGAGAAACATCTGCACTATGCGGGCGACATGTGGGCGTGCATTAGAATAGAACGATCACCGATTTCGTTGAGGATAGGCAACACATGAGGTTCCAAAATACAAGCGAAATGGCCGTCAAAGACCCTCCACGAACTACAATCAATTCTGTGCGGCGCTCCATTGAAATCCCAGCCCACACCATTAAGGAACCACGTTGGAAAGGTTGGCTCTGGGAAAAATTACAGGCAGCATATCTTTCGTTTCTTCTTCTCCACACCCTTTCATGCCCATCTGGAGATCGAAGAGCGAATCTTGACTCATCTGTAAAAAGTACAGCACTCCATTCCTCTATAGTCCAATGGTTGTGTTCTCTAGCAAAAGCCAGCCGTGTTACTCTGTGAATCCTGGTCAACTCTGGCCCTCTCACTGGACGAAAAGCCATTAATCCATACTCATTTAATCTTCCCCGAGCGGTACGTTCAGAAATTTGCACACCTCAAACTTCTTCGAGCTGATGAATCGCTTAAACAACGGTAAGGTGCCGGTTTCATAAAATTCTCAAAGTAAAAAACCGGTCATCCCGTGGTTCTGTTACCCTAGGCCGTCCAGAACCGAGCCTTCTATTGTAAGAACCAGTTTCCCGAAAACGCCTGACTGCGTCTCGTAAAGTTTCATATGGAACTCCGATGGCATTAGCTGCATATCTAATGGAACGTCCATCATAAATAAGTGCCACACCACGCGCAACATCCTCAGCATTAAGAGGCATTTTTAAACTTAATATTGAAAAAATTAAAAGCCAGAGACTAAGAAATATGCTACAAGAAACGGCACTGAACTAATGATACTGAATAAACATTCTGATTCCATAGATAGTAAACATTGGAATCTAGAATCATTTCATTGAACTCCATGACCTCGATTAGGCGGGTGAAGTGGAAAGAGAAAAGAAGAACGCGTATGATAAATGTATCCCTTTCCTAAAAGAGAAATTCCGTGAGGCCTTCGGAGAGAGAGAGTTCACCGTAAGAGGCCTCTGGTTTGGGTCTCTCGGAACAATTCCAAAAAGAACAAGGAGCTTCAACGAGGAACTAGGTGTCGACATTAAGGACGTAGTGAGGTTGGCTGAAAATATAGTCCTCGACTCCCTGAGAATCATTCACCACCACTTGTATGGCTATCCTGAGAGTTTTAATTTATGTATTTATTTATTTAGTGAAAAAATTGAAAACAATAGAAATAAAGAGAGAGAAGTGAGAGAAAGGAAAGTTAAATGTTAAAAAAAAAGCATGAAAAATGAAAGGAAGAAAAAAAAAAGTATATATATATATATATATATATATATATATATATTATATATTATATATATATATATATATATAAATATATATATATATAAATATATATATAAAAAGAAAAAAAAGTATATATATATATATATATATATATATATACTTTTTTTTTTCTTCCTTTCATTTTTCATGCTTTTTTTTTAACATTTAACTTTCCTTTCTCTCACTTCTCTCTCTTTATTTCTATTGTTTTCAATTTTTTCACTAAATAAATAAATACATAAATTAAAACTCTCAGGATAGCCATACAAGTGGTGGTGAATGATTCTCAGGGAGTCGAGGACTATATTTTCAGCCAACCTCACTACATCCTTAATGTCGATACCTAGTTCCTCGTTGAAGCTCCTTGTTCTTTTTGGAATTGTTCCGAGAGACCCAAACCAGAGGCCTCTTACGGTGAACTCTCTCTCTCCGAAGGCCTCACGGAATTTCTCTTTTAGGAAAGGGATACATTTATCGTACGCGTTCTTCTTTTCTCTTTCCACTTTACCCGCCTAATCGAGGTCATGGAGTTCAATGAAATGATTCTAGATTCCAATGTTTACTATCTATGGAATCAAAATGTTTATTCAGTATCATTAGTTCAGTGCCGTTTCTTGTAGCATATTTCTTAGTCTCTGGCTTTTAATTTTTTCAATATTAAGTTTAAAAATGCCTCTTAATGCTGAGGATGTTGCGCGTGGTGTGGCACTTATTGATGATGGACGTTCCATTAGATATGCAGCTAATGCCATCGGAGTTCCATATGAAACTTTACGAGACGCAGTCAGGCGTTTTCGGGAAACTGGTTCTTACAATAGAAGGCTCGGTTCTGGACGGCCTAGGGTAACAGAACCACGGGATGACTGGTTTTTTACTTTGAGAATTTTATGAAACCAGCACCTTACCGTTATTTAAGCGATTCATCAGCTCGAAGAAGTTCGAGGTGTGCAAATTTCTGAACGTACCGCTCGGGGAAGATTAAATGAGTATGGATTAATGGCTTTTCGTCCAGTGAGAGGGCCAGAGTTGACCAGAATTCACAGAGTAACACGGCTGGCTTTTGCTCGAGAACACAACCATTGGACTATAGAGGAATGGAGTGCTGTACTTTTTACAGATGAGTCAAGATTCGCTCTTCGATCTCCAGATGGGCATGAAAGGGTGTGGAGAAGAAGAAACGAAAGATATGCTGCCTGTAATTTTTCCCAGAGCCAACCTTTCCAACGTGGTTCCTTAATGGTGTGGGCTGGGATTTCAATGGAGCGCCGCACAGAATTGATTGTTGTTCGTGGAGGGTCTTTGACGGCCATTCGCTATGTAGATGAGATTTTGGAACCTCATGTGTTGCCTATCCTCAACGAAATCGGTGATCGTTCTATTCTAATGCACGCCCACATGTCGCCCGCATAGTGCAGACGTTCCTTCAACAGAACAATATTGAGGTTTTAGCCTGGCCAGCACGTTCTCCAGATTTGAACCCCATTGAGCATTTATGGGATAACCTCGGAAGACGAATAAGAGCGCGTGCAACACTTCCTGATATACTGCAGGACCTTGAAAGGGCTCTTCGGGAGGAATGGGCTATCCTCCAGCAAAGGGACATTTCCCGACTGGTGGAAAGTATGCCGAGGCGTCTTCAAGAAGTAGTGAAGGCAAGAGGAGGAAACACGCGCTACTAAACGATGATGTAATTAATTTCTTTTAGAATAGTAGTAATGGTTCGTTTTTCAATTTTTTTTTCTCTAATCTTTCTTACCCAATCACATTTTGATTATTAAAGGTAAAAAAGATTATAAAATTCCATAAATACTAAGTATTATCTACAAATACCGTGTATAATATACAAATACAACTTTTTTTACAAGTGGGTGGAATTTTTTGCCTGTCAGTGTATATATATTATTATACATCTTTCTTAGTCTCTCTTCTGCACTTTATAGGCATGTAGTTCATTAGATTACAGGATTGGAAATTAATTTGTATGATCCGTTATGCTGATTCTTTAATTATGGTTATAAAAAAAGTATATATATATATATATATATATATATATATATATATATATATATATATATATATACTTTTTTTTTCTTTTTATATATATATATTTATATATATATATATATATTTTATACATATATATATATATATATATATATACTTTTTTTATCCGAGAGACCCAAACCAGAGGCCTCTTACGGTGAACTCTCTCTCTCCGAAGGCCTCACGGAATTTCTCTTTTAGGAAAGGGATACATTTATCATACGCGTTCTTCTTTTCCCTTTCCACTTCACCCGCCTAATCGAGGTCATTGCTCTCAAAGCGGACAGTTGGATCCAAGATCAGCGCTGTCCTTCCTGTCTTGGGAAATGCGACGATATCCGCGTATCTCGTAGAGCCTTCACTATCGATGTAATATACCTCGTCAAAGCAGGTGAATTTCCTTTCCCTAAGGAGCCTCATCAACTCGAACTTGACCCGGTGGTGATTACGTGTTATGAGGAGGGAGTTGGGGGCATTTTTCCAGCACATGGGCTGGTGTTTCAGACTCTCTGCCGCATTAACGGCCGTTATCGTTAAAGCTGTTTTTGAGAAAATCTACTGTATAAAATGTCACTTCTGGTTAGCCGATTTGGAAGACAAAGTTGCTGTAACATCCAAGATATATCCAAAACTTAAATATGCACTTTCACTTACATACAAATTTTTGTTTTGGAGCTAGACTGTTCAGATACATACGTACAGACCATTTTGTGGGACTTGGTTATTTGGACTCAGGAGAGCTAAAAACAATTATTTCAGTTGTAAACTCAGATTTGAAAATTTTCATGATTGCAATACTTACCCCTACTATGTATTGAATATATTGGCAAGTGAAAGTAAAATATAAAAAGTAAATTAGATTAACACACTCATAGTTCCAATACATTTAATGATAAAAACAAAACAATTAACAAATTTTGTCTTTCTTATCACTTCTTATATTTCAATGGTTTTGAAATTATACCTAAAAATGTACTACTATCATTAATAATTTCATTATTATCATTTTTCTGTAATAGTAATCAGTATGATTATAACTGATTCAGGAGGAAACGGTCCAATACAGACAACTTTCCTTTGTAAACAGTTTAAATAAAATCAAATTTAAAAAATGTTTACATACCAGGTATTTCTTCAGGCATACAATAAAACTGAATTCTTTTGCAGCAATGCTTTTTCAGATATCTTTCTTTTATTTGAGGTAATGGCGTTGATATTCCTTTCCAGAGGGCATTATACACATCTAAAATTTGATAAATCCTTAAAAATAATGTAATTTCACTTAAAAAAAAAAATTGAATTATTTCAACAGATAAAAACCAAAAAATTAATATCACATATGTAGATGGTTGACGCTACGATAAATCAAGAAGGAGATGAGCCAGAAAAGTAACTTGAAGATTGTTCTAAGACAAAGGTGTCTTCCTGACTTGTAAAACTATTTACTTTCATAAAGACATACAGTCTGAGTTGAAATGTTGGCATTGACAAAATAATCAGCAATTGATGTTTTTTCTGACAGACTCCTGGACCATCTCCTTAAACAATTAATGTTTAAACCTAATAATGGTAACATAATCTAATCATTTTTACAAATATTATTGTAATTATTGAACATAATTTATTTCAAAATTTTTAACGTTTCATAGTCTACAGTTCTAGTAAAAGCATCCTGGGTTTTACTATAAAGCTGAACATATTATCCTGAATATGTTGGAGAATATTCTCCAAAAAGATCAGGTCAAACATTTATGCACTTATTTTCCATAGCTCAACCATCCAAAAATGACTCCTATTTAAACCCAGAGATGGTCTAAGAATTTTATCTCCAATGAATAGCACCCTTAAATAGATTATGTTCTGGCAGATCTTAAAACAAAGCATGATAGGTGAACAGAACACCCACAACATCCTCTACTCCAAGGAAATTTATTTTAATAAATAATGATTGGCATTATAGGCGTGAGGAAAAATCATTTAACAGTGAAACATGTATTCCTTACCTCCAATTATTTTAGGGCGTGGATCAATACATAGTTTTTCATGAGCATAGGCAGGATTCTTTCCAAACATAGCCAATGGTGCATTTAAGTCAGAAGACAAATAATGAAATTTCTCAATTATATTAAGCTTTTTCAATCTGTTTTGTCCTGATGGCCTTAAATAAGTTTTCCGAAGAGCTAAATTATAAAATATAATATAATAAACATGTATATACATAGATATAGCATCTGAGAGGTAAAAGGTTGGATGTCCAGTTGTTTATATGTAGGTAAATTTGTATATATAAGGGTATATAACAAATAAAAATACCTATAATGAAATATAAATAAACATAGTGTCTATAATTATTACAAGTATTTATCTGACACTAAGGCAGATTATCACACATATCAGCTGCGCCAAGAGAGAGCGCTCAGGGTGGTAATCAGGAGATTACACCCATCAACATTGCTGGATGCCATTAAAGAAGAACTAACTGAGATGGGGTTCCGTGTTCGCCAAATAGTGAATATATTCAAGGAAGATAGAGAACAGCCTGGCTCAAAAAATAAAATACCGCTCCCACTATTCTTCGTTGACCTTGACCGAACACCCCAGGTCGAAGACATCTACAAGGTCACACGCCTTTACTACACTAGTGTTGTTGTAGAAAAGCCCTACACTAAGCGCGACATTGTACAATGCCATAACTGCCAGGCTTATGGTCATACGAAACGCTATTGCCACCACATTCCTAGATGTGTCCGGTGCGGTGATCAACATAAAACAGAGGACTGCCAGAAGTCCAGAAGAACACCAGCAGTATGCGCTTTATGCCATCAAGGGCACCCAGCGAACTACAAGGGTTGCCAAACATATAAGGAACTAAAAGCAAGAATTTATTCAGCTCCAAGAGAATAACGGCCATCCAGGCCACCAAGACAACCCTCTAGAACTGTAAATACAAGAGTGTCCTATGCTCAGATATTCAAAGGAGACACTGCACCCACACAAACTCAGGCCCTGCCACAAGAACCTCAACCTCGAGTATTCACATCTCAACCTCAAGACCCTTATCCCATCTCTGAACCTAGGCCTAATAACCAGACATTCATTCCTCCTCCTCCCAATGCCACTGACCTCACAAGCCTATTGACTTCTTTTCTCTCTGAATTCAGATCACTCATCACTCCTCTCATTTCTTTACTTACCAATGTTGTATCCAACCTCATTTCACTGCCGAGAAATCCTTAAATGTCCCCAATCAAATTCCTCTCCGTTCTCCTTTGGAATGCGAATGGTATTCAAAATCACATCAACGAGCTAACAATCTTATTACAGGACAAAAACATTGAAATAGCATTAATAACTGAAACTCGACTTACCAACAAACGACCACTTAACATCTCCAATTATCATATCTATCGAACCGACCATCCTGATGGAACAGCACATGCTGGCACTGCCATAATTATCCATCAATCCCTTTCCCATCACCTATTCCCTTTGCTGACCCATAATTTCCTACAATCCACTGCCGTGAAAATCCAAACTTCTCCTTACCCAATAGCAGTAGTCGCAGCATACTCCCCGCCTAAAATACCTATCTCAGAATCCCAATTAACTTCCTTCCTTAACTCCTTAGGACACCACTTCCTTCTAGGTGCAGACTTAAATGCTAAACACCAGCAATGGGGAGCCAGAACCACAAATTCCAGAGGACCAACATTGCTATCTGCACTTAATTCCCATCACAGCAACATCCTCTCACCCAATTCTCCCACATACTGGCCAACAGATCCTAACTGCAATCCCGATCTCCTAGATTTTTTCATCCACAAAGGTCTAGGGTCCCTTAATTATAGCATTTCAAGACTTGATGATCTTTCCTCAGACCATAGTCCCCTAATCCTAATGGTCTCCACATCACCAATTCCCAAACCACCTCCACCTTCATTTATCAGGGGACCAGTTAATTGGAACCTCTTCCGTCAAATACTGGATGATAATATTGACCTCAGAGTTTCCTTAAAAACACCTACAGACCTAGATGAAGCAGTACATTCCATGACTACCTTGATCCAACAAGCAGTTTGGACTGCATCTTCACCTGATCCTTCTAAAAAATACCGCAAAACAAATCCTCTACCCCAAGACCTACTGGACCTTATTAATAGAAAACGATGCTCTAGGACTATATGGCAAAGAACCAGGCATCCTGATGATCGGAAATCATATAACTATTATTCCAAGCAAGTAAAACAAAAACTGGCCACGTTTAGATCCCAATCCTATAATTCCTATCTTTCCTGACTATCTGCAAGTGATAACTCCATCTGGAATGTAACTAACAAAATCCTTAAATTCCAATCCATTTCCCACCCCCTCCGCCGTGATAATGGTTCCTGGGCTTCGTCAGATGAGAATAGAGCAGAAGAGTTTGCTAAACATCTATCGTACACATTCACTCCTCATCCTGAACTCCATCCCTCCCATACTGCTGAAGTTAAAGAATTCCTCTCTTCATCGATTCCTCTCTCCTTACCTCCTACAGCCGTCAACCCCTCTGAGGTCAAATTCCTTTTAAAAAACCTAAAACCTCGCCAATCTCCAGGACACGATCTCCTTACTTCCCAGATCCTCAGACAACTTCCCAAAAAAAGCAATTATATTCCTTACATACCTATTCAACTGTATCCTCCGCACAACCCACTTTCCCCTGGTGTGGAAACACTCCATAATTATCCTCTTTCCTAAACCAAGTAAACCTGTTAATTATACATCATCCTATAGACCGATAAGCTTACTTCCGATCCTTCCCAAAATCTTTGAGAAAATCCTTCTCAAACGCATCCTACCCATACTCGAATCCCACAATATCCCTTCCCATCAGTTTGGATTCCGCTCAAGACACACCACTGTCCAACAGGGCCTTCCCGTTGTGGACCACATATCCTCTGCACTTGAAAACAAGCAATATTGCACTGGTGCCTTTCTGGACGTAGCTCAAGCTTTCGACCGGGTGTGGCACGATGGCTTGCTTTTCAAGCACAAAACCCATTTACCTTAACCCTTGTATCTAGTCCTCAAATCTTACCTTTCAAGTCCGCTGCGGCACTGAACTCTCCAAACATTATCCAATTGAGGCTGGTGTTCCACAAGGCAGTGTCTTGGGCCCACTTCTCTATATCCTTTTCACCGCTGACATCCCTTCAAGTCCTGATACCTTCCTAACAACATTTGCTGATGATACTGCCATCCTATCCTCCCACTCAGATCCTCTAATAGCGTCCCGGAACCTGCAAAGACACCTCTCCTTCATTGAGCAGTGGTGCAACAACTGGCGCATCAAAATTAATGAATCAAAATGCAAACATGTAACTTTCACTCTTCGACGCAGATCCTGTCCGCCAATCCTTTTTAATTCAATTCTTCTTCCCTACTCAGACACAGTCCGATACCTTGGCTTCCTTCTGGACAAAAGACTGACTTGGAACCCACATACGAGACTTAAAAGACAAGAGCTTAACCGACGATTTGGTCAGCTATATAGACTACTAAACAGAACATCTCATCTCTCAACAGAAAACAAATTATTAATCTACAAGACTATACTGAAACCTATCTGGACCTACGGAATTGAACTGTGGGGGACAACTAAATCATCGAATATCAAACGCATCCAATCCTTCCAGTCCAAAGTCCTTCGAACAATAGTCAATATTATGTCACGAACAAGACCCTACACCATGACCTTAACATCCCATATGTCCATGACATTATCCCATCCAGATTCTCCAACTTTCACCAGAACCTCATTCATCATCCCAATCCTCTAGCGCAATCCCTATCCAGCTCCGAGCATCCATACCATCCCCCTCGAAGGTTGAAACGGCAGTGGCCTCGAGATCTTTTGTAAATATGCCTTTGGAGTCCTGGCAATGGCCAGCTTCCCCACTCATGTCCTGAGTGTCTGTGGCTGTAGTGCCCTCTTTCAGTCTCCACTGGCTTCTAATACTTGTGATGCGGCTGGAAAAGTGGCACTGGGATCTTCCTGAGTCTTGCTTTGCCTTCCACGCGTGGAGGGAAAAGCCTGGCTCGGAGATCCTTGGGCGAATGTATATATTGTATATATATACATGTTGTGTTTAGAAGTTTTTATTTTATTTTATTTGTTTATTTTTATTTTTTTTTTTTTATTTACCTTCTTCATCAGTATTATTTATTTACTTCTTATATTTATATTTATTTCTTTATTATTTGTATATATTGTATGAATGAGAACTTTTAGCCCTAATGCTTATAGCCCTCCAGCAGTGGCTGATTGTATTATTATTCAATGAATAGATTTAAAAAAAAAAAATTATTACTTTCACTTCCCCTTTGTCTAAAAATACTTATTTCTGCTAAGAGGGTGGTAAGAGAAAGTTGTGTGATGCGAGCCCCGTGCCAGATTTTTTTGTATCTCCAGCCGAATACTAGAAGACAAAGAAAGTCCTTCACTCTGAAGGTTTCTTTCTTTTCCTTTTGAAAGTTTTCAAGATCTCATAAATATGATAGGTGAGCTTAAAAATAAAACATACTAGTCTTTAAATTATCTATTACTGACTATATAAATTTATGATGATGTAGAGATGGTTGACCGTTGATATAATATGAGAAGGAGTTAGTCGGGAGTGCGGTCAGATAAATACTAAATTAAAATATAGTAATTATATTTATTTTAATTTTGCCAACGTTTCGACCCACTTTTCAGGTCGTCTTCAGGGCTACAAAAGATACAAAACATGTTTCAATGTTTTTATTCATACTTATTTTCCATTTATTTGTATCTTCTACATATATAATACTTAATATTTTACTACATTGTCACCCACTATATCTCTGATATCATCTTTTATTTCTGTATCTGACAACTTCTTCTTTTTTTTATATCTACTTATATTTAATTTTTATTCTCAACATGTTTTGTATCTTTTGTAGCCCTGAAGACGACCTGCAAAGTGGGTCGAAACGTCGGCAAAATTGAAATAAATATAATTACTATATTTTAATTTAGTATTTATCTGACCGCATCCCCGACTAACTCCTTCTCATATATAAATTTATATTATCTACTTCTTTCCTTTGTAAACTACACAAATAAACCTTATTTCTGCCTCTGTAATAGTATTTTTTTTTTGTTGTAATAGGTTTTTTTAAACCTATATCTTGATTTAGTGTTAGTTAATGCAACAGGTTAAAAGTTCTCAGGTTCTTCTGGAGTTTTCCTTTCTTTAAAATTGGAATGACTTCTGCCTTCTTCCACTGAGTTGGTATGTGTTTTTTCAAGGTGCTGTTAATAAATTCAATGAGGAGAGCCTAGACTTTGTTCTCAGTATTCTTAAGAAAATTTGAATTTATTCCATCAGTACTAAAATTCTTTCCAGAACCGAATTTCTAAAATGCCATATTTAGTTCAGCAGTTGTAAATTTAATATTAAAAAGTTTGTTTTCTGTGAGGCATGTTTGAGATAGGTAGGCATTGTTTATTTTGCCAGTTTGTCTTTTTGTCAGGATAGATATTGATTAACTAAATCTTCAATATTCAGTTCCCGAAGCCTTTCGGCATTATCCCGAACGTGAAATATATTGCAAAATTTATTAATTTTCATGGTTTTATTCTAAATCTGGTACTTATAAATAAAATCATAAGAAAATTATGAGCTATTTCCAAGGTCAAATAAAATTAAAAAAAAATCACATTTTCCTCTTCTGAACAGTTTCATACATGTGACAATTGCCCTTTAACCTCTGAGATACAGAGGTATATATGAACATACATATAGATACACACACACCATTAACTGATGATAAAATTTCAATATTAAAACCTTTACCTCTCTCACATTTTGCATTAATTTTTGGTAGCTTGATTCTCTTTTCGTTAGCACATCGTTCTCTTACTCTTTTAATACGTTCGTTCATGCGCTCCTGAACGATCATTCTCTGTTCCAACATTTGTTCTTGTGCTAACTGCATTCGTAACTTATTTATTTCTTCAATTTCCTGAATTATTTAAATGGCAAAAAAAAAAAAAATTGTAATAATAGTGATTTGAATTATATGATAGTGAAATAGTGATTTAAAAATGTTAATTAAATATAGCACCACATGTGCATGCAGAAAGCAGTGATTAGGCCTACCTAGGAGAGGAATTAGAGAGAGAAAATCCATTTTTATGCATGACAACAAACCTATCAACATCACACATGTTCCCAAATGAGTTAAGCAATCTCTTGACCAATCATTGATACCAAGTACCGAATGAATTCAGTTTCAGGATTAATACACAGAGAGAACCAGCAATAGGGGCAACAGACAGCAACATCAGTTTTCAGTAATATATGTATGCCTATATTTATAATATATAGTCCTGGGCATATCGCTAAACTGCATCATGGAGAGAGGAGGGGCATACCTTATTGCCGCAGTGCAGGCAATCTATCTAAGAGAAGGTAACTCCAAAATTAAACCAAGGGTAGGTTGGAATCTTCAGCTGTGGCAAAAGCAACTAGCCTAGAGAATGGAAAGTCTGATGATAAATGACAGCCCTCCAGGTTGGGGGTGGGTGTGGGGCCAACAACCCATCCTTGAAAAAAGGTTATTGTTCAGAAAACTGAGATGAAAGAAAAGACAGACGTTTCTAATGGTAAAAGACCTCGCGCTCAATGGATTAGAATAAATTGGAAACAATCTGAGGTTTCATTAGAAATATGGAACATTAATACAATGTTAAGAGCAGGAAAAATGAAAGAAATTTCCAACCAGCTGATAAAATATAACATAGATATTGTAGCATTGCTAGAAATAAAATGGAAGTGGAAGAATTGATAAAAAGAAGTTATCCATATTATACAATGCTCCAGAAAAGAAAACTGGTCAAGTAGGAACAGGCTTCTTCATAAATAGTGAATCGCGAAAATCTTATTTTTAATTTTGACCTGATATCTGACAGACAAAGTAAAGAGATTATGGCCAAATGTAGTTATAGAAATATTTCTTTTTTTACTCCTGCCTTATGCCTCAACAGCCGATGCTCACAATGACATCAATGTAGAATTCAATGATATGCTAGGAAGTAACATTCAAAAAGTGTTCAAATATGGTGCGATCATGCTGATAGGGGACTTTAATGCTAAAATTGGGTGAGAAAGCGAGAAAAATAGAGAGAACACAGAAGGTTCGACAAAGATTGATCAAATAGGAAAATTACTCAATGGTTGAAACTAGGAAAGGAAGAGGTAAAGTGTCAGGCGGATGAGCGCCCAAATCATTCTCGGTTGGCGAGCTAAGGGATGAACCTTAAGACAGGACAGTAACCACAAATGGAGAGAAGAGTCTCCAGACTTTGAGGGAGGAAGAAATACAACGACGGGATGAATTTCCAGGATTGGTATATAGGACTTACAAGCGGACAGATGAGCATCCAGACCTTCTATGGAATAGAGAGAAGGAGAAAGGCTTACAAATACACACATGGACAAGGTTCCAAAATTTATATAAAATATATTGATTATAACTGACTGAATAGAAAGGTAAGGTTTGAGCCATCCCAAGGGGGGAGAAAAATGCTGCAAATATATCCGCCATGATAAAATTGACGAGAAACAGTCATTACAGTTACTGTTATTTTTAAGCTTAGATCAGTATATCTTATTACTATAAAATTTTATTATTAAAAAGTATTCATAATGTGTATAAATATTTGCAAGTTTGTAGTGCAGTTTTCCACATTAAAATAATATAAAATAAAAGTAACACTTATAGGTACAATGAGTGAGAGTGCACATGTGACCGTGCCAGGTAGAGGGTATGTGAACTAATTGCCCCCTACAAGACTCCTTTCCTAGGTGACGGAGTCAGAAGTGAAGTCCAACGTGAGTGGCTGAAATTTTATGGTGGTCCTCCATCTTCAGTTCTAATATCAGTTAGGTGTTTGTTTAGGGTAAAATTATACTTGCACAGATGTGAGCGTCAAAGTGCTCCACGAATTGTGAATTGCTGAAGTAGATTGCTGTAGTAGAAGTATTGCTGCCAAGTAAATTCGTCCCAGAAAGGAGTGGGGAGAGCATCAGTAGTGCCTTGAGGGAGAGTTAGCGGGATGGCTTCAGTGAGTTTGAACAATCATTGTGCCAGTTGTTGGCAAGAGTGGACAGGTCGTCGGGATAACTTTGGTGAGTTGAAGTATCACTTCTTCAGTTGTTGCCAGGGCAGGTCGTCGGGATAACTTTGGTGAGTTGAAGTATCATTACACCAGTTGTAGTCTCCGTATGCCTTTGTTTGGTGGAAGAGGTATCAATGAGAGCTACTATATTAGGTGTTAGTTAAATTAGTGAAGTGATTGAAGTAACTGTAGTAGTCAAGTTGGACTTGGTTTGGCAGCCAAAGTGAGTTACTTTTTCCTTAGGATATTCAGCTGGTGCTACAAGCCTTAGGCACTTAGAGGTGACTACTAAATTTAAGTATCCTTAAGGGGTGAAGGAGCCTTGAGTTGTACCTTGTAGAGACAGTAGATATTTGTTCTTCCTCTAGATGGTATGTTTTAGTACAGCTGTGTTGAAACAGTTCAGGCTGGTTGAGGGTGTTGCTTCAGGTTGGAAGCTAGCAGCAGTCTAGGATCCTCATATTTCCTGTGGGAGTAATACTTAACATATGGATAGTTCAAAGCTGAATCTAGCCTGGTCATGAATCATGGCCGTGATGAAAGTTGTGGTGTAAAGGCTGAGTTTGAAGTAGGCTGTGTTTCTGGAAAACCTCCAGCGATGAAGGGAAGGACAAAAAAAAAAAAAAAAAAAATAGTACAGAAGTTCACAAGGCAAAACTACGAAGCTTCCTATTAGCCAAGCTCTTATTTATTGTTATGAGTAAAATTTTAAAAGACCTAAAGCAATTTGAAGGCTTCTTTCGATGAAAATGATAGCGCATTGATGTCAAGCACCTCATACAGTAGTGACAAAACTATAATGAAATATATCCTGACTGCTCTTCTTGAATGGCAAGGTAATGAGTTGTGCATATCAACATTTCAAAAATAAATATGCAATAATTAATCTTTCTAATAATATTTCAGTAAAATTTAATTTAAATATAAAGCTACACAATAAGATATAAAAATAAGGAAAGTATTTATATATGTATATTGATCTCCATTAAAAACATTAATTTATGCTTATTTCTGCTAACGAGTAGAGAGCTACAGCATTCTCTTTTTAGGAAATAAGTTTATTTTTATTATTTTTTTTTTTTTTAGCTGTTTCGTGGTTATGTAAATGCTACAAAATTGCTTAATCCATATTTTAATTGGAAGGAGTATATTATGCACCCCCAAAATATGATGTTAAAATTATTTCAGAAGATCTAAATGTACAAATAGAAACCGAGAGCTTTACACAGACTGTTGCAGGAAAATTCTCAATTCATATAGGAGAACAGAAACCACCTCTGCTAATTCACTGAAGTGAGTGATATGTTAATTAAAAGTACATTTTTCCACCAGAAAAATATACACAAGGGATCATGGAAAGCCCCAATGGTGCTGTAATCCAGATAGATCACGTATTAATAGATAGAAGGTATGCATCATCAATAATTGATGTAAAGACTGGCTGGAGATTTAAACCACTTTTGGAGGGTTGCGATTTAAACCACTTTTTAGCCAAACTAAGGTTTAGAGAGCAATTAACATACATGAAATCTGGGAGTCAGCATTATAGGAAGAAATGGGATTAGGAAAAATTTAAACTTGAAGATCACTGAGCAATTTAAAGAATTTGTAAGCGATAAGCTAACAAAGAATTTGAAAGGAATTGGAATTGAGGAAGTTGAAGAGAGATGGTATAAAATTAGAAAAGCTATTGAGAAATCTGCAGATAAAGTGATTGGAGAGAGGAGAGAGCGGAGAAGTGAGAAATGGTTTGATGAGAAGTCTGCAACAGCCCTAAATGTTAGAAATGAGCATAAATTGGCTGTACTCCAACGCTCCACCAGACTGCTATACTGCCTATAATAAAAGCAGAATAAAGGCCAAAAATATTATAAGAAAGAAAAAAAGGGAATTCTTAGCAAAGAAGATTGAACAAATAGAAGAACTGAAGGTGAATAATGAAACGAGAAAATTCTATGTGGGCGTCAGATATATAAAATGTGGATTCCAACCTAAGGTTGATGCATGTAAAGATAAAAATGGAAAACTATTAGAAAAAAAAACATGGTAATTGACAGATGAGAGGAACATTTCAATGATTTGCTGAATGCAAGAAGCACAGACCCTGACGAGAAAACATCTGATTTAGAACCGCTCTCAATCGAGGAAGTGGTAGAATCAATTAACAAATCAAAAAATAACAAATTTCCTGGAGAAGACTTTCTGATTGCAGAATTCTTTAAAAAAGATGGAGCAGCTTAATGAGCAAGGAGAATTGAATGGTTGGGTCATGTAGCACGATGAATGAATCAAGAATGCAAAAAGGAATTCTGCTTGGAAAGATGTATGGTACCAGAAGAAGAGGAGGACTTCGGAGATTTTGGATTCAGGACGTGGAAAGGGGCCTGGAACATCTCCGTATAAGGAACTGGAAGAGGAGAGTGTTGAGCAGAGAGGACTGCTGCAATGTTGTCAGGGAAGCCAAGGCCAACCTAGGGCTATAGAGCTACATACTAAATAAGTATATTTTAAGTGTGTTTCCATGAAGATTTTGAAATGAAACACAAACATTAATTAACAAATATAATATTCTACCCACATTTTACCTTTTCTCTAGCATCCCACTCATGTTTTTCTATTTCATTGATAATTTTGAATCGATATTCTTCATTTTCAGAAGAATAATTACGAGTCATGTATTTTTCCCATTGTCTTTTTTTTCGAAGTCTATGAAGAATTTCAACATCATGTTTAGTAACTAAAAATCCATTATCTGAAACAAGGATTAAGGTACTTGACCAATCGATGAAGTGAAGTAAAACCACAAATTAAAAAGAATCTTTCTAGATTATCAACCACAATTCAGAATAAAGATTTGAGTGATAGAAAAATAGTTAATTTTAATACCTTCTTTAACAGTCTAAATAATAGGGTTTATAAAAAAAAAATGACTGTTTTATCAAATTCAAGACTTCAAAGGAGTGTAAATATTTTAATCCTATTTAATACTTACCAATACTGAATAGTCCCTTTAGAGCATTCTCTAAGCTTGTTTAATCCCATTCGACTTCTTCAAAAAAAGCCTCAGTTTAGTTATTTGTTTCAAAGAAGAATCATAGCAGTGACCTAAAAAATTCTTGTAATTTAAGGCATTACTGGAAAAAAATATTCACAACCGCTGAAGTAACTCAAGAAATTATTAAATATGAAGGGGAAGGTGTCCTTGACCAGTGCACTGTGCGGTGTTGGTTTGAAAAATTTAGCAGAGGTGATACAACATTGAAAAGGAAGAAGGGCTCCAGGCGACCATTAATGGATATTGATGAGGTTGTGCAGGAAGCTGTTAAGTCAAATCCGTCCGCAAGTACTCGTGAACTTGCCAAGGAATGTGGTGTGTCGCCATCTACTCTCTATGAGCAAGGTGAAAAAGAGCAATAGACTGGTTCTTCACAAACTAACTCCTCAGCAATCAGCTCACACTTCCCATCGAACCACAGAAAAATTTAAATACCTTCATGGGTTCGAACTCCTGTCTCATCCACCATATATTCCAGACCTCCCACCATTGGATTACTACTTATTTAGATCCATGGCCCATTTTATTCAAGGGAAAAAAATTGATAATTTTGTGGATGTTGAAATTACAGTCCAAGAGTTCTTTGACAGCCATCCCAAAGAATGGTATCAGCGTGAGATTGAGCAATTAGCTAGCTGATGGTTATTGACGGTAGATAACAATGGACTATACTTTGAGTATTAATTGTATTTTATATCAAAGAAATAATAATACAAATATTTGGTTGAAAAACGGTCATTTTTTTTTATACACCCAAATAATTGGCAAAGAAAAATGGGAAAATTAAGTAACAATTGAAATTAAATATTACTTAATTTAATAAGTTCATCATGTACTTTTTAATATATTTGGTATTTAATTTCAAATATACCCTGTGTTTCTTTGCCAATTATTTTGACTGATAAAGAAGGTTTTAACATTAACTATTTTTCCATCACATAAATCTTTACACTGAATTGTGGTTGATAACATGCAATATTTTTGGTAACAAGACTATTAATATTTTTGGTAACATGAGATATTTTATTCCAATATACTTACTATTTTGATACTATAATAAACATCTTGTAACGATAATTACACTTGTCTTAAAGAACAAAAGAATAAGAATAAATAATAAACTAATACCACTACAACAACCCATGAAGCGTCTTTGGTTCAGTACTATTCAGGGAAAGTGCTATTTCTTGGTCAACGGTTGTACAAGGAGGTGATTTCACAGAGATCACACTCAACCACCAGTTTTTCCCCCTTAGTTAATTTTTGAATTAAGGGTACCCACTTTATAGAGGCTGGTTGTTCCTCAGGAGTGTCTCCTGAACCCTGGGTCGATCCACGGTTGCAGAAACAGAATAAATAATTTATCTGCATTAGCCAGGATTCAAACCTGGGACCTTGAGCAGTGAAAGCTCAGCATCCTACTACTGAGCTACCCCACTCCCAACAAAACAATAGGAAAGGCAGAAATTTATAGATTTAAATCAGAGGTGTCCAGAAGGAGGTTCCATAGAGCAAGTTATGCCATTAAAATTTTTGAGGGGGATACATTTTGATGGGATTTTGAATTTTTGGGGAGGAGCACATTTCGTCTGGGTTATGAATTTTCAAGTGAAAAGTTTTAAACGAAGGAAGATAACATGGCAGAGACCAGAGCTTATATAATTGAATATTATCAACGTATTTTCTAATTCTACTTTCACTTGCACTGTTTTTAAGAAGAGAAGAAGCAATACAATTTCTAGGGAGAGGGCAGAAGGTGGTTTATGCACCACCAACCTTGAGAGAGATGAGCACTCCTGGTTTAAATGACAATAAAATGGAATTAAATAAAATTTCATGATTGATAAGCATATAAGTGGTATATTGATAATTGTGTTAAAAAAACAGGATCATACTGGAAATAATTATAGTAATAATATGTGATTGAATAAGTTCATTTATTTATAGAATGAAAAAATAATTTACCAAAAGAAAGACAGGCAAGTGTAAGAACTTCTGGAGTTTTGCATTGTAAAACTCTGTATGGAGGAGTCCATGGCACAGTTTGTGCTTCAGATTCACGGTATACAGTTTGACAAGCACAGTTATGGGATAAAAATTCGCTGAAATGATATTTAAAAATATACATGTTAGCTTACTTAAAAATTAAAAACTATATACAAAAGACAAATTGAGAACCATTCCTTTCTTTAAGTTGAAAAAAAAACTTTTTTTTTAAGAATAACTTTAATATACGTTGGATAAAAATAATTTTCATCTAGGTCAACCAAACAACTTTACAGCTAAAAGTAACAACTGCAATAAAGATTTCTAAACCATAAATCACTAATAATTGATTCAACCAATCAATGTTCTATCATAGATTAAAAAAAATAAAATAAAGAACGCCAATATTTGACAATGATATCTTGAATCTGACTGTTTCATTTAATTTTAGTGTTAGAGTATAGCTTCTTTATTACCTCTAAATGCCCTGATTATTTGCAAACTGACTCTGGGCCATATGCACATATCAAATTTCATGTTTAATCCAGAAAAAAAGTAAGTCTGGAATAACTGGACAAAGGATTATAAGTACTGAGAGATATGTATGCTTAGATGTGGTTTTGATTCTCATCTGGAATGATGGAATAATTTTGATGAAACAGAGTATAGATAAGATGATTAAAAAAAGCTTAATATAATTAATATGTTAATATATTTTACTCCTCCAATTGCATCTGTTACAAATATTGTAATTGTGATAGTGTTTCTTTTCAATATTTCACTTAATATTATTCATGTGTTTCACAATTACAAAGCTTCATTTCCCTACTTAGTCCAGAAAAAGAGAGTTAAAATAATATTTTAGTTATTCCCAATTTTTCTTCCAAGCCCTTATATCATGAACAATAGAACTTTTTAAAAATAAAAATAGTAGGTTTTTAATTCATTACAGAAAAAGTGAAATGTACTTATATAATATTATGAGTAGGATTTGCTAAGGATTAAAGAGGATAGATTACAAATAAAAATCAACATTCTTTGGAGTAACATGTAATGTCAGCATTGACATAGTGGTTAACATTCTCTAGGTACCAAAAGAGAGAATACACTTTTTAAATCTTCTTTTGAAGAGAATCTTCAATTTTAAAAAGAGCTATTTAGCTCATTGAAGGCACCAGAGGGTGCAGAAAATGGTTCAACTTCCCTCAGTATGACTAGGCAAGGGGTAAATACAGATCTTGTAATTGATCAGTAGATGTATTTGTTTCCATTCCATTTTTTCAATTTAGTAATGTATAAGATTTGCTATGTATACAACTGTACCAAAAGACTTGAAAATTGTAAAATGTCATTTTTCAAGTGAGTAAAACAGAAAAAAAAAAGAAAAAAGAAAATAGGTACCTAAATTACTTGGTTGAGGGCTGCAGCCACTTTCAAGAATTCTTTTCTTAGTTCTTATTTGAAATTTTGCTACTATACAAGCTATAATGATCATTTTGAAAGTATGATCAAGTTACTGTTGTGATTCAAAATAGGGACAATTATGATGGAAAATAGTGATTCCTCATAAATAAGGAGAATATATGGTGTTATATAAATCAGGGATCTGCAAACTATGGCTCGCAAGCAAGTCCAATCCAGTCCGCAAATATCATGGCAGACCCACTTGTTAGAATAGGTTGGTTACCTGAAGGAAAAGGCCTCCAGTATGGCGGAATACAGGTATAAATACCAATTCCATTAATGTACATGATAACCTCTTATACAAAGTGCTATTATACAATATCATACATAATGGAGAAATAATTACTAATAAGGAAGTTAATGAAAACAGATAATCCTTAAAGATGTGATCCAAACTGTGACTCTGGTGTATAGCTACCAGGTTCCAAATCACCATGATGTGATTTATATTTACATTCACCACATTTATTCCTTCTTAATCAATGGTATTCTCATATAGCTGTTAGAGGATATAGCATATTCATCCTAATCTAAGTAGATGTGTTATATTTTCTATTTGGATTCCAAAAAAGAGAACTCGGCTATTTCAGGCAAAATGAATATTAAAATAAAATAATTATCGAAAGACAGTTAGAATTCTGACCTGTTAAGAATATATTTAAGGCTCTTCTTCTTCTTTTGGGTCAGCCTGTTGTGCCTATCAGTATAGGGAAGTGTTTAATCAGGAATGGCACTGTTCCTTGTTTCTTGCCAGGTTTCTGAGAGATTTTTTCCATTCCTTTTGCACAAACGTTTTAAGTACTTAAGGTACAGCATTATTAGTCATTCTCAAGGCCTTCTACTGTCAGGGGCATAGTCCATAGTTTTCAATTGATCTCGGTGTTCCCTATCCTAACAACATAGCTGAATCACTTCAGCTGGCAAGCCTCTAGGACTTTCTTCACCAAGAGGAATCTAAGCTCATTCGTGATCTATCATTGCAGATATAGTCTCTTCCTGTTTTTTCCTCCAATTTTTCAGAGAAACTCCATATCCCCCAGCTGACACACTGCTGTTTATATGTCAATATTCAGCTTTTAGCTCCATACAGGAGTACAGACAAGTACACTGGCTTACTGATATGGAGCTTCATGTTTCTGCTTACCTCCCACTTACCAATAAAAGTGTTGCAAATCTGGTAGTAGACAAATTTTACATTACTTACATGTGTATGATTTCTTAATAAATTTTCTCAGACCATTCCATAACTGTCTTGAAGTAGATAAAATCTAAGACTACTTCCATTTTTTCTCCATTAAACAACACCTCAATATCTTCCAGTACCGTTACTAACTGAAGGATCTTGCTTTTGCAAGAATTGATAAGCTTTCCTTTTCCACGAAGGTCTTTACACCATTCCATCACTGTCTACTATAATGTCTCAGCGGAATCTACAATGAGAACAATATCATCTGTATATAGAAGAAGCTGGATAACTATGGAAAATTGATTTCTTCAGAACATCCTATGAGTTCATCTTTTTGCAGATAGCCACTGTTTCATCCAGAAAAAGTATGAATAGCAAGGAGCTAAGATTTTCACCTTATATAATCCTCCCTAGCTATATTAAACACCTAGACTTCTGTCCACTTCGTCTGACAATTCCTTTTGGTTCTTAGTATGTGGACTTACTGGTTTTTATCAGGCTTTTTGGAATATAATTAGCTCTTAATGCTTACCATATCTTGTCTCTTGGGAATAAGTCAAATGCTGTTCGAAGACCTGAGAATGCAAGGTATATATTTTTATACTGCTCTTAAAAACTTTGTAGTACATTTCTAAGGGAGAATATGTTATCCTGTCTGTCATCCTTGACAAACAGGATAACACATGGATTCCTGCTTGCTCATCTCCTTTGAGTGGCTCCATATTCTCAATCTGTAGGAAACCTCTGCTTAGACGCAGGCTTTTTGAAAAATTATTTAGAGATCTCACTAAATCCACTAGCCTCTCTCCTCCCAATATTTTACAAATTCTCCAACTAAATTATTCTATCTTCTGAATACTTTGATTTTCTTTCAAAATAATTTTAGATTTTAACCATGATTGTGGTCCAATTTCTCCTCATAACATCTTTTGTGCCATTTTAATCACTTCTTTGGTTGTTTTCCTAGCCAATAAATATATCTGCCACTTTTCTGGGGCTTTGTTGGCGCAGTAATCTTTCCATGTTACTTCTATTTAATCAGTACTTTTAATCATTAACTCCACAGAAAATAGCAGGCGACACCAAGACATCATCCAGGCTTGCATCTGTGTTCATTTCCTGCTGCCTTTCTCTCAGTTCATCTTCTTGAAGATCTTGAACTTTTTTTACCTTGATCCTGTTGATTTTTACCTTGATCCTGAGTTTTGGCTCTGTCTTGCGTTTCTTGAGCTACTAATTGCAAACACATGAGCTTAAGGAATGCAAGACAAAGCCAAAAACATATGATAGGATCGATATAAATTGCTTCACGACTCTCAGATTGGACTTTAGAGTGAACTGAGAGAAAGATTGCAGAAAATAGACGCAAATGCAAGCCAAGATGGTGTCTGAAAGCATATCAGGGATAGTATCGAGGAGTCTGCTATTCTTGTCGGTTGAGTTAAGCATATTACCAAGTGATCATTTCCTATCTCTGTTCAAATTCTCAACAGGCAATAATTTACAGAAATCCAGCAAATAATAAAAGAAGACTTAGATGGAAGAGGCACTCAAAAAGCAATCAACAGCAAAAGAATATCTATTTTTAACCTTTAGCATAACATGATGCTCAACCTAAGGAAAGTAGCCTGCCAATAGCTTTGTATTTATAATTTTGAAGAGAAAAGATGGTGTTCTCTTTTTGTGACAAAAAAGTATATTGGAACTGACAGGATTCAAAATTAAAACTTAGTCTCACAGATTAATACATTTCAAGAATTCTCTCTACAGTACTGAAATTTTTAGTATAGGTCACATAGTTTTAGGGAAAATGATTATTAGAAATATTAGTTCCATGAAATACAAATTACATAACTTATTAGTGTTATGAAAGAGCATCATTTTTATGGTACAAGTTTAAGTTAATTTTTTTTATTTATTTTCAGCTTGAGTTTCATCTTCATAGTTTCTTATAAATTTATTCTTGTTGGGCCAAAACGTTTTTCAGAGTTAGAAACTTCATGGCACAACTCAATATATTCCTAAGAACTTTTCTCTTGTAAATAGTTTAGAATATTCTTTATCCTATTTTAAATATAATAATTTAAATTAATATTAAATGCTATCTATATTAATATATAGCATTGATAAATCCTCCATAGAATCAAAATTCAGAAAAATAAACATCAAAATACAGATCTCAATAGGTAGAATTTGATCTTCAGTGAAATTTAAACATGATCTATCATGGCTATGGACATAACACCCTGTTAGTGCTTAAGGTCGTAAGTAAAAATTGATTTTTTTACAGAAGAGCCATAAAAACGAATTATTTCTTTATATTTTACTAGCTGATGTACCCGTCGTTGACGGGTGTATAGTTAAAATTTGAAAGACCTTTTTTTGAGATGGATTTTTTATTATGGGGGATGATCCAAATTTAATTTCATAAAATTGGGTGGGGAGTTTGTTTTGAAATTTTTTATGGTGGGGCTTATGGAAGTCAAGGTTAAGAAATAATCATAATAAAAACTTTGTTATTCCTGTTTAGGTGCCACACAACTAAACCGACCAACACCGATCCATTAAAATTGTTTAATCGTCATAATAAAAACCTTTTTATTCGTATTTAGGTGCCACACAACTAAACCGACCAACACCGATCCATTAAAATTGTTTAAGTGTTCAATTTTCATTTATGATGAAGCGAGGAGATTGTAGAGTTAATTGAAATAATCAAAAAGAGTTGAAGTCTCTCCACTTCTTTTAACTCTGCGGAGTTTATCGCTGGCAAAATAACCAAAATAACATTGGATATTGAGTCACCTACATCCTTGTAAAATTAGAACTTGATCTGAATATTGTGACGGGGTGGATACAATTTTTGGGAGTTTCGTCCTGCTTCTTCCCCATTTACGGCTAATCCATTTGGTTAATCCTAAAAATGTATACGGCAACATTTGTTAGGGTCGGAAAGTTGAATCCAATGACACCTTGAACGGGAAGATCGGACAAAGTTGAAAAATGAGTGTTTTACAGATGTTCGGTATTTTGGATTTTTTCCGTTGTTTTGATAATTTTTTCCATCAGTTGAATAGCACAACTTTTAAATGTGGTTCACAGTAGAGTAGTTTGGGATGAGAATCGAAGTAAGTAACTGCCTAAGTGGGATCTCTCTCTAGACAAATTACTCAAGGATTTATAACTTTGGATCTGCTCAATATTTTGTTCTCATTTAAAGCCTATGTTTCCAGTCAAGCAAACCTAAATTTAACATCAAAATTTCAAAAGTCTACCATTAGCCATTGCTGAGCTTACTCCTGACAAAATGTTGGACAATGCAGACTTACAGAAAGACAAAAAATGATTTTAAAGTGGATTTGTTGTCTGTAATGTATGAAACGGAAAGATATCATGAAACAGGTTGATTCTATTCAATGTACAGACAAAACCTTTATTTTATTTACACAGATTTATCTCTGCTATTTTCCTATTAAGCAGACTACAAAGTGTTACCTTTATTGTAAAGAAAATAAACATGTAAAATTGTTCTTAACAACCTTTTGCACTAACAGTAGCGATAAATTTCTAATAAAATAAATGTCAGTTTAAATTTATACTAATGGTGACCAAAATTAGTTTCTGGAAACAAATTCCAAAAAAAAATCCATTTGTAATTGTTGTCATGTAACATATTCATATAATATTGTGAACTCTAGAAACAATGAAAAAAAATAACAACATATAATATCAATTACGCAGAGGTACAATAATATCAGCAAATCATGTTTGCTTTCATGTAATACAATTATGTTTATAATTAATTAACTTTTTAAAAGTGGTTAAATAATTTAATCTTAAATTACCTATCTTTGTAACAATAAATCTTATCCTGTGGCCTTGGTGCTTTTGTAATGTTTAAAGTTGCATATTTTACTTGCTCTTTTGCAGCCATCATATCAAATAAGTTTAACTAATCTTGTATTAAATGAATATCTTAAAAATCAAGAAACAAGCCTCTCCAGCATAACACTATTTATTTAATGAACATCGCCATGACAACGGCTGTAACAAGCCTCTTATTAGATAGATCTTAACAAATTTATAGAATAAAAGAACAAAATAACAAATCGTTAAAATACATAGGTAACACAATAAGGCACAAATTACAGACCAAATTATTTAACACTCCAAGTTTATCCTAGCCTTTTCTAATTCATGCAACATATTGTAAAACTGGGGCACAGAAAGTTCAAGATGTACCCTCTCCTTAATATTTTCCTTATCCAAGGTGAATTTCAAACAAACATAAGTTTTCCCTACAAGATTCTCTTCACTTGAGGCAGCAATAACTGAAAACAATATATATTATTAAAACTAACTTCTTAAAGAGATGTTCTTTGACAATATTAATTTATTTAAAAACCTCCAAACTGCCAATCAATATCAACCAATTTAAAACATCCATTAAATTTTATTGGCTCCATAAATTTGGTTTTGTGCAACAGAGAAACTTTAAAATTCAAATGAATAAAACCTATAAGCAATAAAAAGTTCACGAAAAATAGGACTTGAATGTCAAATTTGACATTTAATTGGTTTATAACCTTTAGACCAGATAACAGTAGATTATCTTTTTTCAAATTGATGGACGTTTTATTCAATAAATACGATTATAAGATTTTATTTAATAAATAAAAACTTAATTATAATATCAAACATAAAATAATAATAAAATCTGCAACTTTCATTAAGACAGAACGAAAAGAAAACAAGGTTCATGAAGAAAGAAAATTATGGCGGGAAAAGTTAAGAAGGCGGGCTATATGAAAGGTAAACAATCAACAGGTTAATTGTACTTTTGAAGTTCGTGTGTTTTCACTGGGGCTAGAAGTATTATTAGGGCTGTCTCTTTCTTTTTGCGAATAATGTAGTTTTTATCTTTAATACACAAAGAGTACCATTTAATTTAATAGTTTGGCAATTGAGTTATACAAAAGTAAAATGGATCTTACTCCCCTGAAAAGTATTTCTCTTAGATCTACTCCCAAAGGAAAAGTTAATTCAATGGATTTAGATGCAACACCAAAAAAAGTCAGGTTTAGCCTGAAGGGAGATTACCAAAAGGGCTTGAGTATCGGTAAAGAAAATAAAATTTTTAAAGCTGAAGATGTTTTGTCAATGTTGAATGATAGCTCTTTAAGTGAGGATGGTGAGACTTCATCAGATGAAGAATGGATAGTTACTAAATCCAAAGCTTTGAGCATATCAGATTCTCCGATTACAAGAAATGTTTCATCGGCCACTGAATCAACACCAGTCCCGTAAGAATTTAATTTTCTTCCAGTGTTTTCTATGTTCATTAAATTATCCTACTATTTAACATATTTTTTCAGGAATGCTGTTGTAAAAGTAACTCCTTTGAAGTTGTTGCGCAAAGCAGAGTATGAGGTTAATAAAGCTCCTTCATCTAACAAGAAGAATGCAGTGTCTGTAAGTATTACAAAGTTTTGTTGTTATTTTCAGCTTGAGAGCTTCTATTTAAGTGTTACAGTTTAAAATTTAACATTATAATTAATGTTTACTAGTTTTGATGGGGATTAGCTGGTTTTATTTTGTATAATTTAAACTCAATTTTTTTTTTATTTACATGAAATTGTAATAAATTATTTTCTTTTTAGTTCCCATGTTGTAGAATATAATAACACTTGCTGAATTATTTAAGTTCTTGAAGTTATAAATCATCATTTAATTATGTCACCAAAGATTACTCCTAATGGAACAATAAAATGTTGAAGTGGAGTGATTTCAGTGCTTGAAGTGAAGACAATTTCAAGGATACCACTGACTCCTCTCCATCATTCCATTTCTTACCAACAGAATATTTCAAAAGCATATTTATTAAGGGAAAACCTGGCAGTTGAGTGTGATCTCAGTCAAATCACCTACATTATTACACAACTGTTGACTAAGAAACATTATTTCTCTACAAAGTACTGAAACCAAGACTATACACGGGTTGTAATAGTACAGAAAAACAACAACAAACAATTATTAGTTATAAATAAACAAAATTTTTTGTTGTAAGTTATTTGTAACAATCTTTTTGTAATATATTTTAAATAACCAATATCGTCAATTTTAATGTTACTACATTTATGGAGTAAAACCATTTTTATTATCATTATAGGATGGTCTTAAAACTTTGTGATTACTGTATAGTCAATCACTCCTCTTCCCCAGTTTTCCAGTTTACAGTGGATTGGATTTTTTATTTTGAAATCCACAAAGAATTTCACACTTACAGGTGTTCCAAGTTTTATGCAGCAGTTGGAGTGGAGTGATTGTCAGTGGCCACATGAACCTGAAAATTATAAAAAGATAGCAAAATTTAACTCAAAATTATTTTATCATTTCATATTGCTTATGTATTATGTTTATTAAAGCTTTATATTGTTTCAAATACAATGCAGTCTCAGTAATCCAAACTAATCATGGTAGGAAGTTTTCTGATTACTGGAAAGTTCAAATTATAGGTGGTGCTTGTTAAAACAATATATTCAAAGCTCAATGAATTCATTCAGCTTTACTCTCTGGATACGTGTGTATCCTTTATGGATTTGTATATCACTCATTTATTGCTAAAATTCACTAATCCAGGGCTCATTTAAGCCTCAATTTTGGTACAATATTATCACTATTTATCCCTATATTTCAACTTGCGCCATGAATCCCCTAAAGCAGTCCCCACCCGGAGACCCGAACGGGGGACTAGTTTACCTCCGGATAATGAGCGTTTTACCTTAGGGAGATCTATGACTTTTTGGGGTGTTTGGTGAACTAAAGATATGTGAGTAGGGCGTTCAATCCTATGTCACACCCTCCAGCAAGTCTGGAGGTCCCCTCCCTCGAGCAAGTCTGGAGGGCCCCTCTCATTGTTGGTCAGCGAGTCCATCGGACTTAGCCGGGAGGAACTTCCAAGGAATTTCCACCGACCATCCCCACATCCGCCACCCGTGGGACGCTCCCCATACGCGGTAATGAGCCCGCGCGAGGGTTGGAATCTGGGCGGGACAACATCCGTGCTGGGCTATGCTGATGATCTGGTACTGTTAAGCGAAGATGTTGAAACTATAAAACTAAATACGACAACGTTGATGAAAGCTGGTAAAGAACTAGGACTCGAAATAAACTTGGATAAAACAAAATATATGGTTAGCTGCAAAAATGGCGATACTACTGGTGATATCGATATAGATGGTAATATGTTTGAACAGGTAGATAAATTTAGGTATCTAGGTTCTACGATAACTAGAAAAAACGAAATTGAAGAAGAGATTAAGGTTAGACTGAAGGCGGGGAATGCTTGTTATTTTTCTGTGACAAAACTACTTAGTTCGCGTCTCTTGTCCCGAAACTTAAAAATTAGAAACTATAAAACAATTATCTTGCCTACAGTTCTTTATGGATGCGAAACTTGGCCACTTACATTAAGGGATGAGCAGCGTCTTAAGGTTTTTGAAAATAAAGTATTGCGTAGAATATTCGGACCGAAGAAGGATGAGTTAACCGGAGAGTTCAGACGGTTACACAACGCCGAATTGCGTGAGCTGTATCCGGGTAATATAATTGAGGTAATTTCATCGCGGCGAATCAAATGGGCTTGTAAAGTTGTTGGGCTTAGTAACGAGAGAATTCCTAAAAGGTTAATATTTGCTGTGCCGAATGGTAAGCGTCCGAGGGGTAGACCGAAGCGAAGGTGGGAAGATTGCATTAAAGCCGATCTGAAGGGACTGGGTTTGGAGGCGAACGGTGGAGGGAGGTGTGTAACAAGCGATTGGTGGTGTCGGCATTGAACCTTCGGGTTCGCTAAGCCTTATTATTATTATTATCACTATTTATTTGTCAACATAATCCTAAAGTATCAGCAAAATTTTCTAAATCGAATAAATTACTAATTTTAGGTATCTCCAATTGTTATAAAAAGAAAAACTGATGGAAGAAACACTCCTGATTCTTCTTCATTACCATTGACTCCGTCTTCTAAATGTAATGTAAGTAGTTGTATCAAATGATATATGATAACCTTTAATCATTATTGATTCTATTTATTGTTACAGGTATCAAAATCTTATAATGAAAAAGTTTCTCCTTCGCCTGTTAGAAGGTCACTACGAAAAGTAAGTAACATATCTCCATAATTAGAATGTACCCCCGTATGGACTCCTTTTTCTTCAATATTTTTTCTCTTTCATAAATGTTGATCATTTACTTCCTTAATAAAAATAGTTATGACTATCATAACTACTCAGAATAAAATGTCATTTACTGCTGGAAGAGTACTTCTGTTATCTATATCAAACATGGTGATTAAAATATTTTTTCATCCCAGAAAAAGAACTTTAATTAAAAAAAAATGAAATAAAAGAAAGTAGAAAATTTAAAAACCTGCAAGTGAGACTCATACCAATTCTGAATTCTCAGTATGCCACATTACGGCATCCTTACCTTGTTTTGGGTACTCCTGCCTTTTCTTTTTTTTTTTTAGCAAATCAGTTATATTTATTCTTTTTATAGTCTTTATAAATTTTTTAAATATTTATTTTTGTGTAAAATGTTATTGATTATGTTTTCCTGGATTTATTAATTTGATGTTTTATTGCTTTCCACAATTATTGTAATTGTCAGATAGCACTTAGTGAAGAAAAGGTGTATTATGAATAAATGTTAGTAGTTTTAGTTTTTGACTTAGTTTATTTAAAAAGTATTCGAAAAATTAAAGGCTAACATAAAAAACTAAATCTAAAAAAAAAAATAATTAAGTATTGTATAGGAAGATTTTCCATTGATTAAGATGGACGTTAGTTTTCTCTGCAGATTATTCTACTGCCCAGTTGTTTATATTATTAATTCTAAGGTGTATAGGGTACCTCAAGGCAATTGAAAGGATGGAAAGATATGTAGATGGAAGATATGTTAAACATAGATTTGTAGATTGTGTGGATATTAAGGGCACTGTATTGGAAGTTATAGATAAAATTTAGTCAATAAATTAATAGGAGATGAGGTTGTTCAGAGAAAAGGTGCTTGAAGAATGCTACTCAAGAAATATTTTCAAGGAAGGAGTTTTATTGAGAATAATTACTGTTTAGTGATAGAGAAACATCAAGGAATGAAATTTGCTTAAAACATTATTCTGAAGAATGGGGTTTTTATTTTGAATAGGAGCGTTGTGCGGTAAACATTATAAAAACTTTTTAAAGAAATTAATGATAATTAGTGAAGTGAAAAATATTACTTTACTTTCAAGGGTTTAGGAGATAAGATTTTGCCAGGTAATTTGATAAAAAAAAGAGAATGAGTGTGAAAATTTTTGAATAAGATAATGATAGAAAGAATGTTTTATTTTTGAGAGAGAGTAAGATTGGAGGAGAATCTAAAGTAATATGGCCAAATGTTATATCTGCAAACGAGGAGTACAAAAACGGTATCAAAGAAATAAACAGCTTCCACTAGATATGTTTTATCGAAAGTTAGATAGGAGATCGGTATTGAAGCAATCTCTGCAATGTTTATTGTATCAAATAGAGGAAGAAACATAGGTATGAATAAAAATTGAATAATTGTAAACAGTTACTATATTTACTTATGTAATGTAATTACTTACTTTAATATGTTAAGTAATTACACACTATTTATGTATTGTGTGTTATTTATTACAGAAGCCTATTAACCCTAAATACAACAGTGACACTGAAAATGATTGCTCCCCTCCAAAAAGGAGAACTGTAAGTATTTTCTTCTTTTTTTTCATTATAATTTAGAATTTATGACATGTTTGGTTATGAAAATAATTACTGATTTATTTATTCATTGAGCAACTCAATATCAAATCTGAGAATTTCCTAATAAAAAATTACGTTGTATCTAAAAATATGTTTAAGGTGTTAAAAGGTTAGGATATCATATAAGGATAACATTCTTATGTTTAATAAATGTGTTTTATTTTATTGTTGGATATACAAGTTTTATTGTAGGGAAGAGACTGTTGCGCGAAGCATACCAAGCTATCCACTGCTTTGTTTCCAGTAATTCTCTTTACCAATTCTATTTTAACTACTTCATATCGTTCATATCGAAAAAGTTTAAAATGTTTTGCCTATTTTTTTTTTTTTTTCAGTAACTCATGATAGAGGTTTCTTATTTTGTTTATTATAATTTTGCTGTTGGTGTGTTTATTGAATAATTCAGAAGAAAGGGGATGTTTACATTGTAGGATATAATCATACTTTTATAACAGCTATTTTTTCAGTTTGGTTGTTTGCCAATTTCAATTATATGTTAGCTACTGTTAAGAAGAATGTACAACCAGTATTTTTCCCATCTCTGCTATCATGTGTTTCTCGTCTTGTGTTTGTAGGTCATTAGTTATTGTTTTTTATAAATATTGAATGAATTGAGGGATGTGTCCAATTTCGTTTGTTAATATTTAATTTGATAATAAATGAAATTAAAATTAAATGAAGAAAATTAAATGAAATTTTCTTACTATATGTAAACTTTTAAATGTTTTTCTAAGATTGAAAAGAAGTATTTAAAATTCACCGAATTAAGCCAATGCCATTGATTAAAATACTCTTTCATGGTACTTGTATGAAAGAAGAAGTGAAATATAAAAATATTTCATGGATATGTTTATAACTTCAAATATATTTACTAGATAGTATCAACGCTAGATAAGATATTATGTTTAAATAATTAGGTATCTATCAGCCGTTTATTCCAAAAAATCATCAAGTAACCTTTTAGAAAATTAAATTAGTGAATAATTTGATGAATTTTCCCTTTGTGAAATCCCAACATTATCCACTTACAATTAGTGTGACAACTTTTAACCTATCCATGGCAGGCAATGAAAATCTTGTAATTTCGTTTTAGTAAACTTTACAATGGAAAATAACAGCTTAATAACTAATAGTCCTATGATCCATAATCATTTATAGGTTAAATATTCAGTTATACTTTCATACCTTTGTAGGCCTAAATCAGCCTTTCGGTTGATAGAATAACTAACTCTAATTTCAACATTCTTTATTATTAATTTTACCTTTATTCACAGTTCTATATTTCAACACTGCAATCACCTACTCTGGAATCAAAGTACTGTCTATATAGATAACTTTTTCAACTAGAAGTATCACTAAAATGACATTACTCAAAAATTTTAAAATTGGAGTTAGTCATTCTGTCAACTGAATGAAAGGCTCAGAGACTGAAGTTGTGTGGTTTATAAAAGCAGATGGAGTGACTAGATTTTTATTACCTACCGTTGTTATAATAAGTAGACTTTTTGTAATTATAATGGTCTTAATGATTTGTTATCTGTAAGCTTTAAGCTTTAGCTCTGTTTATCACTTCAAAAATTTTATAATAGCCCAGCATTGCCAGAAAGTTGTAAGTAAAAGTTGTGTGTTGCGCCCACCAGATTTTTATGCATTGAAGTCAAGTTTGTTTTCCTTACTCAATTGTCTAGAATAACTAACATTTGATTGGTAATCAGTTCCATTTCTGAAATTAATCTGCTGATTTTCGTGAGTAAGATGTCGTAATTTTAGAATAGAATAGAAAAATCAGCTTTATTCTGAGGCAAACTTTGCTTATGTCAACTTTTTAGTGATAAAGAGTGAGAAGGTTGGAGTGGTCTTGAGGACGGCACTTAACCGTCACTTCTCCATGCTCCTGTGACAAAATACTTTTGATCACCACTTTAGCCTTTTTGTTTAGGGCATCGATCCTAACTTGATATTGATAGAAAGGCTATGAGATAGTTAGAAAATAGAATTCATCACTGAGCATTGTTTTATTTAAAGAGAAAAAGTCCAACTGGCAACAAAAATATTACGTGAAGATATTACATAAATAATATATATATGTAACATTATCTATATTTTATTTAAATGTAAATTTGAAAGTTAAAAAAAAAAACCTCATAGACCTGGCTGGACTCTCTGACTCTGCTTCTTCGTTATCTTATATTTCTTCAGAAAATTCGTTATCTAGAAATGACCATTTATGATTGCGAAATGGATTGTTTATTATAGTTCATTTATTTCATTGTACTAGTACAAATTAAGAAGTTCAATCTTGTTTCATAATTTTTACACTATCTGTTTTTATTTGTATAGCCTAGAAGGAGGATAGCAAAATTAGAATATTCACATGAAAATGAGAAAATGGAAGCCGAGGTAAGTTAAATTTTTTTATGAAATTTATTTATCATGATAAAAGTCAAATGATAGGTGAATCTGACTTCATATGTGTTTAGGTTTCTTATATTTATTTTGGTTAATAATAATTCATAATACTAGTAACTGAGTAAGGGCCAATTAAAATATGTATTCGTTTTTGTTCTAGGATTGTTTCGAAAGTACATCCCAAAATAAAAGTAGCGATTCAGAAGACAATAAACCTTTGGAAGAAAGACTAATATCTTCAGAAACTAATTCTGTAAGTTTTTCATTTTTACTAGTAGCAATTATAGTGTTAGTCCAGTCGCCAAAGGGATTGTAGAGTACATGGAGGATGGACAAGTAATTGACTTCGGGAATTTGTTGGGAGTACTTGGGAGGTAAATATACTAAAATTCCCTGCCCCTAACCCTTCCAATTCATGGTTGGAGGCGCAAAAGTCTCTTTTATCAAATTTTCTCATATATCTTGCATACCAGGTAGTCCAGTCATTTGGTAGTTTGAACTGAAAGAAATATGTGGAGAATTTTTCTTGAATGTTCTATCGTTTTTTGGGGCGCTGAATCTGAAAATAGATTTATCGACTAGATTCTGATATGGCTTCACCATAATGAAATGTATCAAAGGTGTAAACATTAATATATGAAAAGGTTGAAAAACCATTAGAGCGATTGGACTTACAAGCTCAGTTCGGGCCTTAATTTTTTTATTATTATGAATTTATATTATCATATTTTTATTATTATGATCTTCTATCTATCTTTCCATACAGATCATATAGGTCTCTGTTAGTCCTCCAATGATCACCGACCTTAACAGGTCCAAAGATACGCCGAAGGATCTTCCTTTCAAAAATCAGTAAATCTTTTTCTTTTTTGGTAGAGAGGGTCCAGCTTTCCAATCCATATGTGAGAACAGGCCTAATAAGAGTCTTATATATGAGGCATTTTGTATGACGGGAGATGGCAGAGCTTCCAAGGTGTTTGCTGAGGTCAAAATAGCACCTGTTTGCTATTATTATTTGCTGGTTGACCTTCAGAGATATTCTATTTCCACAGCTTACAATTGCTCCCAGATAAAGAAACTAGTCTATATTGTGAAACGTAAATGGGCCCATAACCACCGGTACTCATACTGCGGTCTCGGTTTCAGGTCCTGCTCGCATATACATCATTTCGATAAAATTGCATAGTTTCGGAGCCATGTCAAAAAAAAAACTAAAAAAAGTTCTGGAATTTCGCTTTGCATATATCTTGGAACGCAAAATTTTCTCAGCTTTCCTCATGATATTGGTGATTTTTCTCTAGGATGCGACCTTTTGGAGTTATAAGGGAAAAACTGAAACAATTTCTAAAATTTTATGGTTTTGGTATTGGCATTTTTATAGTGAAGCCATATCCAAATCTAGTCAATAACTCTATTTTCAGATTCAGCACCTCATAAAACATGTCGAGCTGTCTAGAAAAATTCTTCAGAAACTTTTTCCTAGATCGACTACTTTTCATCACTAAATAACTGGGCTGAGTATGAGTTGTAGATGAAACATAGTCGTATAAAAAATTAAAGCTGATAAAATATTTTTCAATAGGTAATCGAAGTTAAGCAAATTCGAGTGTGATTAGTACTTAGATGGGTGACCTTCCGATTTCGTTGACCGTTCACCAGTGAAAACCGAGCTACATGAGATTCTTCACCCTCCCCCTCCCAACTATGTGAGGCCCGTCAGCCAACTGGAGTCAACTCACACTGACCGGGCGTGTACAAAACGGAAAATAATCATTGAAATTGAACCATTATTAGCAAAGATACAGCTTGTTTTTATATTTTTTAACATGGTTTATAAAACATGAATGAAGACAAATTAATTTTAATTTTTTTGGTCAATTATCATTACCAAGAAAATGTAAATTGATTTCTCCTTCTTATCATACGTTGCATTTTATTATTATTTTGTCATTTAATCTCTGACCAATATACTGTGCGAATTATTCACACCTGCCAAATAGTATGTGAATAGTTAAGCATAATAATAATATTGTTATCATATTGAAGTGGTATAATTTCCTCAAACTTTTTTTCTCTAATTGTGGAATGTTTCGTTATACTGAACGAAATAATGTCTTTCTTAAAAGATAGATACAAATTTTCTAATGTTACCTGTTTTATAAATAAATATTTATAAAATGTTTTTAATAATACTGCATTTTTTTAATTTTATTATAATCGAACACTGTTTTGTTACAACATGGATGAAAAGAGGTCAAAAAGTGGTTCGTGGTCTAATCATGCAAAGTCTAATGAATCATCATTAACTACATCAAAAATTTAGTTACTGTATTTGATTTAAATATATATATTGTTTATGCATTTGATTAACATATACTATATACCCTTCACGTGTAACATTAGTGGAGGTGGACATTCATGCTCAAAAATAAACAAATTACATTTTCTTATATGCATTAACGAAATTTATCAAAATATTTAAAATTGATGCAACTTTATACTAATAAAAGATAAATATATATATAATATATATGTTTAAAGAAAAATTATATTCTACAATTTTCTTGTGGAACGAAAAGCTGTGGTGTTAAACAGACAAGTTCGATAAAAAACGTAAGACCTAAATACATTTTTTGATAGTAGCTGATTTAAGTTGGTGAATATCTCGAAAACAATAAAAGATTCTAATTTTCTATATGACAATGTTTCGTCTGTGACACCTCATTTTCAAGATATAAGTGAAAATCTAGAAAAATTTATCTTTGCGCCACTACCCTTTCTCCCCCACCATGAAGCATATGGGGAGGTGTGGGTGTGGGAATTTTTAGTATGTATACCTCTTATGTGCCCCCCAACAAAATCCCAAGGTCAATTGGTTGTCCATCCTCCGTGCATTCTACATGCCCCTTTTATTCATTCAATAACTGGACTATGTGCCTTCAGCTGTTGAATAAATTAGTGAAATTATGTTTTTTATAAAAATTTTGATATAATCTGAGGTGATACCCTCTACAAAATCCTCAAAAAGTTTAGTTAGTCCAAAGATGTCTAGTTCTAGGAAAACAGCATCCCAGAATGAAGTTAGTCATTTATTGATAAGTTATTTTCATTTCATGAACAATTATTAAATTACATTATTTTTCCTTTTTAAGTTATTTTTGAAAGAAAGTCCTCCTAGTTCTCCTGATGTGAAGATAAAACAGCATACACCAAGGTCTTCAGCTCGAAAGAAGTTGGAACTCACTTCACCTGTTTTACCTAAGGTATGACTATAAATTTTAACAATACCAAACTGCTGTTTTGTTATTGTGTTCATTTGTTGATCTCCAGATAAAAAGATTTTTCTGGAGATGTTATTTTGAATTTAAGTCAATGTTGATTTAATTTCTATATCATTTATGGAATTGTCTGTTTACTGTTTCATTTCTAAAGGTATCAACTGAATTTATGTACAATTGGGTAAAAGATTCATAAAACTTTTCTAAATTTAGATTTGGAGATCAGAATATTTTCGATGATATGAAAGAGAAATTAATGATAAAGCCATCAGATCATTGTCCTTACGGCTTACTTCAATCTGTTAGAACTTCTGAGGATTACACTTAGCAGATGTTTGAAAGAAGGAATCAACATAGCTGATTAGATACAGTATAGTCGAAACAAATTTAGCAGAGATATAATGTAAAATTTCTGGATAATTCTAGATAAGTTATTGGAGTTAAAAGAAAAACTATCTATTACAATTAGTTGTTTTTCATTAATTTTTTCCATAGCCCAGGTCTTCCAATCTTAGGCTCCAGCTTAATGGAAATTTTAAGCAAAAAATTGTTTGTTTTTTTCTATTGGTATGGAAATTCACATTTTAAGGTTATTTGAGGTATGAAATAAAAATAGTCCGTGGTACACACCCCTTTTTATCAAATTATTAACATCTGCCTGAAACTTTGTAAATAACTTCATCTCGTTTCCTACAACTATTTTATTTAGGACAATTCTCGGAATTAGGACGTTTTTAATCTGGATATCGGCAAACTTTGTCTATTTAACTAGGTATTAAAAGCTCGTAAATACTCATTTGCTTTCCACTTCAATAGTAAGATGATTAGAGCAAAAATTGAGAAAAAATGTGGCCTTCAAAAATATTGATCCGTTAAATGACCTACACCCCCAAAATGTCAAAATATCGAGCTTATATAAGCCGAATAGACCAATTTTTTTTTAGGCCACATTTTTCTTGATTTTGTCATCAAATTATCTTACGATCCAAGTGGAAAGCAAATGGGTATTTAGGAGTTTTTAGTGCCTAATTAAATATACAAAGTTTGCTGATCTCCAGATTGAAAACGTCCCAATGCCTAGAGTTTCCATAAATCAAATAGTTATAGGTTACAATGAGATGAAGCTATTCACGACGTTTCAAGCTGATGTTAATAATTTAGGGGTCTGTACCATGGACTAAAATCCCAACTTTGTTTTTCCTTAAAAAAAGATTTGATACCCTTTACTCCATTCGTCAATATTAATTGTTTTGTTACTATAGCTGCATGCCAAATATATATATATATTTTTTTCTAAATTGCACAGTTATCGAAGATAGGATTATATGCATAATATCTTATGGCCAGCTATACAGACTACTAAACAGAAAATCCAAACTTTCTATTGAAAACAAATTACTTATCTACAAGACAATACTGAAACCTATATGGACATACGGACTTGAACTGTGGGGTACAGCAAAAGCTTCTAACATCAAACGTATTCAATCCTTTCAATCTAAAGTCCTTCGAACAATAGTTGATGCTCCGTTCTATGTAAATAACAAAATCCTACACCATGACCTTAATATCCCATTTGTCCTAGACCTTATTCCAGAAAAATTCTCCAAATTTCACCAGAACCTTACCTATCATCCAAATCCCCTTGCACAATCTCTATCCAGCACCACCCATCCTTACAATCCTCCTCGAAGGTTGAAGCGGCAGTGGCCCAGAGACCTTTTGTAAATAAGCATCTATTGGAGTTTTGGCAATGGCCAGATCCTCCACTCAAGCCCGAGTGTGTATGATTAGGTTAGTTCTTTTGTTTATATACATTTATTTTATTTTATTGTATTTATTTTTTTGTCGAAATTTTATATGAAAATAAGAATAAAGCATGTACAGTACAGATTTTATTATGAAATGTATTTTTTTGGGATAAACAAAGATTATATTCGTTTTCCGCTCCTCTCAAAACTCTTAAATAAGAATTTTTCTTGCAATCAAAAAATCTAAAAATTTTGCTCGATATTCTGCCTTCTATTAATAGCTCTTAATCTTAGTCCACGCTAGTAGATATGTTGTGAGTTTTGGTCTCTGAGACGTGTCTCAGGTTGTCTACATAGACATCTCTATAGACTGATCTCGCTCTGTAGGCCTGTTCCGAGACCGAAAATCACAGGTCTAAAAGTTTCCTGATCAGAATGGGAGACTGCATACAACATTAGACCTGTTTCACAACATTTTGACAGTGTGGACGTCACTTGGTGTCAAGAGGCGAGACGGTCCAGTCTGTTCTTAGCTATCAAGTGGTTGTTTAGGCTGTTTGCAATTGTTTTCCAAAGTTTTATAGTTCTTTTGTAAATATGTTGTCTAACTAGTAAATTTTAAAACTACTTGAAGATTACCATGCATCTTATTGTTTGTAAAAAGAAAAGTGGCCCTAGAATCTCTAGCTGCTTTGTACAATGTGACAGTGGCTGAGATAGGAAAGAAAATCAATAATTTTGGAAAAGAAAATATTCTGATGAGTGGTTTTTGCGCTCTTTCACTTGTAATTAGCACTAAGCAGGAACTCATTCCACACATAACAATGTCTTCCATGGTGGACTGCAAAGATGAGACTGAGAAATTCTCATCGTAGTATCGATGCTAGACGAGACAAAGAACAATGCCTATAGACTGTGTCTCGAAAACCGTCTATAGACAAATCGTGCAACATGGTCTACTATTCTGGACTAGCATTTATGAGAAGCATCTATGTTTATAGCTTTATTATTATTAGATGGCATTACAACCTACTTATTGAGTCAAAGCCTGCTCTATTATAGATCGCCATTCCTCTCTGTTTCCTGCTGCTACCCTCCAGTTACGGACACCAAGTAGGGACCTCGCCTCGCGTCTGTAGTCACTTCATCCTTTCAGCGAAGCTTAGGAAGTCCAACTTTTATTGTTCCATATACACGCTCTGAAAAGACTTTATGTGGAATCTCATTTGGTTCCATCCTAGTGACATGGCCTGCTAAATGAAGCCTTGATAACTTTATTATGGTGCATACATCAGCATCTCCATATACAGTTCTTAAATCAGTATTATTTCTCCTTATCCATGTGCCTTGTTCATAGGCACCACCATATATTCTTCTCAGCACCTTTCTCCCGAATCTGATGAGGATCTGTTCTTGGTACTTGGTCAATGTCCAACATTCTGACCTATATGTAAGGACTGGTCGGATAAGCATCTTATAAATTCTTGTTTTTGCATCCTTATGTAATGCATCACTTTTTAACAGGTTTTGGAGAGTGAAAGATGTGCAGTTTGCTAGGAGTATTCGCCTTAGTATTTCTTCCTCTGTATTATTGTGAGAGTTCACAGTTCACTTAGATTCCTAGGTAAATGAATGATTGTGCCCTTTTGAATCTTTGCTTTCCCAACAGAATGTATCTCTCATCATTTTCATGTTGAGATAGAGTGCTCATATATTTCGCCTTTTGTTCATTTATGACGGGTCCTAATCGTGCTGCTCCATGTTCTAGCGCCTGTAAAGATATTCTTACTGTGTCGAGAGTCCTTCCAGTTATATCTAGATCATCTGCATATCCAAGAACCTGTATTGTCTTATTTATTAAGGTCCCAGGTGTTTGAATACCAGAGTCTTTAATAGCTTTCACTAGAAAGGTTGAATACTAGGCAAGCAAGACTATTCCCTTATCTAACTCCCATTTCAGCAGAAAATCCTCTCGAGAGTTTCTCATTCATTCTTATGAAGCTTATTTAATGAAGATTACCCTTCATCGTCATACTCACAAGACGAACCAGTTTTAATGGAATATTCATGTTGATCATCATGATAATACTGAGCAAAAATTTTACATTTTTCGATTGGAACAAAAATTTTTATTTTCAGATCAAATCTCAACAAGATGCCAGATTTTGTACATGTAATCTTATTTTTGATACCTATCCGGTTTAGAAAAAATATATACTTGGCATACAGCTATAGTATGAGTACAATATTGAAACACTTAGTACTTACCAATGGAGTAAAGTGGGTTTAAATATTTTTTTAAGAAAAAACAAAGTTGGGATTTGTATTTTCATCTTGAAAAACACTTAAATAAAAATTTCTATATCAATTAAAAAATAAAAAATTGTTGCTCAAAATTTCCATTATGCTGAAGCCATCAAATTATTTTTTGAAATTCACAGAAATCGTAATTTTGACATGGCTCTACTCACCCACACAAAAATTAGCATGAATATATGAATAAGGCCCTATTATATAAACAAAATGGCACAATCGAAAAGCCTGCAAAAATATTAGTCTTGGAGATAAAAAATAAAAATGTTTGGAGATTTTTTCTTTATTTATTCCCTATAAAGACATACAATCTAAACATTACTGATATGGTTTTGAAGAGCAATAATTTATCTTTCTAACCGTTGTTATAAGGTTGACTTAGGAGAAAATCCTGAAGTGTTATGAATTTTTTCGTAAACGGTATATCGTACAATTTTAAAATCATTTGGTAATGTATTTCTGAAAAGATGAAAAATCTCAGAGGACTTACTGGCAGACACTAATCTGTAAATTAGTTCAATTAAAGTAACTAATTACATAATCAAGCATTATTATTATAATTTTATGTTCCAGACTTCTTCAGAATGTCATAGTCCTGTTACTCCAAGGAGATCTGCTAGAAAGAAATTGGAGCTTAGTTCACCAGTTATTACAGAGGTATTGTTAACTTTCAGTACTATACTAAAATAGTTGAAAATAAGCTGCATTATACATATGTATTATGCAGAAATTGATATGGTTGGGTTGGAAAATATGTGATTACATAGCCATTTATTTTGAAATCAGTAATGTCATTATAAGTGTACTAAGATACGTTGAAGTGATTAAATTAACGTTTTAGAAACAAATTTTTTTTCTATTATTTTATATCATTGATTTCTTTTGAATGATCAGATAATGAGATGAGATGTGAGTTGTTTGTTTGATTAGATTTGTGATTGAATGACTTGTAAATTGTTGAAACAATAATTATTCAATTGTAGATGATGTTTCTAATTCTTTTTCTAAGAGACAGCTTTGTCATTTTTATTTGTATGCCAAAGGAAAAGTAAATTTTTTTTATAAGGCCGCAGTACTGTACTTTAAGGCATTTCAAATTTTAAATATTACACAACTTATGTTAAATGATTATTAATAAACACAAGTGTACACAAATTTAGACAGAAGCCAAACATTTTATTTTCTTCTGTCTTTATTTAAAATTTAAAATTAAAAAAAAAAATTTTATTTAAAAAATAAATGTATATACATTTTCAATAAATTATAAATCATCATGACAATTTATATGGAATTATACACATGCACGCACATGTAAAATTCCACATCATGGATGATCTAGAATTCTTCCTAAATACTGGAAAATTCAGAATTCTATAAAAAGGTTTTAGTGGACACTATTTGTAAAGCATTTTAGTAGCTTTCTATTCCATATTTATTTTATGTTCCTAGGTCTGTTATAAGGATGACAGCAGCAGTGACCAAACTGAAGAATTTAAAACACCGAAGAGGAAAAACAAAGTGAGTTAGCAGATTAATTTTAAAATTGGCATAGCATTTTCAATACTTACGATATAAATATTCCTACATTTTCTTTCATGTTTGAGGTATTATCTACTAAATATTTTGGGCTGAACAACTGTGATATAAAGTATTACTTTCAATAGTTTAATAAATTTCTTTTTTTAGTGTTTACAGTCCATGAGGATGTGGTTCACGACTCTTGGAGAACCACATCTGACACAGGTAAGTGGTTCTCAATTGTGTAGTAGGTAGCCGTGCGAAAATTCTTAGTGACCAATTCGGAGGTGGCACAGGATTATTTCCTCTTTACTTGATTTCCTGTTACTAGTACACCAGATTGTTAGTTAAATTGATAACTTACTCTTTAGTCAATTAACAGTTGATAGTTTTATTCTTCCACCAACCTTCGTTTTTCTCATTAGTATATCATGTATGATGATTTTTTCAAATTATTGTTAATAATTTTACCAATGACAAACAAATATCCTACTAAAAGGAAAATGAGACTTTATTTGTTTTGTTTTTTGCAGTACTATTTTTCTCTTGCAACTTCAGACGCAATAAATATCTAAATTATGGATAATTTAGATAAATAGCTAAATTATCTGAAAAAAAAACCAAAAAAAAAAACCCAAAATCATTTTTATTTATTGATTAGAAATGATTAAATTGACCCACAATAAAATTTTGAATTATTTTAATTTTTAATAGTTTAGGGATAGTTGATTGTGATTATAATATGGGAAGTTATTGGCATAACCAATAAAATACTATTATAATATATAGTATTTAATTTGACCACATTCCCGACCAACATCTCATATTTTAATTTTTGTTTTAAATGTGTGGTTTTTAGGAGAACAAATGATTTTTTACTGTCATGATTTTTTATTTTGAATTGAGTAGATTTGTTCCTAAAGTTTCCAGACAAGATTCCAATAAAATATAATATTCACTCTCTTTTTAAAGAAAAATTTAATAATTTTTTTTTTTTTTTGTGGAATCGATCAATGGAAGAACTTGGTGAATAAATGAGTAGGCTGTTGAAGTTTATTGGAATATGTTCAGAAGAAAAAAAAACACTCAAATAAAAAATAAAATATTTTTTTCCATTGTATTTATGCATGATATAAATGATTCACAGGTCTCATACAGTATGCTCAATACAAATCTGATTTTCTAAATCATGCTATTAATTAGTTTTTTTGCAATAATCACTACTTCAATTGAAATAATCACAAAAACTTTTCAATTATGTTGATGCACAAAGAAACAAAATGGCCACAACTTTTGTAAGCCCACATTAGCTCTATCAAATCTATCGCGCTGAGCAATTCTTAATTCTCATTAGAGGTATCTGTAATCTTAATTGTGACATTCTTTAAATTTTTTTTTCGTGTCTGGCTGGATAGAAAGTTTTTCTAACAAGTAATATAAATTACAATTGTAGAAAGAGCCTATTAGAATATACTTAAATATTTAAATATTATTAAGAAAATATAAAAAATAGGTTTTCATATGTATGAATAAAACATTTATTTATTTGTTTTTAATCATCAAACCAAACTAGATAAGGGTTTTATCTTTTATTGTTTTTTATATATTATTATAACTCGAAAACTGTTATATAATTAAAAATTGTTAAAGGATTGCTCTGTAGTGGATTTAATAATCTTCCAAATTAACATATGGAATGTTGAGGGAGATGTTGAGTATTCAAATTATTAGAAAAAACTTGAAGAAAAGAGAACTGGTTTCCATTGCAATATGCACAGAATACTTAACAGATTATGTTGAAAACATGTTGTGACCAATGGCTGCAAATGTATTTTGTACTTAAATATAAATTCAATCCAATTACACTACTTTCTTTAGCTAGTAGTAGTAGAAAAATGAAAAAAAAAATTGGTTACAAATAAACATCACCCAAAATATCTTTAACAAAATACAAGTTTTTATTAGATTTACTGAGAAAAATTCTCATACAATAATAAATTTTACAAAAAGTTATAATGAGAGTTACTCTTAATTCAATCAATGGTATTTTAATTTAGAATGATTTCTGATGAAATTTATCGTGCCATTAGTTTTAAAAGGGACCTTAAGAACTCTAATCAGTTATCCTATTCATTTTATCCTTATTTAATTGTTTAAGATAGAGTGTTGTTATAATATTAAGACCCTTTTTTTTAGATTTATTTACTTTGTTTTAGGTCTTTCGCAATTCTGTTATTGATTCACCAAGTCTCAGAAGGCAAGTACTCACACCTAAACATTCAGCTAAGAAAAAGCTTGAGATGACACCGCCAAGGAGTGGAAAGGTAATTAGAAATTTTTTTAAAAATTATTCTCTCAAATTTTTTTATTTACTATCCTAATCTATAAATAAAATAAAAGTTAATTCCTATAAAATCTATTGATTTCTATAACAGAATAAACTAGAGAGGTGAAGAAGGGAATATTTATATCTATATAGATAATAGAAATATAACATTATTATGGGATGAAGTCATTTATTTGAATACAGCTCTTTTGCATCTTTGTTGTTTAAATCTATCCATATGGTGTTTGGCCTTCCACGTGGTCTTTTGCCTACTATTGAGGCATTCATTATTGTGTAGAGGCTACCTGGTGGATTGCTCTGAGCTTCATACTTTGCCCATCTTAGCCTCCTTGCTTTCATATCATTAGATATTGAATGACCAGTTTCTGTAAGCAGTGTTTTATTAGTCTTTCTCCTCCAGGTGTTAATACCCTGATCCCAGGTGCAGAAGATTTTTCTCTCAAATCTTTCAATACTTCTTTCTAGGATGCCGATTAGTGTCCAGGTCTCACAGCTGTGTAATCTGAACTGGCTTTATCATAACATTGTATACCCTTAATTTGAATTTTTTCAATATTTCGATACCTTTGAAAGAGAGAAGAAAGCTCTGCTGATCTATTTCCTATTGGTCATTCATTCAGGTTATTGTGAAGCCAAGGTGTTTCAATTTATTTACTCTTGGAAACAATTTCCCTTCTACGTAGATCCTGTTGTTGGGATGGAATTTTTTGCTTATCATATATTTTATTTTATATTCATTTGCTTGTAGGCCTATGTGCTCTGCTTCTCTTATCAGAGTGGATTTGTTTGAGAATAACATTTACAAAAGAAACTGTTTTTAAAATATAATTTTGTCAAGAAAATACAAATCCCTAAATGAAAAGAAAAAAAGAAAGAAGTAGAAGGAATTTGATGAAGTCGATATAGAACTAATCAACTTTTGATTCAAAGCCAACCTGTACAATCTCTGAAATTTCATCAAATCTAATAAATGTTCTGTTGATTGTTATGCCCAGTTAACAAAATCTCTGCCGAGTAGGGTCAGTATAGCTTCTTCTCTGTTCCTATTGCTTACATAATTCCTTATATTTCAAGTTCTGTGATTTGTTGTTCAAAAATAAATCTACAGGCAAAGCCATCCTTGAAGGAAAAACTTGGGCTTAAGTGTAAGAAGTAGACAGAATTTGATATAATTAATTTCATAAAGCATTTTTGGTGAAAAACTTTATTTTATAATTAGTTTGTACATCAATCTTTTTCATGAAACGTTTTTTATTTATTCATTATTTATGAAATTTACAACTTATTAATAAATAAAATACATTTAGTAAATTTGATAACATAAAATAATAACATGAAATCACTTGTTGAGAAACTACCCACTGGTAGCACTTAAAAAAAAAAAAAATGTATTTACAATAGGGGATCTCGAGGCCATCTTGTTTTCAGACGCCTCAGAGGGTTATTAGGGATAGAAGGTTAGAGAAAGAGGATGCGGATGGTTCTGAAGTTTATTATGGAAGGATAGGTATCTGGATTGGGCCAAATCGGAAACATAAGGAACATAAGGTCGTTATGGATTATTTTATTGGTGACAAAGTAAGGGGCATTCAGGATTTTCCGAAGGATTTTGGATTGTAATTATTGGATACGAGAGGAATTCAATGGCTTAGACGAGCCCCAAAGCTCTCATGAAACTTGTATTTGTTTTTTCTTAATTTTTTAGAATGATTAGCATTAATACATTTTGTTCTATGAAAATTATAATTAAAATAGAATTTTATTAAAATATGACTTATTCTCTGTATTTGCTTACTCATCATTATACTGTTTTTGTTTTTTTTAAATACTAATTTATTTATTTTTTTTTTTTAAACACAACTATAATAGCTAGAGAATGACTCAACAAAAATGTCAAAAGACACAACTCAAAATATTTTAGACAAAAATATTACATTTAGTTTATTTCAGTTTATATTGAGTTTACTTTTAAAAAATTAAGTCAGGCTATAATGAGTAAATTAGAGTTAATAAAGTTCAAAAGAAAAAATCTCTAATCAAATGGAATATTTCTATGTTTAAAAAAGTTGAAAACTTTAAAAGCAGTTTTCTTAAAACAAACAAAAAAAGTATTTTTTGTACAAAATCCTGTATGAAATTAATTTTCCGATTAAAGGTGCAATTCATTCATTAAAAACTTACAATCATACTTTGGTAGTAGCTAAAACCTTATCAATAGTGAATAAATAGTTCTTAAAAAATACTTGCTAACATTTTTTTTTTCATTTGCTAGAGCTCCTCTTTTTTTTTATTATGAAACATTGTTTTAACAGGAAAACCAGTTTGAAATTCACTCATGTTTTCTGTTATGTTTTTAAAATATTCTGTAGGTCACCATTACCTGTAGATTAATTCTAAACACTTTTATTGTTTAGAAGAATATATTTGTTTAATATTAAACTGTACTTACTAATTAGTTTAGTCTTATGCTAATTAGATTACTTACATTGTATTATATTACTAACATATACTAGTTGCTCTGTTCGTTATTTATTTTATGTTTAACTACTTATATGTACTGGTCTAATTATTTTTACATTTACCTAATTATTTTCTCACTACTTACATAAATCTATTCACAAGTTTTTCACTTCTTTATATTTATTTTTTAATAGATAACATATTGTTTTTCATATAGTTTTATTTTTTATAATTTTCTTTCTGTTTCTTATTATTATAATGTCATCTTGTCCTTGCTTAGCCCTGATGAAGGTCTCTTGATTGACAAAAAGAAAGAAAAAAATTAGTCAAATCATTTTGCTACCAAGAAAAGTATTTTTTAGCTGTAACCAAACAATTCAACTTTGGCTTTATAGAGGCTTGATTTATTGAAACGTTTCTTTTAAAATAAATTTTAAAAAATTAGCACTTTAATAAAAATCTTGGTTTTCAGAAAATACGATCAGGATTTTTGTCGCCTGTTGTCAAGGAAAGAACCAAATGCCATCTTTCAGGTACTCCATCTTCACGTCTGGATTTGGCTAGGGCTAGTCTTCACACATCTAATATTCCTTCATCCCTTCCATGCAGGGAAAAAGAATACAACAATATTTTATCATTTACTATTAGGAAAATCGAAGACAAAGCTGGAGGGTAAGCTTTTTTTATTTATTAATTCCATTTATTTTATACAAAAATAGAAATCTAAATTTTCTGTTGCTACAGTATTGTTAAGTAAACTGCTTGTCTCAACATGAAAACTCATTACTATTATTTCCCTCTAGAAATAGAAATTCCTCCTTTTCAAAAGAGAAAAAATTAAATTGCCATCATATTGTCTACTTAAAAAACTGTAATAATTCTGAACGTTTTGTACTATTTGGTTTTACATAGAAATATATTTATTATATATAGATATAGATATTTTTGTTTTCGTTTTAAAGAAAATTAAGTTTTAAAATTATCGATTTTTTTTTTTCTTTGCTGTAGATTTTCTTTTATATTTTTTAGGTGTATGTACATAAGTGGTGTACCTGGTACAGGTAAAACTGCAACTGTTCATGCTGTAATCAAATTATTACAAGAAAAAGCTGCTAATGATGAAATATCAGATTTTGATGTAAGTGTATACGTTTCTTTGTATGTATGATGTTCAATAATAAACCATTTATTTTGTTTAATGTTTAATTTAAAAAATAAATAAATAAATAGTACTTGTGAAATAAAATTAATGATTTAACCTCCTATTTTTACTTTTTTTGTTGTAAATTTTAGCAATTGTAAATTAAATGTAATCATTATTATAAAATTTATATGGTATGAATGTGTTCTCTGATCTATATTATAATTGTCCATAATTGAGACGTAATGTAATATTTCTCAAAAATATACCCCTGATGACTAGATAGAGTTATTCATAATATTTTGAAATTTTAACTCTGTTTATTTATTCTTATTTTAAGTAATATTGTTATAATGGATATATCTACTATTATGTTTGGATTTACGAATATTTTAATTAAGATCCTAAATTTTTTATACAATGAATTATCCCCATAATTTGTTACAGTTTGTTGAGGTTAATGCTCTACGTTTGACTGAACCTAGACAAGCATACACTCGACTATGGCAAGAGTTATCTGGAAATAAATGTTCACCAGAGATGGCTATGATAGAACTGGAAAAAAAATTTAATAAGAAATGTAAACGTTCTACTGTTGTACTGGTTGATGAGGTATAACTCATTTTGGTTATGATAATTTATGTTCCTCCAGAACATTCAATCTACATAAATATATTTGTTGCAGCTTGACTATTTGTGCAATCGGCGTCAGGATGTAATATATAATATATTAGAATGGTCCACGAAATCATCTGCTGCTCTCACAGTTATTACAATTGCGAATACAATGGATTTGCCAGAAAGAACTCTTAAAGGAAAAGTTACAAGTAGAATGGTAAGTTGTTTTTATTAACCATTGTAGCATCAGTATTTATTCTAAATATGATAGCATCCTTCATTATTTTAACCTAGATAGCTCATTTATAATATGAATAATAATTAAATAGATGAGCTACAACTTTCCCTTTTCTTTGTTTACTTAATTTATTACATGACAATGTTCTTGATATGGGGATGTGCTTCCATCATGAGGATGTATTTCTCAAATTGATATAACTAATTATACCATAATTTATATAACAAATTATACTTCATTAGAGTACTTTTGTATTCTTTTTTTATTGACAACTGATCTTATAGATTTTTGACCATCTAATCCAATCTTTTCCATCTCTGCATATCTTGGCCTATCATTTTCCAGTTTGCTGCATGTAGCTCTTCTATCTGCTTTTTGACTTCTTCCATCTGGTGTTTTGCCATCGGAAGTCATTGTTGTGAAGAGCGTGATGGATTACTTTCAGTTACGTCCCCCATCCTTTATATCTTTACAATCTTTCTGGCCTTTATATCTTCAGATATAAACTGACCAGGTTTCTGTAATTGATTCTTGTTAATCTATCTTCTTCACACGTTAGTACTTTGAACCTAGATCATTCACATCGATTCTTTGTTGGGTTATATTTTAAGGCTTACTATCATATATGTTTTTTATAGTTGTTTACTTGTAGCCCAATTTGTTCTGTTCCTTTTATCAGGATTCTAATGAGTCTCGCAATGTTTTTTTAATTGTTTCTAAGGACAGCTATATTATCCCCATAATATTTTATGAGTTATAATGTGCACCTCTCCTTTTTTGATATTGCTCTTAGTATCTTCTTCAGTGTTAAGCTAAATGTCATCTTCAAGAGTAAGACAGGAACTCGTACTTGTTTTATCTCATATTCAGGTCATCTGGTTGCCGAGCAACTCACAGGGCTGTGCACACGTGTTAGCCCATTCGGCTACCCCGCCCCGAGTAAGAGTTCATCTCCATACCCAGAAATTATAAGGCTTTTAATACTTCTTGGATCAGTATTCAACATTTAGGAGTTTTTTTTACGAACCTTCATTCATCCCACCAATTTCTTAGGAACTCTCCCAATTCAGTCATGATTATTCAAAGACAGATTATGTTCTCAGAATCATAGGTTGCTTTAAAACTTTATATTTATAATTTCATATACATTTATAAAACGTGAAATTCATTAATATTTTATTTTAAATTGATTACCTTGTTTCATTAATTTTACTATTACAAATAAATATAAAGTAGTATACCTTACTGAGAACTCTCCACTAGTGCCTAGAGATCAAAATATTTTTGAGGAAGAGCAATCATTAGGTTTGGTAGGCTTATACCATCAATGCTCAGCCTTGTTTTCTCTGAGCTCTCGCGTTTGACATTTCTCGCCGTCTTCTCTACTTTAATTTTACTTTTAACTCATTGTTTTTTTCCTTTTTTTTTATCAATTGTTTTTTTATTTTCTACTATTGTTTACTGTTTTTATCCATTGTTAATTTTTTTTTAACTATAGCTTTTTTTTATCGATTGTCTGATTTTCAAATATTACCTTACTGTTTTTGTTAAATTTTGTTTTAATAATTCGATAAAAAGGGATCTGTACCATGGACTATCAGTACAGTCTTAAAAGACACATAAATATTCATACCAAAAAATTTCATCCACATAACTCCAGTCTCTGAGCTCTATATATAAAGAGAGTTTTGAATGTACATATCGCCGATTTATTGCAAAAAAGTCACTAACATAAGAACACGGATGGAGATGGTACTTAAAAAGGAAAAATAAAGTCTGTATTACATTTTAAAAATTATAGGAATTAAATCTTTATCATTTTTTCACATGTGTTTTAACTCTTATTTTTTTATCTTGTAAAATTTACCATGACAAAGTTATAAAGTTTTTCAATACAGCATTGATAGGTCAAAAGTTGTCACACAGATTGTAAGTGGATAATGTTGTGAGTTCTCAGATGGAATAAATCATCAATTTATTCATTAATCGATTTTATTATAAAGTTACATAATGATTTATCGGAATTGCCTGACAAAAGTCCCTAATTAGTTAAATCTGAAATCGGATATAAAGTTATTAAACTATAGTACTTAAATGTATTTAAGATTATAAACATACGTGTTTTACTCATTCCTGAAATATTTATATATTTCAGTTCTTTTTTCACACTAGTCTAATAAAGCAGTTTTTTAAGCAATACCGTTGCTTTGATTCAATGGATTATATACTTTTTTTAACTTAAAAATAATTTTAAAAGTTCACATTTATTGACATTTCATTTTTTTTCCATGGAAACGTTTGATTTCTGTTAAATAATATTGGTTTTCAGAAATTCTTAATTACAATTTTTTTTCATCACTTTCCATTACCGTCCAGGACTTTATGTGCCAGATTTTATTTTTCTAAAATTTTCAGTTTTTCTTAAATTTTTTGAAGGCTTGTTTATTGTGATTAATATTTAATAAGAATCACGAGAAATTATCATATTGTTTAGAAAAATTGTAATGTTAATCTCTATTCTTTTATTTTGAATAAAATCCATTATATTTCCATTGAATTCCCCGTAAGTTTGCAAAACTATTGCACTTTAACGTCAGGGCGAGAACAGCTAAATAAACATAAATGAAAATGGGAGAGGACGCCGAGCATTGACGGTATAAGCCGATCAACCCGATGATTGCTCCCCCTCATATTGTTTTCATTTAAAGCCTATGTTTTAAGTCAAGCAAACCTAAATATAATGTCAAAATTTCAAAAGTATACCATTAGCTATTGCTGAGTTTACCTCTAACGAAATTTCATTGGACAATGCGGACATGCTGACAAAAACTTTTTTAAAAGTGGATTTGGTGTCTGTAATGTATGAAATGGAAAGATATCAAGAAACGGGTTGATTCTATTCAATGTACAGACAAAACCCATATTTTATTTATATAGATATGCCATGTATGAATAACAGGCAGTGAGCTCTACTTATCATAAGAGGAAGAATTTTCCAGAACTCAAAATATCTTGGTATATACTTAGTGAGTTATAATAATAAATATTATTAATATTTATTATTTTTTATTTCTTAATAAAATGTCCATGAAAGTACTAAATTATATACCTATTGACTATTATAAAAAAAAAAAAACTAACATTTATTTGTAATTTTCATCATTTATTGAGTCTCTTTCTTTTTTCAGGGACTTACACGTCTGGTTTTTCAACCCTATACATTTCAACAACTCCAGCAAATTGTTTTGAACCGTATTGGGTCCAAATCAAATTTCCATGTTGATGCAATTCAGTTAGTTGCCAGGTAATAAATAGCTTATTTTATTTTATAAATTTTAATATGAAATAAAAAATTATGATATCTAAGATTCCGAGATTCATACCTCACAATACCCAGCAGTTCCTTGTATCCTCTCTTATTTTCTCTCAGTTCCACTGTTGATGCTTGGGAGGCTATCTGTGTGACTAGAGATGAGATTGAAGAGACTTTAAATTATGACATTTAATTATGAAATATGTAAAAAAACTGATCTTTAGATTTTCCCATGCACTCCCATGTCTCTTGGGATATCGAGTTAAAGTCATTTCATCCTGCTTTTTGAAGGCAGTATTTTCTTTTATAAGTCCATAGAATCAATATGCTTCTCCACATTCATGCTCTTTTCACTATACAGATTTTTACCAATTTTTTCTAATACAAAATCTAAACTTATTTATTTGTGTGTACTCTCTTACAAAACTGTTTCCTTCAGCAAATTATTCATCGTTTGTACTAACTCTTTTTGGAATTGTTTGTATATCTGTACATCAATTCTTCTCTACATTTGCATTTAAAAATTTCAAAGCGTTTGTTAATTGGATAGTTAGTTTTAAGGAAAGATGATTTAATTAAGCTATCAATAATTCTTTTATAGCTTGTAAGAAAAAAATAATGAAGTTGCTAATGAACTATTTTCTTGTAAGTACTAAATTTTTGTTTTTCAATAGGAAAGTAGCTGCTGTTAGTGGAGATGCTCGAAGAGCATTGGATATATGTCGTCGAGCAATAGAAATGATATCTTCTGATACAGAAGTTGTTAAAGTATCTCACATTGAGAAAGCTCTCACTCAGATATTTACTGGAACCAGGGTTACAGCAATTAAGTATGTATTTAAATATGTGTGTAACTTATAATATAGCTCTAAAAAATTTATTTTTAGTTTGTCCTTAGTTATTTTTCTGACAATAAATAAATCAAATGTTTTATTACAACTGGATTCTCTCTTTTATCGTAGGTATTTAATCTTCAAATATGTTATATTTTTATTGATGTATTTTTTTTTTCATGTGATTTTAGAAAATGCAGTGTAATGAATCAATTTTTATTAAGGGCTATGAGAGATGAATTTCATAGAACAGGTGTAGAAGAAACAACTGTAGGCCAGGTGTATCCACAGTTCAATGCAATCACCACTCTTGAAGGTATCAACTCTATTTTTTTCTTATTTAAATAGGTTTTATTGATTTTGTTTTAAATTTTTGGCTGTTTTGCACTTTCGTGCCAAAAAAAGAAATTGATTTAAGCTACTTATTGTATTGATTTAATAAATAGCATGCGAACTGTCAACATTGACAGATACTATCTTTTCTCTGTCTAGTCAAATGGCTTATTTTGTTAAAGTGCTATATTTATTTTGATTCATTAATTTCAGGTTACGAAGTGCCTCCTATAGGTATGATCCTGAACATGTCTTCTGCTCTTGCTGATTCTGGTCTTATTCTGGCTGAAAAATGCCGTTCTGATCTCAACAGGAAACTGTCTCTAAATGTTTCACCTGATGATATACACTACGCACTTTCTTGTTGACAATTTTAATTTTTTTTTTCCCCAAATTGGAATGTTTATTGTTTGTCTTAAAAATATTCTTAAGATAAGAGAATTGTGATGACTCAATTTTAAATATTTAACTGAACTTCAGTAATTGTTACAGATTAGATTTCTATTATGAGTTATTTTTTTATGCTTCAAAAGATGTAAGTGCTTGAGTAAGAAATTTATATTTATGTAATGTTTAATGTTTTTATATATTTCTTTTATTTGTTTGAATAAAAATGTTTATACATTTCAATTTTTTTGTTTTTAACTTATTTATGTTCCACAAATAATTTGTAGTGGGTTCGTTTTATTTGTGTTGCTGAATGTATATGTTTTCACGTATTGATGAACTTATATTGAAATATTAACAGTCTAGCAATGTTCATTTGGAGGTTGGTTTTCTTTTACTTAATTAAAATTAAAAAAGAATATTAATCATTTATTATATTTTGGTTTGAATTTCTATAAAATTTTTCAGATTTTTGTGTATATTAATTCTTTTCTATTTGAAGATTTTAGTATCATTTTAAGAATGGGATGCACACATATGTCTCTAAGATTTCAATAGTTTGTTTATTAGTTATTGCTTTATAAGCTCATAAACTTATCAACTTAGCAAAACTAATGGTATAGCAACTATGACATTACATCGCCAATGTCGTGACTTTGAAAATTAATACCTTTTGAATCGATGGTCATAGAACACTGATTTTCATTTAAATGTTATGTAGTATGTATGGAATAGATGATATTTGTTGTTTAAGGTTGATTTACTGTGTTATATATGAACCGTTCTGTTCTATTACCTTCTTTCATCTCTCAAGAAGCTTCATTATGGCTCTTTCCAAAATGGTTGAGAGTTATTTGAAAGAAAGAAAAGTAAATTTAATTCTGGAACATTCAGCTAAGATTAATTGCTATAAACAATTTATTGCCATTTGTCTGGAATAAGGAGATGATCAAGAATTAATTAAATTACATTTTTAACGAGCCTTAAAATTAAAATGAAAGAAAGATACAAGTTAACATTTGAATTATAGATAAATATATATAAGCGTGTTCACATATAAACAATAGATAACATGTCGGTAAAATGTGAAACAGTAAAATGAGGCTGTCATCTCTAAAATATAAAAATATTATTCTTACATATATTGGGGGAAGATTGATTGCTGAGGAGATGTCAAAATTAATGGTGTTATGATGAACAGTTCAATAATAAGAAATAAAGGGGTTTGTGGGCTGGGCTCTGTTGCCAACAAACAGATGCCAATGAACAGAGCAGCAAGGAGTAAACAAATCAAGAAGGTAAGGGGTTTTTTTAGTTGTAAAGGTTCTAAGAAGGAAAACACCTATGAAATATTGACTTCAGAAAATTAGATAAAGCCACTTCTACTTGGCATAACAACTGGAGAAGTGGGAGCGCTTGGGGACCCCAAACCTAGAATCATGGAATCTCAGAAACTGTTTTAGAGTAACAATAGATTTTCGGATAATTTGGGAAATATGATTGTTCCAGGAGAGGTATTGATCAAAAATTACTCCAAGATTTCTTAGGAAGTATGGAGAGGAATAAGTAATCCATTGAGGTAGAGAAGGGAATAATAAGGAATGGCATTGGTAAGATACTTGGAACCAATGAGAATGGCTTTCATCTTCTCAAAGTTCAACTTTAAATCATTGCTGTCTACTCAAGCGTTAATACTGTCTATATCTTCCTATTGCTGTCGTATCACCCACCTCAAGGATCTTCGTATGATGAAAGGAGAAGTAGATTTGCAAGTCGTCAGCATGTTGGTGAAATTGTGAATAAAGGATGGAATCAGGAAGGTCTTGAAGAGAGTGAAGGTCTCTAAGGAACACCGTGAGTTAGTAAGAGGGGGAGAAAGGAGTTTTACTGGGAATGATAACTGTTTGGGATCTGTGAAACAAGAAGGAATGGAACTACTTTTGTACAATATTTGGTATGAAAAGGTTTTGGAGTTTGGGATTTTGTGATTGACTGAATCAAAGATAACCAGAATAAAGATTTTCTGTTTGTCTATGGATAATTAAAGATATTGAGTAATTTTCAACAAAACAGATTGGATGCAGAACTGGGATCGAAACCAGACTGGAGGGGATTAAGGAGATCATTTTTCTCAAGGAAGGTCTTTTATTAGCTGAGAATGGACTAGTCTTTCAACAGGTTTTGAATGGTTGGGGAGTATAGAGATGGGTCTGAAATTGGAAATTTTTTAGGAAACCAGAACTTTCCTCAACAGACAGACTATAACTTTTTTTCCTGGAAACTGGAATTTTGTAGGAAAAATTGTAAATATGCAGTTGGATAGGAAAGATCACATGGAGATATAGTTTGATTAATTTCACTGGAATTAGATCCGGACCATAGTCATTCGTTCTGGATTTGAGGACATAAGAGATATTTGTATTATCTAGAGATATTGAGGTCCTCTGGTGAGATATTTGTAAGGAAATATGAAGGGTCAAAGGAAGTTTATGAAAAGTAATATGAGGAAGAGAACTGTATAGATAGGATCAGCAACTAAGAGTTCAGTTGAGTAGGAGACACAGGATAGGACGTACAGATTTTTGACTTTACTAAGGAGAGATTTTTATGGATTTTCCATTTGTACTTATGATCTGGTGCTTGTGATAAGGAAATGAGGAAAATTATGCCTTAGCACGTCCGTAAGGAAGGTTGGGTAACGTTTCGGAGTGTCTTGGAAGCTATGTAATCATTTAAATCACGTATGCATCTGAAGCACCTTATATCAGTAGTGTCTCTTCTCTTTCATAAACTCTCTGATTTCAGGATTAGTCCAAAGAGCAGCACGACGTCTGAAGATAGAGCTCGTTAGGTGTGCGCGTTTGCTCAGGAATAAAATGATTGGTGGAAAGGCATTGCACCGTTTCATCAATGGAGGAATAGTGGTAAATGCTATCCTAGGATTGGGCTCGTGATTCGAGAAAGGAGTTAGTTTTTCAGAGCCCAATGAGCTTAGATTCCGCTATATAATTTATTTAAGAATGAACTTCAGAATCGAGACGTTATAGGAAATCTTGAAGTCGCAGTGAAGGATTCTGAGAGAAAGATAATACATTTTGAGAGGAATCAATTAGGGAAAGGTCGAGCCATGTACTCGAGAGTTGGATATGGTGAAAAGGGAATGACAAATGAATCAAGGGAATGGATTATGTCTACAAGATATGATTTGTCGGAAGAATCGAAACAAAAGTTGGTATTGAAGTTATTAAACATTATTGTATAAAGGAACTTAGTTAAAAATGGAGGATAGTAAGACAAGATCAAATCGCCTCGTCCTTTCGCCAATCCTGGCTGTTTTTCGACTAAGGCGGCTTTCAATTAATCGAATAGATTGCAATATTTTGCAGAACACCTTTTCACCCACCTAATGCACAAAAGAACTTTCTTTGGAAACAGTCTTACAGTTTGGTTGGGACGTTCCACCTCATCCTCCGTACTGTTCAGACCTTTCCCTATCCAATTATTACTTGTTTCACTCGTTATATAATTCTCTGTGTGATAAATGTCACAAATCTGAAAACAAAATAAAAACGCACCTCAGTGAATATTTTGCAAGTAAGTCTCAACGGTTTTGGGAAAGAGGGCATAATAAGGCTTCCTGAGAAATGGAAAAAGGTATTAGAGCAAAACGATTCATATATAAACAGTAAATTAACTTCAAACAACAAATATTGTCAAGGAAGAAACTTATGAGACACCTTATATATATTACACCTATACATTTAATACATATTAAAAGGTCCAGTTGGAAATGGAATCCACAACACTCAGAGCCCATGCTCCAATTTGCTTAGTCATCATGTCCTTCAGAGTATAGTAGTCCATTAGCACAAATAAAGATAACGAGAATGAAATAATACTTTTCAACATTTCATATTAATATTTATAACAGTTATTGTTAATATTTTGGAAAATAAAGCATTCTCTAGAATATTCGGACCAAAAAAGATGAGGTAACTGGAGACTTTCAGAGAATAGGGAATTCGCTACCAAACAGGTGATAAAACTCTGTGTTCCTAATATTATTAGAGAGCTGGTCAATTCTTCTTCAGAAGAAGCTCTGACAATTAAAAACTTCAAGGCAGGAATCCTGTTTATGGTTTTTTTTACAGGTGATAGAGCTTGTTTTCTTTATTTATTAATTGACCACAGACCAATTAAGTATATGTAAGATTACATAATTGTCAAATGATACATGTAGTGCTTTGTTCGAAAAAAATTATGAAGCAAAAAATAAAAGTTGGTCGATCCTCTTCCTGGCCAAGACTTGGGATTACAGCCTTTTCAGACACTTTGGGTCTTCCAGTTATGCAAATGTCATGGCATGGTTTCTTATTGATTATAGACGTACATCAATGGATTTGTGAGAACTTAATAAGTCATTAAAACTGATCTCAAGAACTTCAAACAGATATTTATTCCTTCCTCTCCTCCGGATATGTTCTTCTGTAATCGCAATAGTTTCTGGTCCTGGAAATGTTCCCTGGTTCCATCGATAGCTTTCATATATGATTTTGAACCAGATGAAATCATCTTTATACAAAAATTGAGGAAACCCTCGCTTGATGAGGATATAGATTTTTTTTTTTCTCGTCGGCCCAAGACTTCCATTGAAGTCCTATACTGCCACAAGACATAGATTACCGCGGTTCTTGTCATCTTGGCCCTAAATGCTTTGGATAGTATGCAGGCCGTGACCACATGCTCTTCAGTCTCCTGAACATCACACCTGAGGAATATGGGATCAACATCTTTACATTAAGATACTTCTAAAGCTATAGATTTTGGCTCGAAAAGCAAAGAGTTTGGAGTAGAAACTTTTATGGAAGAACTGATAATTTAGTAGTAAACTATTAATTTTATCTCATTTTGTTTATAGATGTAAAAGTTATTATGTTTATGTTAGTATATTTATGGATTTATTCTGGATCAATCGACATTTATTTTGCTGTGCCAGAGAGGGAAGAATATTAATTGTGTGCTACTTCTTAATGGTATATTGTCTTGACAAAAATATTTTGAATTATTTAAAGTTTAATCATGACCATGTAAACAGTACAAACAATTTAGAGCCCCCCTCATAAGCACCCTTTTTGATTTTTTGCCACATTTGTATTTATCTCTGTTTTCTTATAGCCTTTTTTTACATTGGATTACGCTAATCATAGCATTCATGAATTGCAATTCAATCGTGCACAATGCAATATCGGATAGAGTATGAAAGAAAAATATTAGTTGAAGTATCGATGTATGATCGATCACGATGAAAGTACCGCCTGAGTTGAAATCGTAACGGTTAAAGAGTTTGAACTTGATAAGTTTTAGTGTTTTGGTGTTCGCAATGGACAAAACAGTTGTCATTAGTAGGAATAATCGTGACTTTTTAAATGTGAGTTGTGTTATTTATATTTAAACATATTGTATTTAGGGGTTTCATTATTATTAATGTCTTATGAATATCCAACAAAAACACATTTTGATCACTTGGTTTGTTATTTTAATGCAGTGGTTTTTAAAAACTAAACTAAAGTACTTATTAATTTTGATTGTTTTTTATAGTCTCAGTATCTTTTAAAATTACTTGGTCGTAGGCAACTGGGGATTAAATGTATAAACATATAAGGAATTTTTAGATTTAAATGTGTCTGATTTATATTGTTATTTTTTCTACTTGCTTGTAATCTTTGTCTTTCTAAGAGCTTATTTTATGTTGTTTTCGTTTAATAACTATGATTGTTTACTTTATCAGGCAATATCTGAATTAAAGAAATGAAATAGACCTTAAATCAATTGCTATTTGCTAGTGTTTCCCAGAAGTTCTGCAATTTCATTATTTTACCATTTAAAATGTATAATATATTTAAGAAACCCAAGTAATATTATTTAATATGCTCATAATTAAGGATTGACATCCAGCCAAATCGTCTCTTAGCACATCTAGTATATCAAGAAACTACATTTTTACTAAATATTAAACTAAGACCATTTATGAGTTGCGGTTTATTTTTTTATAAGATTTTTATGTAGATACATTATTAAAGACAAATTTCCACGACTTTACGAAAGTCAAAAAGATTATAGGATATCTTCTGGACATATCTTAGCCAGAAAGATGCAAAAGCATCTTGTTTATTCTCAGAGCACCTTTACTAAGTATTGAAGTTGAAACTATTCATGAGTTGTGGTTCATTTAAAAAAAAAAAAAATTGTGTAGTATTGTTAGGGAGGAATTTCTTAGAATTTATAAAAGTCATAATAATTGTATGATGTATTCTGGAGTTAAATTTATAACCTATCTAACTTAAAACTCTTTATTTTTCACTAAGTAGATCTATTTGAGACCTGTTTTTTCATTGTCAAGCTGTTAGTTCTCTAAAATATAATATTAATATCAAGATTATTCTTAAATTCATTATATGACTATATAGGTTTAATTGAGGTTGTGATTGGTTTACTTCGTTCAAGTGCAGTCTCCTGGGCTCTGATAGAATCCTAGAACTGAAGAATTCTTTCATTAAATGGTTGTCCCTTTTTTACTTTATTAGGTAAACCTAAAAGTTTGAGATAGAGATTCAGAAACAATAGGTCTCCATTGGTATTTTATTTGAGGTTGTCTAAAAGGATCAATAGGCCTACTTACTGTACTTGTCCTCATGCCTTTACCAGAGCTTGTACCAAGGTCTGATTGTTGTTACATACAATCACAAAACCATTCTAGGTTTTGTACCCTAGGATTTACCCATTGCTGAATTATGTTGTAAGATAATTTAAGTACAGAATAATATTATTTTAAAGAAAGGAAAGATTGACAATGAAGAAAAAGATCCTAAATGTTGTTTAATCTAGAATGTAGTGTTTGAAGTAAGATGGGTTCTTCCGGAACACAATATCCTACAACATATAAGTGCCCTTAGGAAATGTAGGGATAAAAGAAAGAAAAGAAATACATTTTTAAATAAACTTAGTTGTAGAATTTTTCTCCAAGATCTGCAAATATTTAGCTGTGATATAGAGGAGTAGCAGATGCAGTATATAATTTGGGAGTGACTGACTTTTCTTTTAATTAATTTAAACAAATTTTAGTAAATTTGTAACAGCTATTAATGGACCATTATTCTTACTGCAAAATAATTTAAAAGAGAACATGTGAATATTAAATTATTTATTATTGATCACTAATAGAAACAGATATTTATCTGTAATAAAAAAAAAATTCAATTTGGGAGGGGCTTCAGCCCGAAGACTCCCTCATTGAATCCAATATTGGTATAGGGCATTTGACTTTTAGCTTTTACCATGAAAATCTTGATCCTTTATGATTTTTGTCATAATTAAAAACAAGAGAATTTTTTTTGTAATTTTAATATTGATCATTATTAACAATTTTGTGTTTTCCTGCTTTATTAAAGTGATAATTTCTAAAAACAAATCATTGAAGAAAGTCAGACGTCTGTTCTCCATATCATAGATGATAATTAGTCAGGAAGCAGTCATTTTGAAGGTTTTTATTGGTACCGACATTTCAACCCAAGCATGTAGCTCATCATTAGGACGTTTTTCGTGCACTGAAGGTGTACTGGCCTTGCCAGTACATTTAGCGCTCGAGACAAAAATGGGTTGAAATGTCGGCACCAATAAAAACCTTAAAAATGACTGCGTCCTGACTATCACCTATGCTAAAAAAATTGTATAATATAACTCTTTAAATTAAGAAAAAAACACCCTTCTTTTTACAGTCTCACATATTTATGTTTAGACGTTTTCGTTGCGCTGCACCATATTCATTTTTACAATGCTCGTTCAGTCCCTTTTTTGGATTTCGTTCTTAGTATGAAATTTATCATCATTATAGATTGGTGTCTACAAAAAAAAAATTGTTTGGGCTTTCCATTATAGGAGGAGAGAGGACCCCTGTTGTACTTTACTTTTCGGTTTATAGTCTTACTGTAAATATAACTCTTTATTTCTAGTCCTGTTATTTATTTGTGTTGAGTATATTTTTGTACTTATAATTGAATTACCCTCATGATTTTTTAATGATTAGATATTAAATTTTTGCTAATTTGTATTACACATTTTTGACATTTTGATTTGAGATTAGTTTCCGACTGTTCATTGGAGACAATTAGTTTCAAATCCAGCTTAATCAACTATTTTCAGAACATGTTTTATTTTATTTTTCACTATTTCTGAATGCACATAATCTAGCAAAAACATATTGACTCTATATAGTACAAAAATGGATTCCAACTCAAGGAATTATTTTGATAAATTTATGCACAGTCGTGTTTTTGATGTCTCCTGTCCCTTTTTTTTTTTTTTTTTTTAAATGGATTGTGCCAGTTTTGAAGTTGATACTTTCATATTTATAGTTAGCATTTGTATCAGCGATATGTTTCCTCAGTTTCATTTTCTTAGCCGCAACTTTAGCAAATTGATATGCTCACAGTTAGAACAATTAATTGTATTCTAATGCAAAGGTGTTGAAAGACATCTTTGATCAAAATATGTTTTAAAAAAATCTTGGTAGAAATAACTTTAACCCAGAATATTTTCAGTTTATTTTTATTATTTTTCTGTATTATATTATTAAATAGGAAGTTCCTCACTCAAAATAGAAAAACAAATTTTATTGTTTTTTTTTTAATTTTTAAATTTGATTATTACATTTTAAATGTCAATTTCTGTATATTAATTTAAGAATTTGTTACTTAATATATTTATACAAACATTTACTAGTCAAACATAATAAATTAAATTTACTAGAAATCTACTATCTGAAATTCACTATCATTTATTTAGTTGTAACCTTCTAAGTAAACAAAAATTCTGGAACTTTAAGGAATAATCAAAATAAATGAATAATTAACAAAAAATATATCAATAAAAAAAGCCTGCACCTCTAAAATATGGATTTGAATGTTCATGATGATGTTTCTTGTTACTCTATGTATTGTTATTCCCTTTATTAATATTTGTTTTTCTTTCACAGAAAGTACCACCTGAATACAAGAATGAGGTTGAAAATGCTACTATACAAATGGAAGATATTATTAAGAGCAGATCAGGTGTTCCTCCTAAGTGGACATTAGGTGACTTTCAAATTGGCAAACCGCTCGGAAGAGGAAAGTTCGGTCGAGTCTTTTTAGCACGGGAGAAGAGAACTAAGTATTTAGTTGCTCTTAAAACTTTGATCAAAATGGAATTGGTGAAGTCAAAAATGCAGCACCAAGTTTTACGAGAGATTGAAATACAAACTCATTTGAAGCATCCAAATATCCTTCAGTTGCTCACCTACTTCTATGATGATCGCCATATTTATCTTGTGTTGGAATATGCAGCTCAAGGAGAGTTATTTACAATTTTACAGAAACAAAAAAATAGGCGGTTCACTGAAGACAAAGCAGCTAAATATACGTATCAAGTTGCTGATGCCCTAAAATATTGTCATACCAAAAGTGTCATGCATAGGGATATCAAGCCCGAAAACTTGCTATTGGATATAAATGATAATGTAAAACTTGCTGATTTTGGTTGGTCTGTCCATGCCCCTTCAAATAAGAGAAGAACTGTTTGTGGAACACCAGATTATCTTCCTCCTGAAATGCTTGACAATCAGACATATTCAGCCAAAGTTGATAATTGGTGCTTAGGTGTCTTATGCTTTGAATTTTTAGTGGGTAAGCCACCATTTGAAACACCTGGTGGTAATGATATATTGTATAAAAAAATAGCAAGCCTCCAGTTTGAATATCCATCATTTCTAAAAAATGATTGTCGGGATTTAATATCAAAATTATTGAAAAAGGATCCAAATGCTAGAATTTCTTTTGATGAAGTGATGCAGCATCATTGGATCTTACGTAATTACAAACCTGTATGATAAATTTAGTATTTTTAATTTAGTTGTAAAACAAATAATTAAATATGGTTTAATTTTGAGAAAGGAAAGCACCCCACTATGAACTAGATGTTGGTAGCCTGGTCACAAAAAAAAAATCGTATTAGTTGTTGAAAAGAAAAATGGAAAATTGCAATGGTCTTGAATTTTTTTTAACAATAATAAATATTGGTGTTCAGAATGTTTAAAGAATGTAAATATGTATTTTAATACCATGTAGATTGAGAACATAAGTTCCAAAAGTAGTTCACTAGGCAACAGCATAAAAAGTGAACACTAATATCAATAATTTGTAGTAATTTCTTTGTCTTAATGTATTTTATTTGTTATTGTAATAATTTATTTTTATGATTAATCGGCGTAAGATAAGTTAAAAAACCATGTAATTATGCAGAAAAATATAATGTATAATAATAAATGTTATAAATATATTAAAGAATATTTTTTAATCAGTTCTTTTTTTTTCGATATCAAAGTTTTCCATGGAAATATGTTTTCTATTTCCCACATATATAAATGTATTTTGTCATTTACACACCCCAACATTTTGTGAGGGAATTTGTAATAACTATTTATATTGCTAGAATTGTGTTTTTACTATGCTAAAAATTAATTTTGTTGTAATTTAAAATTGACTTTAGGTTCATCTGCAATTTATAATTAACATCCATTTTTTACTTCATATTTTATTATTTGATATACATTCATAACATTTTCCATCTTAAGAGCATTACTTTTTGTTCCTATAATTTATTGAAGATGTATAATAATATATTTGAAGTAAATTTATTTAAAATTTTATATATATGTATCTCTTAAAAGGCCTACTAGCCTGAACTAATCCCATTTTTGTCATTTCGACCAGATTTTAAATTAATTGACTTCAAAGATGTTTTATCTTTAATAAATTATAAGGACAAGAAGTAATGTTCTGAAGATGATGGGGAGTGTTCTCAGGAATGTTCACTATGAATGTAGAATAATAAAATATGTAGCAGAAAATGGATGCTATTTATAAATATTCAGTGACCCCAGATATCAATTTTGTTTCCTATTAAATTTGAATATACACATTAAAATTGTGTGTTTACTTCGTTTTGGACAGTACTGGGAAAATTTTTGATTTATTTTTTATGGTCCTCTATGTTATGAAAAAAAAAACTAAATAGCTCATTCTAATTTCATCTGATTTGTTATGATTTTTCAAACATTGAATAAAAGCTATCCATCCCTAAATTCTTAGGAAGAGAATTATTTTCATTTTTTTTTCGCTGTCCTAAATAAGCAAATATGATTTTTGTACTAACTTTATTTTTTTCACCTATATATAAAGTCTATAGTAAAAGCATGATCACTGTTTTCTAATTTTACCAGGGCTTCTTACACCATTCAGTCATGCTTATCCCACTTTAGCCTATTTCGTATACCAGATTTATTCACTTTAATCTTTAAATCCATTCTTTAGCTCACCTGACCTAATGAGAAAAGGAGGTTGTCCTCGAAATATTTTTTAACTTCTAAATTTATATTATAATAAAATATATAAGATATAACATTATGTAATGTCTTTACATAATCTATTTATTACATAAATTATAAAAGGACAAGGTTGATTTTTAGTGTTAAATTAAATTTTTGACTTGGGCCTGGAAAATTGTTTCTGGATCCTTTGATTTCTCTTCAAGGCCCTGCTGCTCATGAGACAGGGTTCTGGCACTTATGCCTTTATGATCATTAGTTTATTTTCACTTATTAGTCTGTAATCCTGGGGTTGGGTACTATTATGGGAAGCCAGCATAACCCATTTTTTATTGAGGGTTTACACTGCCCCTTCTTTTTATCCTCATTAATCTATATTTCTAATATATAGTTAGAGAAAGTTTTGGAATCTGAGTTTTCAATGATAATACATATTTTGAAATCCTCTGAGTACCAATAAGTCCCACTAAAAGTGTCTGTTGTGAATAGTTGCTCAAAAATGAAAATCTGTACATAACTGAAATTGCATATTAACTTGTGCATGCATGGGATGTTACAGCATCTTTTTCATCAATATCGGCTATCCCTAAGTGCCACTTAATATCATTAGTTAATGAATCGGAATGCAGTGGAGACTTCATAAGTAATGATTTTATTCATAATGTTACAAATGGTATCTAAAATACAGAATAATATACTATGGATATATGGGTTGACTACATGAGTTCTCCCCAGGTCTCCTACAGTTAATAGTGTGACTTCAAGGATGTAACTGCATGAGTGATTAGTCAAGAGAGAAGGATGGGGTTTATGTAACCAAGAATATCAAGTTGGTGAAGGGAAGAGTGGGAGAAGTCGGAAGAGGACGGCAAAGGAAGTTATTAACATTTGAAAAGTTATTAGAAATTGATATTGTTATTGTTTAGTATTGTTATAAGAGAAAGGGCCCTTTTTCTGCAATCTGTTATTGTCCCCCAATATCTGTTGTTGATAAAGGGTCTTATTGCGTCCAGTCAGTACACTCTAGATTTCTAAGCTATCAGAGATAGCTTGAGGTGGCTGTCTAGGGCTCTGTGCTTTTATGATTTGAGCCGTGAGAAACTAAAAGATAATGCATGATTCACCAATTGGTTTATTTAACAAAGTAAAAGTTAAATTAATATCCTTATTATTATTATTATTTCTTACGGATTAAGTCCATTCCGTAACTTTTGAGATTTTCTCGAAAATGGCACTAACGATTTTGATTAATCTCGCTATATTAATATACAATTAAATGGTCTGTAATATCATTTAAGTCTAATTCTAATTGATGTTTAACAGTAATTCAATACCAAATTTTCAAAATTTCTTCCTCTAAAGTACCCTTAATTAGGTTTTTTTAAAATAATTAACTGTCTCTCATTGCTAGTAGAAATAAAAAAAAACTCAATATAAACTATGAAAGAATTTGGTAATTGACTAAAAGAGAAAAATGTTTTTTTAGGTGAAAAATGAAATTCCAGAAATAATTGTTAGAAAAAAAAAAAAAAAAAAATATATACATATATATATATATATATATATATATATATATATATATATATATATATATATATATATATTGGGTTGGCAAAAAAGTCATTTCGGTTTTTCCATTTATTTTTATGTCACTATGATACACTTCTTATCTGACTAATTAACCCCTAAGGTGGATTGTTTATCCTTTTTGTAATATGTCAACAACTATATCTGTTAACTCTTGTTGAAACTAGCCTAGTATTGTGTTTGCTATTGGACTGTGACCAAAGGCGGATCAAGGGTAGAGCAGGGGGAGGAGGGGGGGGATTCGGGTTAAAGCCCTCCCCCCCAAAATGGGAAAATATAACCATGTTTTACGAAAAAAGATTGTCTCTTTAAATATTGTTCGTCTGATTACATTTAATAGGACTTAAAGAATCACTTTAACACCATTTCATATAGGTACTTAGTTTCTTCCATTCTTCCGAATTATGTTAATATATACATAAAAAAATTCTCCATTTTTTTTTTTTTTTTTTTGCTGGGAAGTTGTATGTTATTCTCTGTTTTTGGCAATAATAACTGCCAATTAAACAACAATTGATTTATTTCCAAGTTTATATGTTAACGTTTCAGGATTTACTCTCATCTTCAGGACTACAATTCCATGTTTCTTTGTTGATTCATGGCTTAAGTTTAACGTGCTCTATTGTCAGGTTATAAATTCATGTTATAACAAATTATAGTATATAATTTCCAGAGCATCGTCATGCCTTTAGACCAATTATTGGGTGTCTGCCATGGTGAATACAATTCAAGTATTCTAAGAGTTGTTACAGATTAGTTGTTAGGTTTAATGTTCAATTCCGTTAAAAATGCATTTAAAAAATTTAAATAGCACAATATTGCCAGAAAATAATTTCTATTCAAAGGAGAGCGGTAAGTGAAAGGTGTGTGATACGCGCATCGGATTTTTTTCAGATGGACTTAATATCCTAGGTAGAGGTTGCGATTATGAAAAATTCGAATATGAGGTTCTAACGAAAATACACGTTTTCAAATTTCCCTGCTAGTCTCACTTAATGGCCGGTGTGTATGTGAACAGCCTAAAACGAAAAGTCGTACGAAACTGAAATTACTATTTAAATTAAGCATATGCTTAGAATGTTACAGCACATACATACAGACATACACAGACACAGGCACACAAACGCGCACACACTGATACACACATTGTTCAAAGGGTTTCGTTGGGCACCGCTAAAATCAAAGCAATTTATGATTATCTCATAATTGTACATTCCCGTTTTATCTTATTAGGATGCTTTGAAAAATTTCACTAGAAAAATTTCATTAGTTTTTTCCATCTAGACTGGAGACTGGTCCGAACGTTCGTTAACAAGAAGAGGACTGTCCACCTGACGTCGGGGAATGAGCTGCTGACACCTAAGGAACAGGCTGAACTACTGGCCAAAAGCTATGAAGCGAGGGATGCGAAGAACGGGGACTCAGTTGAGCACTATCGTCCGATCAGCCTCCTCTCGCAGCAAGATATTCGAGAGGCTAATCCACCATCAGCTTATGAAGCACTGCTGGAAAGAGAGCATCATACCACCAGTGCAGACTGGTTTCCCGAGAGGGGTCGCGTGTGAACACCACCTAGCTAAACTTCAGGCCCACACAATAGATGAAATGAGTCTCAACAGAGCTACGGGGCTCATCTCTTTGGACTGCAGCCAGGCCTTTGACTGCGTGTCACACACGCATCTACTTCGCCGTCTGGAAGAGTTCAGGTTTCCTACCACTCTATGCCGACTGATCCGAAGCTACCTCAGCGGAAGATCTCTCGTCGTACGAGTTGGTACAGACTACTCAAACCCAGTCGATACCACCTGCGGAGTACCTCAAGGGTCTGTGTTGGGGCCAATATTGTTCGTCGTTTTCACGGCGCCAGTGGTGGCACTCAAGCATCCAAAGGCGGTGGTAGCAGCCTATGCGGACGACATTGGCATATATGCTTCCAGCATCAACGCGGAGACTGCACTCACTCTGGCACAGAATGCTTCAGCCACAATTGTTGAAGAGCTAGAAGAGATCGGTATCAGAGTGAATCCTGCGAAGACTGATGCTATTGTCATGTCGTTCCAGAAGGGAAAGAAGCATCTACCCACACAATTCACCGTTGGAGGAGCTTATCATAAAATCTCTACCTCGACGTCACGCTAGATAGACATTTGACCTTCTCCAATCACGTTAGGCAGAGGATCAAGCTGGCACGAAAGTAGCCACACCGGCTCTACCACCTGCTGACGTCGCCGCAGCTCTCGCTGAGACTCAAGCTCCAAATTTATAAAGCTATTATAAGACCAACACTGCTCCACGGGGCCCCTCTCCTGCGATACCTATATAAATCCACGCTTACGAGTCTACAGGGCTTCCAAAACTCTATTCTTCGGCGAATTGTCC